AGTAAAAATGGTTTCTCAGTGAACTTGCTCTTTAAAAATTATCTGCAAATGTGCTTATAAAGGTCTCCTTTTACTGCCACCGAACATCAAAAAAAATTTCTGAACTACCTTTTTTAGAAAAAGGACTAACATAAGAGGGTTGGCCATGTTTACAGTACAGGCATTACAAGTTAACAGTCTGTGTGCATCTGATGAGATTTCCCACCTTTAGGAAGAGCAGCTTGTCCTCCATCCACCTCAGACCTCATCAATTCTCAATCCCAAAGACAATTAGGACAATCCAATAAGCTTCACTGTAATGCCGACCTTATGCCAAGCCTTGTGGCTGTCTTTCTGTGGCTATACTTCCGTGACTCAGTTATCTACATAAACAAAAAGTCCTAAAACTGGACACACTGGAGGCCAAGTAAATAGATGAATTAAGCTAAGATTTAGCGAGAGGAAATGTGAGCTGTGTGTGGAAGAGGGATGAGGTTTCAGGGATATTCTGAGCCTACTCCCACAGTTTTCACCCAGCTGTTTCTGCACGAGGTGACCACAGGGCTTCATATAAATCAAGGGACTGTCATAAGATTTATGTAGTTAAATGGAGAGCTCAGGGCATCTCTGAGACTGTATCTACATCAAACTGCTGGGATCACGTTACTAAAACTAGTATTCTCTCACTTCCAACTAAGGTCGTTACCCGAGCAAGCCATGCCAGTTGGTGTGCCCTTGAGTGAGACAGCACCCCTCTGAGCACTTGTCGGTCTGGAGATTACATTCAGGGGGTTAGGAGGGGAAAGGAGGCCGTAATCTGAAACTGTTGTGTCTTGTTGCTGTGCACTTTTCTTAATGCTGTGCTATCATGCAGCGTGCGCCGGTATTGTATGACCATTGCTGGAGGAAGTTCATCTGGGGGAACTATTTTTGTCTCGCCAGATGAGTGCTGCGCCATGTTTTGTTTCTTCCTAATTTCATTAGTGTGTTTCTTTGGAGCCGCAGCAGATGCTGGAGGCTTACAGTTTAGCCCTCTATCACAGTGTGTGTCGCTGAAAAGCATAAAAAATTTACAGACTTGGCAAGATTACATAAAGGGAAGCACACTCTCTTGCTTTTGTGCTCTTTGTGGGAATAATAGTCTCGTATGTGGGAATGTATGCTACATCCGGTCGTTGTTTGGCTGTAGAACAACCCTAAAAATAAAAATCTAAAATCATCTGCTAACCATCGTGTGAATGGTTTATTGTCATTCATTCAACCATGTTTATTTTGACAGATTTGCTCATCTGACAATCAGGCTAAGATATCCATCCCCCAATTTTATTTATTGTTTGCTTTGGTGAATGTAGGCTCACAAAAACTTGTTTGGTTTTGGAGACTGATCCAAATGGCCAAAAAACGCATGGCCACTAGATTTTATTCTTGTTTAATTTAAAGCAGAGGTGCACTGGGATATAAAATTGGTCCTGCTGAGCTACACATGCATGCAGAGTGTGAAAATCGTCTTCTACCCCCTATATAACATAGATGGGAAAACACCCAAGTCAGAAAAAGTTATCTTCTTCTGCGTCACACATTCATGGACTAACCCACCTTGACTTGCAACCATGGTTAAAAAAAAAATAAAAAAAACTGGCCTATTTTTGATACTGCACCTTCTAGGGTTCTACAACCCCCCAAGGTGCTTTACAACACAGTCATTCACCCATGCACACACACACTCACGCTGATGCTGACGAGCTACAATGTAGCCACGGCTGACCTGGGGTGCACTGACAGAGGCAAGGCTGTTCAGCACTGGCACCAACTGCCACAACCATCACGAGCAGGCTAGGCGGGTTAAGTGTCTTGCCCAAGGACACAAAGACTGACAGTTAGCCATGTTTATAGTACAGGCATTACAAGTTAACAGTCTGTGTGCATCTGATGAGATTTCCCTCCTTTAGGAAGAGCAGCTTGTCCTCCATCGCTCTGATTGCGAGGGCTGACGGGCTTTTCTTTGGAGAAATAGCGTTTACCTTGAAGAGAACTGATGAGCTAACGGCTAGTCTGAGCATGGACTGCTTGGTGATATTTACTCATGTTGACAGTGATGTAAAAGCTTATAAATTAACGTTTACATGAGCTGCTGTGAAATTGTGGAGAATAAAAGTTGTCTTAAGGCAGCAGCAAATTACTAGCCAGTGAGGCAGGACATCAACTCTGTTTCTCCAAACAGAGGCCATTCAGGAAGCTATCTACAGTGGGTAAGATATTTATTTGCAACTTTTTTATTTACCTGTGCATCTATCTCAGCCTCCTTTGATTTCCACAAGTGTCCTAAAAAAGCTGTTGCACCGACGTTTTCCCTCAACTAGTTATAGCTTCTTTTATACTGAATCAGCTGATGTGATGTGTGCTGACGCTGCTTTAAAAAAATGCACATTCCCAACATCACTGTTTGTCTTTTCTGAATTATTATTCTAAACCTTCTCGGTTGATTAGGGCTGACATGTTGCTCAAGCATTCAATAAAAAATAAAAAGATTGCCCTCATGCCCAATAAAAAAACACAGACCAATCAATAAATGATAATTCATCAGGCAGGTCGAGCAGCGTGATCAATCTATTCCAGTAGATATGGATAGCAGGTCCATCTATTCCAGTAGATATGGATATGTTGGCGATGTGCCGTGGCTCGACGGCCACACCGGTATGAAAACAGTTGAGGCTTGCTGTTGTGTTACAGCTCGACTATACGGCACTAATTAAAAAATAAAGCAAGTCTGCTCTTGCCCATCTGCTATTAGAACCTGTTTAGCCCACAGGTTTGCTTTGAACTGCTCCGTCATTACGGTCCCTCAAAGACATTTCATACAATAGTGAGTTGAAAAGGCCGATGCTTGAATGGAGTCTGAAAGGAGAGGCTGTACTTGGCCTTCAAGTACACATTCCTTCAGCTCAGTGCTTCCTCTGTGGTCCCCTTCTTCTGAACCCCCCCCCCCCCCCCCCCCCCCCCCTCCCTCCCACTCAAGACTCGGTTCCCACAGGGGACTCGGCCAAAGCAAACTCCTCAGAGGAAGTCTCCCTCTCCTTCCAGTGTGAGAGAAAGAGAGAGGGCTGGACGTCCGATACAGGCCCCTGGGGGACCTGAGAGGCAGCAGTAGGCTGTTATGTCTCTGTGGCCGGGTTGTGTCTGTGATGTGGTGGTGAGTAAAGCCTGTGCGGCTGCACTCCTGTGAGGTCAGTGTCATATTTAGCCAGCAGGTCCCTCGTGGTGTCTGGGAGTGTCTGTTTTCTGGCTCTATTATGTCTACTGCTTGTAGCCTTCCTGGAGCTAAAAACCTCAGGGTAGAAATAGTACCAGACGCACAGACATCCTTTGTCAGGAAAACAGCAGTAATTACAGAGTCTGATTACACCAAAAGCAGCAGCAGCAGCTCCTTGGCAAACCGCTAGCCGAGGCGCGGGCAGGTGAGGAGTCGGGAGGAGGTAACCTACAGGAGCAAACACTGAGTCAGAAGAGGTGTGTGATGCGGTGGCTGGGAGGCTCCAGAGGAGTGCTGTTTGAAGTGTGATACAAATACAATAAAACCTGTCAAATATGATCTCAAATTGGCCAGATGACTGCTTTTTTTCATCAAACCTCATATTCTTTTAATATTTGTGTGATTTTATGTTGGCTGTGCCAGACTCAACTTACCACCTCTACCCTAGAGCATGCACACACCCTCCCACACACACATACGTGTCTGCCCACCCACCTTCCCACACATCCCACTCAAAGCTGCATGAACACACATACACACACATGCACACACACACACACAGATTATAGCATTGAATAGGAAATCCTGTACAGGTGATTCATTACCTGCCAGGCTTCACACTAAATTTCCATTTTTAGGTGATTACAGCTAAGCAGCGATTAAGATTTCGCAAATGCACGTAACCCCGCAGGAGTGTTTTTCATTGAGGTTTCTGAGGGTTGTAATCATTTCTCTTGAATTGCACATGAGGCAACGGCAGCGCTGGCTGCTCCTGGAGGCAGGATGTCATTGTAGTGAGTAGGAAAGCGACAGGCAGGTCTGTGCTGGCCTCTGTGCCTGCCGAGGTAAACAAATCCTCAGTCTGACAAGTGCAGACCTGAGGGTTGAGGAGGTTAACCATCTTAACACTGGGGCCTGCAGCATGCCACACACACACATTCACTCACACTCACTCACACACACACATACTGTGATACAATGTTTCTAAGAAGAAGCTTGTGGGATTCAGCACCACTTATCCAGACAGATGCCCTCGAACTGTTCATGACAGCAGTTCTGCGTGAGCTCGGAGACATTTCAGAAGGCTTCCACTCCATCTTCTGTCAGAACCGAGCGCAATTACTTTAATTCCTCTTCCTCTCTGTGTGCGTCTGCCTTTTGCGAGTTGTGTTTCTGTGGTTTGTGGAGTCGATCTGCTCCACCTGACGGCGCCTCTCCTCCTTGGCAGGGAGCTATGTAGCCCTGCTGGCTGCCAGCCAGACCAGCTTGAGTGTCTGCTCAGCTCAAAGACCTGCTCACACACACACACACACACACACACACACACACACACACACACACACACACACACACACACACACACACACACACACACACACACAGACCTGCCAAACTCAGAGATTGAATGCTTACACAGACGCATCTTCCAGCCTCCCTTCATGCCTCGTTGTGACTCTATAATTTTTCCCGTTCCGTGACCTCCTGTTATTTAGTGTGGGAAAGAATTGTACAACATCACTTCATGTTCTGACAAATCCACGTCCCACTGATGAATAATGCCATTTTCAGTCATAATGGAGCATTTTTAGAAGGTGTGGGTTTTTGAAATATCCTCTGCACTCTGTGATGTAATATGAGCGCTTCATCTGTGGAAAGATGGAGATGATTAAACTTCTCTCCTCTCTCTCTCTCTCTCTCTCTCTCCTCTCTCTCTCTCTCTCTCTCTCTCTCTCTCTCTCTCTCTCTCTCTCTCTCTCTCTCTCTCCTCCAGTCCCCCAGCCCTATACCAACCAAGAGGTCCAAATTAGACAAATTACTGTCTCCATCAGCTGACAAAGACATGAAACCTGATTGGCTACAGACGCTGTCCAAGTCTGCACACAAGGTTGGGCGTCTAAATGTTTTAAGGTCACCTGTGAGACATCTCATTGTGAGTTGTTTTGTCATCTTAGTTGTTGTTTGTTCTTGCAGGATCTGAAGCAGGTCCAGCTGAAACAGCGGCCTTCAGCTTTCCGCCCTTGGTCTCCCAAAGCAGCAGAGAAAGAGAAAGCAGCTCCTCAAAATGAGCCAGAAAGGTGAGTCCTGCAGCAAAAACACGTCATGGTTCAGCTTTTAAATATAAAAGGTCGGTTTCTTTGAATGTTCCTTTTTCACCTGCAGTAGAACCTGTCTAAAGAACCAGGAGTTGTTGGCTGCTGCCACGGGCCCTCTGCTCCATCCCAGCAGGGAGTCCAAAGTTGTTTCCGCACAAGATCTGCATGATGAAAGCAAACAGCTGCCGACTAAGCCGGCTCACTCTGTCCCTGCCGGCCGGCCCGATGACATGGACACAGACGGGGAGATCGATGTAGACGACTGTGATGATGGTGAACATCAGATTTTGGTTTAAAATCAAAATAAACAGAAAAGTCAGCAGTGATTCCCAGTAGCCTGTAAACCACCTATTTTTCAGCTTTCCAAGCACACTTATGAAGGAGCGGAATGGGTGTAATTCCAGTACAACTGCGCCACCTGGTGTTAAATAAAGGGACTTTAATTACCATGCATCATTTTTTGCCTCTTCAACACCAAGTTACAGTTAAAATAGGGTTTTCTTAAATAAACATTTTAAATATCTTCTCAGGTCCAGTTCCAACTCCTTCTGTTGCATCTCCTCCATCAGCCTCCACCAGCATCTCCCAGTGTCCATCTCTTCAGGCTCAGGATTTAGCTCCCTGGCTGGCAGGAGCTGTCTCCACAGAGATAGACACCATGAGACAGATGCTGTACACTGGCCTGGACACCAGAGAAGCCCGGGAGAAGGTGCTGCAGGAGGTGGTCAGAATGAGAGTGAAGCAGGAGGAGAAGCTGGCAGCTGCTCTGCAAGCCAAACGCAACCTTCAGCAGGTGACATATTGTGTCGTGAAACCGCTTCTACAGATGGGACGTTTTCAGTATGTGACACCTCTTGTATTGTGCAGGAACTGGAGTTTGTGAGGGTGGCTAAGAAGGGCCGTCTCCGCGACGCCATCGAGGCCAAGCGCAACTTGCGAAAGCAAATTGAGCGCCTCCGCGTGGACTGGGAGAGGAAGATGAGGGATGCAGAGGAGTCCTGCGGGCGGCTGAAGAGGGAGTTGGAAAGAGAAAAACGAGTGCGAGCTTGTGACCAAAGTTGTGAATCTGAACGTCTCCGGATGAAGTACTCAACTCAGGTAAGAGGCCACAAAAGCTGCTTAGGAGGGTTTTTTTTATTTCCACACCAGGGGCGCAGCTACAGAGGGGTAAGGATGGGCAATGCCCACTTCCACATGCCTCCCTGATTCACACTGAAAGTTCACAGAGAACACTAATTACTTGTTGTTTTATATATATATATTATTGGTCTCTCTTAGTGTAGGCTGAACATGAGAATCTTCTTCTACCTATCTCCTGCATAAGCTTCTGATAGAAAATAGATGGGGAAATGCTTGGATTAGAAAAGCCTCTCAGATCCATGTCACACTGTAAATTAGCACTCATGGACTCACCCATCTTGGCTCGCAACGGAAAGGCTGTTGTTGTTTTAAGCCTGATTCATGCTTCTCCGTCTGCGTTAGTGTGGAGACACGCAGCGTCCTTGCGGGCCTGCCGGAGAGCTCCGCAAGGACGGGCGGAGTCGAGCTCTCTCTTCTAAACATCCGTCAGTCGAGACGGACAACGCAAGCTCGTGATTGGTCAGGACGCCGCTGTTGTCTACAGCGCCGCCATTGCGCCCTCAAAAACATAAAGAGAGCCGAGGATAACAAGCGGCAGACACGGAGAAGCTTGAAGAATACCTCGCGAAAAAACTCTAAAAACATGAACGTTTAATTCCCCCGTGACTGGATGAGTGAAAAGATGCGCAGCAAGTGTTTTATTTGTGGACGGAAATGACAGGAAACGTGGGTTTAGAGGTGGTGAGCGCATGAAGAGGTGGAGGAGGATGAGAGACATATATGTCCGTGTTAAAAAGTCTCTTATATATACAAAAACATAATATAAACACATTATCTTGGACCGATACATGACAGGATACCACAGAACAGCGCTACACCCTCTGTTGTCCTGCCGGGCAATTGCTTTGCAACACTCTCCAGGAGACGGAGAAGTATGAGAGCAAAACGCTTCCTTCAATCCGTGTGTGTCTGTCCCTTGCGGAGCTGACGGAGAAGCATAAACCAGGCTTAAGAGTCCAGGAGACAGCAGAGCACATTTTGGCTATTAGAAGCTAAGCATTAGCATTAGCAACTCCACAACACAGCAGAACTTCTCCAGGTTTGTGGTATTTTTGGAGATAAAACATCAATGTTGCAAGGCAAACGGACTCAGTGGTAGAGTCAAATTGCTGTTAGCCAATCAGAGGTGAAGTGTCCAAATATGAATATTGATGATTAAGACTCCAGATCCTGCTGTTTTCTGCTCCCCACTCCTCCAACTAACTTCTACTTCCTGAAGCAGGAGAGCCAGAGCTTTTTTTCCACAACTCAAAACTACTAGAGACCACAGCAAATGTGTTGAAAAAACCGAGTGAATGAGAGCTTTAATGTCCATAAAATACACCTTAAGCTCTCCTAAAATCCTGAAATCTGTTCTGAATTTGTTTTATTTTTATGGAGCACATTTTTTTCATCCTTTGTACATAAAATTATCTTTGTTTCTGTAGAGAAATAATGACACAAGAAACCTTTTTAAGTGTTTTTGAAAATATTTTGTTCCTTTATTTCAATGCCACCCTGACCCTGCACCTCCTTTTCCTGCCAACTTGTAACATTTACTTTATCGGACACTGATGCACTAACTGTGTGTGTGTGTGTGTGTGTGTGTGTGTGTGTGTGTGTGTGTGTGTGTGTGTGTGTGTGTGTGTGTGTGTGTGTGTGTGTGTGTGTGTGTGTGTGTGTGTGTGTGTGTGTGTGTGTGTGTGTGTGTAGATTGAGGAGTTGCACGTGCAGCTGCAGCAGGCAGAGGCCGATCGGGAGCAGCTGAGGCAGGAGCTGCAGCTGGAAAGAGAAGCTCGACAGACGCTGGAGAGCATCGTGAAAGATCTGCAAACCCAGCTGGCCCTGCAGGCCAATGGCAGCCTTCCTGCAGACTGCAAAGACTCAATAAAACAAATCACATATCCCAGTAAAGGATCCTAAAATTGCACATTTGAACCTGAACAGAGAGACTTTGTTACACTTCCTATTAGGGTGGGGTGGGGGGCATACAAAGCCACTTTTGTAGAGAAAACAACAAAAAAAGCTGTTATATATGATATCGTATACATCAATATTATTACAAGGAACTTCATGAGATGAACTGGAAAGTAGCATGAGCATGTTAGCGGGAGCGGACCTACGGAACCATGAAACTACCGGCGCAGCCCAAGGATTTTGTTTTGTTATAAGCTATTCATAGACGTGCAGAACACAACACTACTTGAATATGAAGGGATGAAACAGTAGCAAGCGATAAACGTCGTCTGCAGACCACTGGAAACAAGAGACACACGTTTACCACTATTTACATTTAAGGTATCTGTTTGATTGTTGTTTTTTTTTTTTTTTTTTTTTTTGAAGAGGACAGAAATGTTGTAACTGAAATCAAACATTCATATTCATATAGCAGCTGATCTACCTTTTGTATTTTATACACCTGAAGTATTGGATGTTCAATGGACTGCCTTCATGTTTAACGCTTAAAAACATTACCTAAGTATTTTGTTTTTTGCTTCGTCACCAAGTAGCTAAGATGTTTTTTTGTTTGTTTGTTTTTGTGCCCTATATGAATTCTTTAACGCGCTAAAATTCAAAACAGCTGTTTTAGTTGAAAAATGGTACTTCCCGTCATGGATTTTATTTTATTTTTTAGTCACTGGTTTTAGGACTCTTAAACCAACAGTTACTGTTTGTAAGGAAAACATTTTTACAAATATACAATATATGAATATATATTTTTTTACTTTGAGAAAAAGTAATTGCACTTTTTAAAAAATAAAAAAAGAACAGAACCAAGTGTGCATTGTATTCCCCATTATGGTTTTTAAGATCAGAAATCAGACTTTTAAGGAATGAATACACTTTTCCCCCCAGTGTCTTGTAAATACAATAATATTGTAAATAAGATGTTTGTTGGTATGTTTGCTTGCTCTAGACTTAAATTGATTCTGCGTATTATTATTATTATCATCATTATTATATTATATTAAATTTTGTTGCTGTTACTTGAAACCAAAAAGGAAAAAAAAGTGAAGCTCTATTTGGAATTGCAAAACTGTAATTTCATAGTTGCAGATCACTGAGTGTCACTACAGTCAGAGGGCATTCACCGTGGTAACACCTACACCAGGGGTGTCCAAACTTTTCAAAACAAGGACTAAAATCATTCATTTAAATATCCTCATGGGCCACAAAAATGTCATTTTTTTATGTTTAAAATGATTTCATGATGTTTTTTCATTTGTACTGCTCAGAAATTGACGTGTTTGTAAGAATCTGAACAGAAACGTGTCCATCTTTATACACTGCAAAAACTGAGTTTTAAGAAAGCAAATCAGAAGCCTGGATTTTAGACATTATTTAGACACTATTTTAGTCTAAAAATGATCTTATCTGTAAAACAGCACTATTTGAAATAAGGTAAATATTCTTAAACATTATCCAGATTTTCTTGTTTTGAGTAGAAGAGTCTGCCAATGCTGTTAGCAAAGCTGCTCGGCTAGATTTCTTATAATAGCAACAAAATCTAATGTTAGATTATTTTGTGAAGGAGATTAAATATCTAACAACAAGGTTTTTTACTTTCTTGAAATTTGTTTTTTGCAGTGTAGTGGAGTCCAGTTCTGGTCCTCCGGGTCAAATACCTAGCATGTTTTACTCGTGTCTCCAAAACACCCGATCTAATGGTCATCAGGGTCTGTAGACGTCTGTTAATCAACCACAGGTTAAACTTTTAACTTTCACACTGAGAAAAACTAGAAATGTTCCTGTTATGAGTTTTTGTTTAATTAAGTTAGGGCAATGAGGACTAACAATAAATAATGATATTAAGATAAAAATAATTGAATCTCATAACAATTATGTTTTTATTCCAATGTTCCAATATTTTCTAAAATTTTTGTTAATTTTTTTTTTTTAGATTATTTTCCAGTTTAGTAAAGTGTATATTTCATTAGGATAAAGGCTCTACCAAACGGTTGAACTATTACTTTAAGGGTTCAAATCAGGTATGTTGGAGCAGAGAAACTTCTAATTTAAAAAAATGCAGGTTGGTGGCCCTTGAGGGCCAGAACTGGACACCCCTGAGCTTCACCAACGTCCGGGTGGACACAAAATTCCACCATTCTGGAAATGCAATTAGGGGCCCACATGAAATCCCTCCAAGGGCTCCAAAAGGCCCCAAGGCCGCACTTTGGACACGTCAGTGTGAATTTTATAGCTCTTGCAATTGTGACAAACCAACAGAATATTGTAACTGATTTAGTGTTTTATATTCATGCTAAATTGATGAATTATAGAATATATAATTACACTTCAGACCAAAAACTGACACATGGATGATCGATCTCTGCACTTTCAATTCCGTCATCAGGCAGGATAACGTCTCCTCATGATTAAAACTCATTCTTTATGTTTGGTGCTCTCATATGTATTAGACAGGAAAACACTCATGTCTTATGATTATGATGCCCTCGCTCAATATTTGTTGAGTACATTGTAATAGCAGTATTCGCTTTGTTAGCTGATGCTGTTGTATTTTGGGTTTGGATGTGGGCTTTTTACTTGTCTCTTGTTTTGATGTTTTATTTTTCCTTCAGAAAAGGTGTATAATACCCATTAAAATCTAAATAAGTTCCACTCTTTCTCTTTTTTGTGGTGAATTATTGGAAGCTCGGATTGTTGTCGGTCTAAAAAAAAGGTCAATATTTTGAAGACCAAGTTCACTGAGAAAATATTTTTACTTTTATTTCTGAAATATGAACAGTCACTCTGAACATAATAGTCTACCCCTATTTCCTGCATTAGCCGCCAATAGAAGACTGACAGAGAAATGCTGGGATTAGAAAAGACTCAGATTCATGGACTCACACATCATGGTTCCCAACTGGGAAGGATGTTGTTGGTTTAACGTCCAGGAGAGAGCAGAGCACAATTTGGCTAGTAGAAGCTAACTGTTAGCATTGGCAACTCCACCACACAGCAGAACTCCTGTGGAGATAAAACATCCATGTTGCGGAGCAAATGGAGTAACTGTTAGCCAATCAGAGGACAGATGTCCAAATATCAGGAAATAAGAAGGGCATAACGTTGCAGTTCTATAATTCCTCCTCAGCATCAATGGTGACATCACAGATGTTGGTCTGGATTCAGGTACTAATCTGGAATTATAATAACAAAAGCTATTTTTGTTTATTTTTTAGTTGTTGTAAGGATGTTGGGAGCAAAGGACATGAGTAATCAACAGAATGCCTCTGGTTGCAATGTTATGGCTCAACAAAGCTTCAATAAAAATGTGTAGATGTTATAAAAGTGATTCATTTCAATGGTTAATACCCTTAAACTAATATCCGATTTTATAAAACTCCAAAAGAAGACGTTCTCTAGTCATGTGGTTTTTTTATTAAACCCTTCTTACAGCAAAAGCATCAATCTGATTTTTTATTCTTTTCCTGAAATCACTTATTTTATAAGGAAGGTGTCCATCACTCTGTGACCTGTAGGTGGCATCATGACCCACCATTTAATAAATGAATAAACACCACTGTTGTTTATAGCAATGAGTCCAACCTTAAAATCAGGATCCCAGAGACAGTTCATTAAATCTAGTTTAATTCTCATAATTCTGTAACTGCTACATGTCTTCATAACACGCATTTGGATCTCTCCAGTTCCGGGATCTTTCCTCAGGAGCTTACTGGCTGCACAGAAAATCCTGAAGCCTTGCTTCAGGATTACAGCTTGAGGAAGATTTAGTGACTCAAACAAGTTGCACACTTCCTCTGCGAGAGTCTGCTGTAGATGCAGAAAGTAAATAAAGAGGAGCCTGTGGACACTGGACGACTGGACACAAGAGGACAGGGAATGAACCTTCAGGAAGGGGATATTTGATAGCATCAGGAAGATGTGCTGAGAGGGAACTTTTCCTTGAATGGGACTGGAGAGCTGGAGACCAGCGATGAACATCAGCCCAGCGATGGCTCCACAGTCTCTCGGGGTGAGCAGCAGTCCTCAGCTGTCCTCTCTGTCACCTAAGAAGACCACCTTTCAGCCTTTGGGGTCTGTTTCATCAGGAATGTTCTCCCCCTCATTGGCTAAGCGCTCCCCCAGACAGGCCAAGCCAGCCTCAAGCCCCAAGAATTCACCCTCCCACTCCATCATGAGCTCGCCTAAACTTTGGCAGAAAGCGTCCATCTCCAGGCTGGCTGAGGAATTCTTCTGGATTGGCGGCAGCGTGGTTGCACAGCCGAAATGGAGACTTGGTCAGATAGGTAGGACCCACTCTTATATTAATAGTCAAAGGGGGAACAAGTGTGTTTGAAAATCATATCTCCTTTCAAGTGTCCTCTAAAGTAGTTCAGATGCACAGACAAGAGGACAGAGAAGCAGATAATGAGCATATGGACAGCAGACAATCCTTTAGGATTAGCCTGAGTAATGTGCCAGAACGCGTCACAAACATCTGAGCTTCAGATAAACAAAAGGTTACCTGCAGCCTTCACAAACAATAGCAACTTAGAAAAAGATGATACTTTCTCATAATTACTGTGCACTACACACTTATGCTAACAAATTTAACAAACTAACAAACCCGACTTTAGGGTTATTTTCCATCAAAAGCACACAAACAGTGACTAAAACCCACGTGACATGATTTAGTCCTATAAATAACACATCCCCACAGTAAATAATTTCACCTTTTAAAATTATTGTTGCTTTTAAATGTAATGATCTTGCTGTTTATTCTATTTTTTCACTGGATACTTGGCCAAGACAAATGAAGGACACAAGAGTTTGACCCTTTTCTGTTGTTGTTCTTGTAGTGGAGAGGTGCATGTGCACCATGCAGACTGGCACCCAGATGACCAAACTAAAGGGGAAAAAGAACGGACTGGTCCGTTTTTTCTACCTGGACGAACACAAGTCCTGCATCCGATGGCGGCCTTCAAAGAAGCACGACAGGGCTAAAAGTAGGAGATCGACACTTTGCCATGTTAAAATTGGTTTATTTCTAAGATTTTCATAATAAAACAGTCGAGTTGTGGTCGACTCTCGTGATTCAACAAAATGTTGGCCTTATCACATCCTTTATGGACTCCCGTTTTAGTTTCCATAGATTCCATCCATGAGGTCTGTGAGGGGAAAAAGTCTGAGATCTTCAGGCGATATGCAGAAAGTCGTTTCAACCCAAACTGCTGCTTCAGTATTTACTACGGGGATCGAGTCAAGTCCCTGGACCTGGTCTCCACCTTCGCCGAGGAGGCCCGCACCTGGATCAGCGGGCTGAAATACCTCATGGCTGGAATCAGTGATGAGGACAGTTTGGCTCGCAGACAGCGCACTCGTGATCAATATCCTTTACACACACACACACACACACACACACACTGAGAGTGATTAGTAAAAACACAATAAGCCTTGACATCAGATCTGTGGCTCAGCCTTAACTGCAACTGCACGTGGTTACAGCAGACTTTCTCAGAGGCTGACAAGAACGGAGACGGGGCCTTGAGCATTGGAGAGGTTCACCAGCTGCTCCACAAGCTCAATGTGAATTTACCCAAACAGAAAGTCAGGGAAATGTTTCAGGTGATGCCTGAGAGCACACGGCTACATTCTCACCAACAGGACGCTGACTTGATCAGTGACTCAGCTTCAGTGATGTACATTTGAAAAAACTCAAACATCATATAACCATGAAAATCAGGTCTGAAATACATGGGAGTGGGTCTAAGACTCCGGACGACGCCATATTAGATGCCATGTTTCCTGCGACAGGAACACACAGAGACAAAATGTATTTACTGATTTGTAACAAATGGTTACAAAACTTTCACCATTTTAAAATGGTTTTGTTTTACACATTTACCTCCGCTTGTTGCCTGTGATGAAAAGGAGCCTGATGTGCTTGTTATTTTTCTGAAGTTTGCACTCCCCAGGGCTTTTTGACCCTAATGGGCATCCATTGGTAAGGTCTTACTCCAACACGAAAATACTGCTTGCTTGCAATGATTCAGGTGTCTATCACCAGGAAAAATACACACTGTCACTTTAAGGATTGGATTGTTTTCTGAGAGCTCTGGTTTTAGCCAGGCCAGCAGGGAGATGAAAGCACAGCACAGATAAACATGGCTGAGCAGCAAAGGGAGTCACAGGAGACCCATATGGCCACCACAGATGGCTTTAGCTGCATTATTACATTAGTCCAGCCGCTCACGGTGTCCGTCCTGACAACAATACCTGAGTGAGACACTATTCTGATGATAAGATACAGACTTTCTTCATTTTATACACAGGATGGTTATCACAGATCTGTCTGGCAGATAGATTTGTCCCCGACTCATACATTTGTTTCATCACAATCTGCAGGAAGCAGACTCGGATGAGATCCAGGGCTCTCTGACCTTTGATGAGTTCTGCTCCTTCTTTAAGATCATTTCCACACGCAGAGACCTCTACCTGATCATGATCTCCTACAGCAATCAGAAAGAAGTATTAGATCTACACGACCTCGCACGCTTTTTGGAAACTGAACAAAAGGTATGACAGAGTCTGAAAAATCACACTGAGACAATGTTTGATGGGAAAAATGTGTAAATGTGCAAACTGAATAAGTTAATGAAAGGCTATGTGTGATGATGAATTGGACTACAACAAATCATTTACCGTCCCAAGAAATCCTCCTTCGACAATATCAGACCTCCTAAATTATTGTTTTTTTATGGTTTTCATGGTTCAAGTAATTTTTCCAAAACAACCTCAGCTTTTGGTGTGATATGTATTTAATATTTATGTCTATAAAGTACTGTGAAATAACTGTTTAAATAGGGGGAAAAATACATTTAAAAGTGGTAATTTTAGCAGGGGTTATCTCTGAAAACAAACTTTAAACTATTTCAAAGAAACAACTTTGAACTATTCTACGTCAATACAAAATTACCAGTTTTTAATGCCTGTTATTTTTTAATCAGGCATTTTTTCTATAGTAGGCCCTAAAGCAGTTCTTCTCCAGCTGCAGACAGAGTGCTAATCTCATGTTGTTTTGGAGGGCACCTCTTGCACACAGTGCACTGCTGAAGTCCCACACTGGCTCTCTGGGCCTCTTCCTGTCCCAGGGTTGTGGGAAAGTGATTTTCAGATGGTGTGCTCTGAAGTGCAACTTCAAGAAGAAATGTTGCAACCTCCTCCTGAATTTGTTTTAGGCCTTTGATGCCTCCCATGTGTTTGTTGTAGTCGCCCACAGATGTTGGTCTGGGGACGAGAACCGTCTGATCCTTTGCCTTCTGCCACCTGAGCATTGTCTCCTGTCTGTAGAATGGACATTTGTGCAAATGGAAACCTCTCTTCTTTCCATTCACTTTACAAAATGGGTTTGGATGAGGGTTAGAGAAGAGAGGGCTTGTGTAAAAGTTTATAACCAACCCAAAGTAGTTCATTTATCATAAGAAGGTCCATTCCCTGAACATGTTGGTGTCTTCCCTGGTAAAGTAAGAAGTCAATAGTATAGCCAATGAAAACTTTCAGCCCCCTTTTGACTTGGCTTTCTTGCTTCGGAGTAATCCTGTCTTTTGAGACAACCATCCTATGATCGACTGACACATGAGCCATTCTCATGATGCTGCATGATACTTTCATCCTGCACTCTTCTTCTGGTCACTGTGTCTTTGCTGAATCACTCGCGTAAATTTGATGATATTTCCATGAACCTCTTCCTATTCATGACAGTGGTGAACAAAGGGATTCAAAAGTCTGAAATCTTTCGTAGCTCCAGCAATGTCAGCAACACACTTCTGAGGGGTGGGGTGTGGTGGGATAAGACACTCGGGAGTGTTTACACATGGAGAGGCGGCTGCAGAGGAAAGCAGCCGGGTTGGTTCATGAATGGAGGACAGGTAGGATGAGCTGAACAACAAAGGAACTCTTAATCCTGTGACACAGCTGATATAGTATATTGCTGATGAACTTAGCTGCTAAAATCTTTGTGACAATCCGTTTTGTTTGTAGATGCGAGGTCTGACCAGGGAGCATCTAGTTGACATTGTTTCTAAGTTTGAGCCGTGTCCTGAGAACCTCCAACACATGGTCCTGGGTATTGATGGTAGGTATGGGATGTTCTTTGTGACGTAAGATAACATAAATGTCCAAAACTTAATGCTTCACCTCTTTATCACACCATGACTTCAAAGCAACACTAAAGAGCTCTTTACCGCTTTTTGCTTTTGCTTTCAAAGTTGTTTCAGTGGTTTGTGAGGTTACTAGTTTACCAGTTTCAGATTGTACATGCATCCCTCTGCAGCCCTCTGATCACCAGAAACCACAAAACAGTTTTGTGGCACGGGTAGGTTTACTAGAGAGACTGATCTACCTTCTTGATGGCTATTAGCTGTTTACTTGGGCTTCCTGACAGGGTTGCGGAAGGCGCTTTATAAATAAAGCTTTGATTGATTGATACTATCCCAGTAATAGTTTGTATTTAGAGCCTTCTGGAGTCCTACGACCTCCAAGTTGCTTCACAAACACATCCAGTCATTTTTACCCATGCACACACACATTCACAGTCTGATGTTGATGAGCTATCATGTAGCCACGGCTGCCCTGGGGTGCACTGAAGAGAGCAAGGATGCCGTACACAGATGCCACCTGTTCCCTCCAAGTTAAGTGTCTTGCCTCTGAGGCTGTTGCGTCTGATATCACTCACAAGCATTGCAGAGCGACTGTGATCTTGTTCAAAAGAGAGGATGGTTCCAAATGCTTGCTCACCTGATTGGCCTAATCGAGGGCTGCTGGAAAACTAAGGAATCAGGAAGTGATTCCTGTACTTATCAACTTTACTGTTGATAAATTTAGACAAATCAGAATTTGACAAGTTTAAAGGCATTACCATGACCTCATAGAACCACATCTTCACTCAGATACTTAGAGGTTAACTCTTAGTGTGAAGTGAAAAGGTTATAACCGTTATGTGGAGCAAAAATGTTAAACATTAATAATAATATTATGATATTATTGTGTGCATACTTATAGATTAAATTACTAGAATCATTAATTACTGATCTGGTGTAATTTAAGATCTGAAATGAATCATTACAGAATAAAACATTCATTTTAACTCATCATTCATTAATGTAAATTGTAGAGAACACATTAATCAAACACTTTGCATTTAAACAAATTGTTCAGTCAACAAAATATGATTATATGGAGTTTTAAAGAGTCATTTATGACAAGAAAGATGAACTTCATTCAGAGAGTAAAAGTCTCGTCTTCTGCTTAAGACCTTGGGTTCCAGGAACGATAAGGGAACTAGGAGAAGGACTTATTATGGGCTCCCTTATTCGGTAAGAAGGTTGTTGAGCAGTACCTTTCTGGTCTGGAGACCAGACATATATGATGTGGCCCAGGATGTGTGACACAGTTTGTGTCTGCAAGTTAAAAGTTAACTTCTGGTCATGTTTGATGAAATACTTGGCCTTTTGGTACGCTACAGAACAAAAGCAAAGAGCTAAAACCAGAGTCTACATCTGTGAGACCTGCACTTGTTTGAGGGAGCTAAAGGAGGTTAAAATAGTTCTGACTGATGATGACCTGGTGTTGTTGCTATGGACTTGTAAGTAATAATATTTCTGTCCATCAGTGTGGATCTTTTAACTTTGTTGCTTGTTTAGCATCATTTGGTTTGTGTTAGTATTAGCTCACCATTAGCGCTAGCTACAGCAGGGTTGTCGATGACAGTTGTAAATCTGCTTTCAACCAGTAGGAGTGAGAAACAAGGAAGCTCTTTAGTGTTGCTTTAACTTACAAGGAGTGTGAAAGTTTAACTTATTAAAATAGTCTCAGAAATGTCTCAGTCATGAGATACCAAATAGACACCATATACAAATGAATGTATATGTTAGTGAGAAATGGTATTTGTATCTATTTGTATGACATGTTATTGTACACATTATCTTAAGATGACTGACTGAATAAATTGATCATTCATTCATTCATTCATTCAAATTGATGTTGATTGATGTGAAAGACAGAACACAATACATAACCAGTTCTCATGTTTTTAACTTCTCTGAAATGTTTTTGATTAATCTCGTTTTCAAAAATTTATTTTTCTGTAAATGTATTAACAATAAAATTAAAACTTAAAAAATACTCTAATCTGTTCTAAAACATTCTTCCTGCAGGTTTCACCAACTATATGAGAAGTCCTGCTGGTGATATCTTCAACCCTGAGCACAATCAGGTCAACCATGACATGACGCAGCCTCTCTCTAATTACTTCATTGCTACATCACACAACACCTACCTGACTGGAGACCAGCTGCTGTCTCAGTCAAGGGTGGAGATGTATTCTTATGTCCTGCAGGCAGGCTGTCGCTGTGTTGAGGGTAAGAACCAGAAAAGGCTGCAGCAGTCTTTATTATCCTAAAGATAAGCCAACACTTATTATTTTTTAATATATATATACATTTCTGTTAGTGGACTGTTGGGATGGACAAGATGGAGAACCTATTATCCATCATGGCTACACTTTGACATCCAAAATTCTCTTCAAAGACGTTATTGAAACAATTAACAAATACGCCTTCACTAAGTCACAGTACGTTCATTTGTATCCTGAAATGAATGAGTGATTTTATCAGTCTGTTTTGAAAGCCTCAGTATGTCATGACGGTCCATCTCCAGGTACCCGGTGATCTTGTCCATAGAGAACCATTGTAGTGTTCCTCAACAGAAGAAGATGGCTGAATATCTGAGAGAGATACTGCAGGACAAACTGGATCTGTCCAATGTCAACGTGCATGAATGCAAAAAGCTGCCTTCACCTGAGATCTTAAAGGGAAAAGTTTTAGTCAAGGTGGGTTTATTTCTCAGAGTAACATCATGCAGCTACAGTCAAACTTCATATGTTTTATTAAAAATCTGTGGTGCTCAGGGAAAGAAGCTGCCTGCAAACCTGGATCCCGAAGCTGAGGAGGGTGATGTGTCTGATGAAGACACTGACAATGAGGAAGAGGAGGAGGAGGAGTACATCACTGAGAACAACCTACAGGCAAATCATTATTTACAATACAGATGGATGGATGGATGGATGGATGGATGGATGGATGGATGGATGGATGGATGGATGAATGGATGGATGGGTGGATGGATAGATAGATAGATGGATGGGTGGATGGATAGATGCATGGGTGGATGGATAGATGCATGGGTGGATGGATAGATGCATGGGTGGATGATGGATGGATGCATGCATTGGGTGAATGGATGATGGATGGATAGATGCATAGGTAGATGGATGGATGGATGGATGGATACATGGGTAGATGATGGATGGATGCATGCATTGGGTGAATGGATGATGGATGGATAGATGCATAGGTAGATGGATGGATGGATGGATGGATGGATGGATGGATGGATTGATGGATGGATGGATGGATGGATGGATGGATGGATGGATGGATGGATGGATGGATGGATGGATGGATGGATGGATTGATGGATGGATGGATGGATGGATGATGGATACATGGGTGGATGATGGATGGATGCATGCATTGGGTGGATGGATGATGGGTGGATAGATGCATAGGTAGATGGATGGATGGATGGATGAATGAATGGATGGATGGATGGATGGATGGATGGATGGATGGATGGATTGATGGATGGATGGATGGATGGATGGATGGATGGATGGATGGATGGATGGATGGATGGATTGATGGATGGATGGATGGATGGATGATGGATACATGGGTGGATGATGGATGGATGCATGCATTGGGTGAATGGATGATGGATGGATAGATGCATAGGTAGATGGATGGATGGATGGATGGATGGATTGATGGATGGATGGATGGATGGATGGATGGATGGATGGATGGATGGATTGATGGATGGATGGATGGATGGATGGATGATGGATACATGGGTGGATGATGGATGGATGCATGCATTGGGTGGATGGATGATGGGTGGATAGATGCATAGGTAGATGGATGGATGGATGGATGAATGAATGGATGGATGGATGGATGGATGGATGGATGGATGGATGGATGGATACATGGTTGGATGATGGATGGATGCATGCATTGGGTGGATGGATGATGGATGGATGGATGGATGGATGGATGGATGGATGGATGGATGGATGGATACATGGGTGGATGATGGATGGATGCATGCATTGGGTAGATGGATGATGGATGGATAGATGCATAGGTAGATGGATGGATGGATGGATGGATACATGGGTGGATTATGGATGGATGCATGCATTGGGTGGATGGATGATGGATGGATAGATGCATAGGTAGATGGATGGATGGATGGATGGATGGATGGATGGATGGATGACAGATTCCTCTTGGCCCTTTCAGGATGAGAACAGCATCATGTTTAAGCAGCCCAAACAGAAAAGATGTTTTGGACGATCAATTTTGAGAAGCTTCAAACGAAAGGTCAGCCTATATTTAATCTCTCACAAATGTAATAAAATATTTATCAAAATTGACCAGGACACAAACACAAAGCAAATCTTCAAGTGTTTTTCATTTTCAGAGAAAAAAGGGAGCACGTGTGAAGAACAAGGCTCTGTCTGATGGTGAATCTGATTATAGCAGCAGCCGAGAGCGGACTCAAATCGTTTACCATCCCAAGTATGGTCTCTCACTTAGCCGAGCAGTTGATCCATTCTCACATTCAACATCTAAGGTTCCATTTCTGTGTCAATAACTCCCTTTAGAAAGAGGAAAACAATGAGGCTGTCCAGAGCTCTGTCTGACTTGGTGAAGTACACAAAATCTGTTCGTGTACATGAAATAGAAACTCAAGGTAGTACCATAAATCAGTACAGTAGCGTGGCATAAGTTCTCAGATGTTAGAAGTCATTACACAATTCTGTCTGGCAGGCTTTGCGAGCAGCTGGCAGGTATCCTCTCTAAACGAGACTGTAATGAACCAGATTTTGTTACTTAAACCCGGCGAGCTGGTGCGCTTGAACCAGCGCCAGCTCCTAAGAGTCTACCCATCAAATTTCAGAGTGGACTCAAGCAACTTCAACCCACAGGCATATTGGAACGCAGGATGCCACATGGGTAACAGACTTTACACATGAACCTAAATGGCACCCGATAGTACCTTTATGGTCCCAGTTTCTTTGCTGTTTTATTTCAGTTGCAATGAATTACCAAACAGAAGGTCAAATGCTGGAAGTGTACCGAGCCAAGTTTTTAAGCAATGGAAACTGTGGATATATTCTGAAGCCTAAGTGCATGATTAAAGGTACCAACACTACAGAATGCATATGGTTAGGCTCTTCATGTGAGAGTTGTAAACATAATAATTTCTTCTCAGGTGTCTTTAACCCAGTGCAGGAGGATCCTCTACCAGGACACAAAAAGACTCAGCTGGTGCTAAAAATCATCAGTGGACAGCAACTTCCCAAACCTAAAGACTCCATGTTTGGGGACAGAGGAGAGGTGATGGATTTCATATTAAATATCAAATGTGAATCTTTAAAATCCCTTAATTCCATCTTTTATTCCCTGTGTTTTCAGATCATTGATCCCTTTGTTGAAGTTGAGATTATTGGCCTACCAGTTGATTGCTCCAAACAGCAGACCAGAGTAGTGGATGACAATGGTAGGTGTGCAGAACCTCCAACTGGGTGACATCACAGCAGGTTGACATGAGTGTTTTATCCTCATTCAGGCTTCAACCCAATGTGGGAGGAGACGCTTGTCTTCAACATTCAGATGCCGCAGATCGCCCTGGTGAGGTTCCAGGTGTGGGATCACGATCCTATTGGACGAGATTTCATCGGACAGAGAACGGTGGCTCTCACCAGCATGATGCCAGGTGGGTTATGGGAAGCTGTCTTCAAAGGTGGATGAGAGTGAAACTGTTCAGTTTTACTGAAATTACATTATTATTAATGTCTAAAGACAAAAGGTGGACAAAGGTGTTTCCAGTTTGTGTGCAGTCTTCTTCAACTTACTGTTCAAGATGGCCACCACAGCCAACTGTCTTCAGAAAAATGTAAATGATTAACTCTGTCAATTTAACATATATTAGCCTAAAATTATGTGTGTTGGTTCCTGATATTCACACCACATGATCACAGATCAGTCCAGATCCTGCCGGTCAGCTAACTTCATTATGCAGCATAAGACGAGTTTACCTTAAACTTTGGCATTAGACATCATGGATGATATGCAACAAACGGGTTCTTTAATTTTTTGTTTTTTAAGGAAACTGTAAATGATGAACGAGAAGCAAAACATCTTCAAAATGGTACAAGTCCATTTGCCTTACTAGGCTTTAAAGGTCTTAAAGGGGACATATTATGCTAAACTCACATTTTTCATCCTTTTGAGGTGCCATGGGGGTCTCTACTGCCTCCATAAAAACTCCAAACGTGGAAAAAACTCGTTCATCCGTTTTCTGTCAGTGTTTGGTTTTAAGAGCTATGTGCCTAAAACAAGCCGTTTCCAAAAGTCCTGGATTGTAATGTCACAAACGGGGCAATTTGCATTGAACCAACTCATGCAAAAGAGAGCTGCTGCTGGAGGAGCAGTGACTCTCCTCCGAGCCCTTCCTGCTTATCGGAGCTTCTCAGCTAGCAGCATGAGTGGAGGATAGGTGGGTGTGGTCAGCTGCATCTTGTATTCGTAAAGTGACAGAACCCTGAAACGGCTCATTCAGGAAGGCACCGAAAAAGAATAAAAGTCAGATTGTTTTATGTAAAAGGGATTTCATGCAAAGAACTTCATAAAAATGTTTTGTGTCAACCAAAGGACTATTTTAACTTAAGGATTTGCAAGAACATTCATTTCCTTCAGAAGTTTTCAGAACCTTGCAAATAAATAAGCAATTTTAAACTTAAAAAGTGATCATTTGTCTGGGCTTGGATCTGTATTTGTCAAAAATCAATCCATATTAAGCAGCTGTCTCTTCCAGGTTATCGACATGTCTACCTGGACGGGATGGCAGAGTCGTCAGTCTTTGTTCACGTTTCTATCCACGATCTAGCAGGAAAGGTAAAGGCTTCTCGCGGATGAGCCTTCTTTTTAAACTTCATAAATATCCAGCTGTTTATGATATTTCTATGTGAAACAGATGAAACCTGCTCATGCAGTGCAAGCAGCCAGGAAACACATCCAAAAAGCAGCTCAGAAGCACATGAGGGGCCATCCAAGATGTTCATCTCAAGAAAATTCGGTCCTGTCCTCAGAGGACGGACGTCCTCTGTGGATTTTCAAGGATGTGGACACATTTTCGCAAGACAGCAAGAATGGGGAGATGGCCCCTCTTGCACAGGGGCCAGCAGCCAAGGCTGCTGTTCATAAAGGGGCCATAAGCGAACCAGTGAGGCGAGCTCACAGAGTTAAGATTCATGAAGCTCCAGAGGCAAGGAGGGGCTTCTTCAGCCGGATGTCTTCTACAGATTCCCATCACAGTGGGACTGCTCCCTGTGTTAAACAGGAAAGCTTTGACCTCGACACCCCTCCCCATCTCCCGTGTGCTGAAAGTTCTGCTCTGGACAGCCAGAGTCAAACTGATTACAAAGATTTGGCTGAACAGTTAAACTGTTCTGAGCAGCAGGTGGGGAGGAGATTTGAGCCAGATCAGCCTGAGCTTCCAGAGGAACCAGAACCAGAACAGGACCTTTCGACTCAACCAGAGCAGCATCCCGATGCTCACCCTCACCCTGTCCTCCAATCAGACATCGTGCCTCAGCCCAAAGTAAATTTTTTATCTCTTATCCCGCCATCATCCCCCGCCAGAGTCAGACGGACCTTAGAGGCTCCCCTTCCAGTCCTTCCATCCACCCCAGTACGGACAAAAGCTCACTCATGCAGCTGCTCTCAAAAACTGACTACCTCTCCTCAGACGCCGGCAGTGACTCGCAAGCCTGCTTTCCATCAGCAAACCCAACAAGCTCACAGCTACGGCAGCTATGGCAACAAGATGAGTCACGTACCCAATGGTCTGTGTCTGTCTGACAGCAACTCCAGTGACGGGAGCACAGACAGCCTGGAGTTTGTAGCCTCCGATTTGCCAGGCCGGGCAGAGCAACAGGAGGGTACCCTGCAGAGGGAGATGAAGGCCCTGTTTAACCAGAAGATGAGAGACATCAGATGTAAATCTCCACTTTTTCTAGATGGTGAGTAACCGAGGAAATCTATAAATGAATAGAAAGATGTATGACGATGACAATAATGTCATTTTTTCTTTTTATTTTGTTAGCCGAAGATTCTGACTGATACTGAAATCCTTCAGGAGACAAAGAAAATTGTCACCAAAACAAAAAAAAAAGATAAAGGAAGAAGAGAAGGAGCCTCTGATGAGAAGCAAAAAACATTGTTTATTTTCTTAGTACAGCTGGAATTTCTACAGACGACATCTGAAGAGTTATTTTACAAAAGCAGATAACTCCGTTTTAGTCATTAAAAAAATGCATCTTTTTTTATTCAGGTGATAAAATGTTGGTGATTCAGATCAAAAATGGCTTTTATATGTTTTTGTAAATCAACTCTTCATTTATTCTGTTAGTTGTCTTTTGTAAAATCGTTTTTGCTGCCAATTGTACAGCTTGATACAGAGTTAGGTAACTAATGAGAGCTCTGTTTTAAATGTAAACTTGGATTAAAAAAATCTTTTTTATTTGAAAATGTTATCTTTTTAGTCTTTTCTTTAGTTGAAATACAAAGAAATAAAAGATGGATTTTTAATGTAAAATTTGAAGTTTAAAATGTACATTTTAAATGAAAAGTTAAATTCAAAGTTTAAAAATATGTAAAGTTCAGTTCCTGTAAATTATTCCTTAAAAAATAAATGTGAAACAAATACATTAATCACACTAGTCACAATTGTTTTATGCTTTTTCTTTGTCTACGTTTTCCTGGGGTTTGTTCACGTCGCCGTTCCTGAGGCGCAGTCTCAGCTCCTCGGTCAGAACGGAGCAGCAGGACTTCTGTGGAAAGATCAACATGAACAGAAGAACTTATTACCCCGATGAACTACATGTGAACGCTTTTTTTAAACATCTGCTTGTTGTTTTATACTAAAAAGTGTCAAATGGAAGAAGTAACATGTAAGCTCTGATTATTAAAGTTAATCTAAAGTAAATGACACATGAACAGACCTGCTGCTCCGCAGCTTTTCTGCGACTCTTAATGGTGAGCTCAAGGACGGCCACCAGCGTCCCCAGCCCAAGGCCCAGAGACAGAACCAGGAACATCCCCTTCAGGCTGTGTGGCTGCAGAGCTGAAGGTTTGGCCTTGGCTGATATGCAGCTGCTAGCCCACCACTTGCTCCGCAGATAAGCCAGTTCACCAGCCTCATTCAGCTGAAGGATAGCTACACTGAGGTTCTTGATGATTGGAGACCCTAGATGGAAATCAGCAGTTTGAGATGGTAATGATGTCATCATCTGATCATTGTGGAGTAGAAGCTGTTAGACTCACCAAGAGCAGCGGCGATGCTGTATCCTCTCATTCCAATGACTTCATGTGCTCTGACCAGCTCACAGTGACGTGCCACTGCCAAGTCCAAAGACACCGACTCTCCAATAAAAGCAAAGTTGCCCTCTTTAGCACGTCTGATGCCCTCATCCATGGATGACACGAAACTATTGGTTCTCTCCATGTTTTCATAGATTCTGCGATATAAAGGGTTGTTTGAATTCTGGAGGAAGGAAGCAACAACAGGTTTATTGTGACATTAACAAAAATTGTACCTATGGGCATTTTGTGACTTTTTTCTTAAGCTATAATAGTTCTACGGTTTATACAAAACATGTTTATTAAGTTTTTTGCTCAAAATCCCTCTCACATGATGCAATTTCAGTTTTATTCTTGACATTTTCAGTATCTTCCAGAATGAGCCGTTTCAGAGCTCTGTTACTTTAAGAAAACAAGCTAGAGGTGGCCACGCCCACCCATCCCTGCTAATGCTGCTACAAGCTGAGAAGCTCCGATATCAGGGAGGGGCTCAGAGTAGAGCCACTGCACATCCAGGAGCAGCTCTATTTATAAATGAAAGGTGGTTTTATGCTATTTTCACTGTTTGTGATGTCATAAACAGGAAGTTTTTGAAACGACTTGTTTTAGTGATTTAATTCTTAAAATTGACAGATAATGATTATGGACATTTTTTTATGTTTGGAGTGTTTATAGAGGCAGTAGAGACCCACATGGCAGCACAACCGTGCAAAAGGTGAGCTTTGCTAAATACATACTTAACCTGTAAAAAAAAAATCTGTACTTTATTTATGCTCACCTTGAAGAAAGCCAGAGTTGAAGAGCTGGCCAGGCAGCCGTACTCAATCCTGTCCTGACTGGCCAAGTCTTCAAACCCTTTGACTGTCAAGCGACTGGACTCTGGAGTCTTAGACAAGTTCAGGTTGGAGAAATAACAAGCCATAAGGACGATGGAAAATAACCACCAGCTGCAGCAAATGACCCGTCCTGATAGGGCTTTGGGGTGATGACCAGCGCCTAAAACACAAAAACAGGGAGTCAATCAGACATGTTGCTGGTTTACCAAGATTTGAGTTTAAAAACATTATTTTTTCTTTTATTGTGTTTACCTTGTAGAGTTAGAGCTCCAGCTGTGTACCACAGGCTGTAGAGGAAACTGAATCTGTGTTTGTCACTCTGAGCCTGACTCCACTCACATGGGCTGAGTCTGTGTGTTACACGACAAATAATGACGCTCACCACAACAACGTCCCTAAATTATAATCATCACTTGTTTAAACACGCCAACCTGGCAGCAATATAGATGCAAGCAGCAGTCCCCAGGTAGGCGGCGAGCACGCCGATCCATGTTTCCAGAGCGAAGGGGGACAGGAAGTCAAAAAGGCCAGCTCCTTCTGAGATGTCCTTCCTCAGCAAGATGCTGATCCCCGTCTGCATGAAAGGCTTGGTCATGCCAACGGCTCTTTCTCTAGCTGCGGTGAGAGTCAGTGGAGCAATGGCAAGGTCTGCTTCCTGCAAAGAAGCCGTGAATCAGGGTTTGCCAAATTTTGTGCCCTCTAAGATCTTATTTGGGTTTTTTTGTACTCACCCCCCTCACCACCTCTCCAATCATCCCATTCCAGTTCCCGCTCTCATCTTGCCTTCCATATGAGTTGTCTTTCACTAGCTGCACTTTGTACCTGAAGCCAACTTTATTGGCTATTTCAGAGAGCAGGTCCATGCAGAAACCCTCCAGCTGAGTGCCTTTGGTGGTTGCATATGGCTCTTGCTGAAGAAAAGGTAGAAAAACATCAAATCAGTTCAGCTTATTTCCCCTTTATCGTTGTTTTAACAGACACTGTCTTCTGTGAGAGTCAAGTACCTTTATCGTGGTGATTCTCAGCTCAGATGGTACTAAAAACGATGGAAAAGATGGAAAAAAAGATTTAGTAGTTTTGGTTTTAATGCTTCCAAACTTCAGACTTGGGATGTCTGATATTATCGGCCGATATTGGTATTAAAATGTCCATCCATCCATCCATCTATCCATCCATCCATTCATCCATCCATCCATCCATCCATCCATCCATCTATCCATCCATCCATCCATCCATCCATTTTCATCCGCTTATCCGGAGTCGGGTCGCGGGGGCAGTAGGCTAAGGCGAGAGGCCCAGACTTCCCTTTCCCCAGCCACTTGGGCCAGCTCCTCTGGGGGAATCCCAAGGCGTTCCCTGGCCAGGTGAGGGACATAGTCCCTACACCGTGTCCTGGGTCTACCTTTAGGTCTCCTCCCGGTTGGACGTGCCCGGAAAACCTCACCAGGGAGGCGTCCAGGAGGCATCCTGGCCAGATACCCGAGTCACCTCAACTGGCTCCTCTCGATGTGGAGGAGCAGCAAATCTACTCCGAGCCCCTCCCGAATAACCGAGCTTCTCACCCTATCTCTAAGAGAGAGCCCAGCCACTCTTCGGAGAAAACGCATTTCGGGCACTTGTATCCACGATCTAGTTCTTTTGGTCACTACCCAAAGCTCATGACCATAAGTGAGGGTAGGAACGTCGATCTATTGGTAAATCGAGAGCTTCGCCTTCTGACTCAGCTCTCTCTTCACCACGACAGACTGGTACAACGCCGGTATCATTGCAGATGCAGCACCAATCTGCCTATCGATCTCACGCTGCAGTTTTCCCCTCGCTCGTGAACAAGACCCTGAGATACTTAAACTCCTCCACTTGGGGCAGGACCTCATCCCTGATCTGGAGAAGGCATTCTACCCTTTTCCGAATCAAGACCATGGTCTCAGATTTAGAGGAGCTGATTCTCATCCCAGCTGCTTCACACTCGGCTGCAAACCGCTCCAGCGAAAGCTGAAGATCCCGTTCTGATGAAGCCAACAGGACTACATCATCTGCAAAAAGCAGAGACCTGATCCTCAGGCCACCAAATCGGATGCCCTCCACACCTTGGCTGCGGCTAGAAATCCTGTCCATAAAGGTTATGAACAGAATCGGTGACAAAGGGCAGACTTGGTGGAGTCCAACTCTTACTGGGAACGAGCCCGACTAACTGCCGGCAATGTGGCCCAAGCTCTGACACCGGTCATACAGGGACCTAACAGCCCGTATCAGAGGACCTGGTACCCCATATTCCCGGAGTACCCCCCACAGTGCCCCCCGAGGGCTGCGGTCAAACGCCTTCTCCATATCCACAAAACACATGTAGACTGGTTGGGGAAATTCCCATGCACCCTCCAGGATCCCCCTAAGGGTAGAGCTGGTCCAGTGTTCCACGACCAGGACAAAAACCACATTGCTCCTCCTGAATCTGAGGTTCAACAATCCGACGGACCCTCCTCTCCAGAACCCCTGAATAGACATTACCAGGAAGGCTCAGGAATGTGATCCCCTGTAGTTGGAAAAAACCCTGCGGTCCCCCTTTTTAAATAAGGGGACCACCACCCCGGTCTGCCAGTCCAGTGGGACTGCCCCCGATGTCCACGCAATATTGCAGAGCCGCATCAGCCAACACAGCCCCACAACATCCAGAGCCTTAAGGAACTCTGGGCAGATCTCGTCCACCCCTGGAGCCTTGCCACAGAGGAGCTTTTTAACCACCTCAGTGACCTCAGCACCAGAGATTTGAGAGGCCAACCCAAAGTACCCAGACTCTGCTTCCTCACTGGAAGACATGTCGGTGGGATTGAGGAGGTCTTCGAAGTATTCTGCCCACCGATCCACAACGTCCTGAGTAGAGGTCAGCAGCACACCATCCCCACTATAGATAGTGTTTGTAGCACACTGCTTTCCCCCACTGAGGCGCCGGATGGTGGACCAGAATCTCCTCGAAGCCTTACAAAAGTCTTGCTACATGGTTTCACCGAGCTCCTCCCATGCCTGGGTTTTTGCCATGGCAACCACCCGAGCAGCGTTCCGCTTGGACTGCCGGTACCCGTCAGCTGCCCCTGGAGTTCCACAGGACAAAAAGACCTGAAAGGACTCTTTCTTCAGCTTGACAGCATCCCTAACCGCCGGTGTCAACCAGCGGGTTCGGGGGTTGCCACCACAACAGGCACCGATGATCCTGCGACCACAGCTCCCGTCGGCCGCCTCAACAATGGAGGCACGAAACAGGGTCCATTCAGACTCAATGTCCTCTGCCTCCCCCGGAACATTTTGGAAGTTCTGTCGTAGGTGGGAATTGAAGCTCCTTCTGACAGGAGACTCTGCCAGAAGTTCCCAGCAGACCCTCGCAATACGTTTGGGCCTGCCTGGTCTGACCGGCATCCTCCCCACCATCTGAGCCAACTCACCACCAGGTAGTGGTCAGTTGACAGCTCCGCCCCTCTCTTCACCCGAGTGTCCAAGACATGCGGCCGCAGGTCACATGAAACAACAAAGTCGATCATCGAGCTGCGGCCTAAGGTATCCTGGTGCCAAGAGCACATATGGACACCTTTATGTCTGAACATGGTGTTCATTATGGACAATCCATGACTGGCACAGAAGTCCAATAACAAAACACCACTCAAATTCAGATTAGGGGGGCCGTTCCTCCCAACCACACCTCCCCAGGTCTTACTGTCGTTGCCCACGTGAGCGTTAAAGTCCCCCAGCAGAACGAAGGAGTCACAGGAAGGAGTGCTTTCCAGCACCCCCTCCAAGGTCTCCAAAAAGGGTGGGTAGTCTGAACTGTAGTTTGGTGCATATGCACAGACCACAGTCAAAACCCATTCCCCAACACATAGGCGGAGGGAGGCTACCCTCTCATTCACTGGGGTAAACCGCAACGTACAGGCATCAAGATGGGGGGCAACTAGTATACCCACCCCTGCTCGGCGCCTCTCAGTGGGAGCAACTCCAGAGTGGTAGAAAGTCCAACCCCTCTCAAGCAAACTGGTTCCAGAGCCAGAGCCATGCGTTGAGGTGAGTCCGACTATATCTAGTCGGAACCTCTCAAACTCACACACCAACTCAGGCTCCTTCCCCACCAGAGAGGTGACATTCCAAGTGCCAAGAGCCAGCTTCTGTAGCCGAGGATCAGACCGCCAAGGTCCCTGCCCTCGACTACCACCCGTCACACACTGCAACCGACCTCTTTGGCCCCTCCCATGAGTGGTGAGCCCATGGGAAGGGGGACCCACGTTTCCTCTTCGGGCCGTGCCCGGGTGGGCTCCAAGGGTGAAAGCCCGGCCACCAGGCGCTCGCCAACATGCCCCACCTCCAGGCCTGGCTCCAGAGGGGGGCCCTGGTGACCCACGTCCAGGTGAGGGAACACAGTTTCCATTTATATAATTAATCATAAGAGGTCTTCGGTATTAAAATGTGATATCAGAAATGATCTGTAACTGTTTTTACTGTTATAATGACACATCTTTTACATAGCATGCACATATTATACAACAAACTCTTCAGCTACCTCTCATCTTACTCAAAATCTCACAATATGACAGATCTGATCTCTAGTTGTGCAGATATTTATGTTTGTTTGGCACAACTTGTGAAGAGTCGACATGTGATGTCAGTTACCTAAAATAATTTTTTTCATTTTTATACAAGTGGGGTTCCCTGTAAATATTGATAATGGTTTATATCTGCATCAGAAATGAAGAGGTCGACTACATTGGCCTTTTGGTAAAAAAGCCGATATAGAACATCCATAATTCAGACACAAACCAAATCGTTATAACTTCTCTGAGGAAGTTTACGAGATGATCTGAAAGTTGATGGTCCTCCAATTAACTAATTTTTCTGTTTGTGGCCTCACTTTACTGGCCTAAAATTGTTATTTAGTGACACCAGTGACTGTTTGGGCCGTGAAGACAGAGAGTCGGAAGGAGTTTGAGGATGAAAAGAAGAAAGACGGAAGTCTGAGCTACACCCTGCTGCTCAACGATCCAACAAGGCATCAGGAAAGGTTATTTATCACTAGCTGATATAAATATATCCTGGTGTGAAATGTTTACTGGGCACTACAACAGTGTCTGAGATAATCAGACTGTGTAATAAAATAAATAAATAAATAAATTAAATTAAATTGTAAAAAGAAAAGATTTTGTGTAGTAAAAATTTCCTTTTTTATCCCGTCAGTCTTCAAACCAATGCAAAGCCAATACCTCTGATGTCCTAGAGGACTTCCGGTATTTTAGAGATCCAGCTGCTTTCCTTTCTTTCTTTTCAAAAGCAAACAACGTGATCTATTTAGAGCAGCGTGTTCATCTAAAGCCCCTCAGTGGTATAGCGGTTTTTGATGGGAGGGCAGACAAAGCGTATCAAAAGCCTGAATTCAGGCCGCAGCCTTGGGGATCCATCACCACAGGGTGATCCTGACAACCATCAGATCCTCCTTTTTCAGAAAAAAGATGACATACATGTGAGCTCGACGAGCCCCCGCCTTGGTTTTGGCCGCTCTGAAACACAGGGCCTTTGTTCCCATCGCAGACTTGACTTATTACCAGTTTTGTAAGATTGTCAGTTGGCTCGAGTTTCCCCCAAAAAGTTGGACAGGATGTGTGGCTACACTTTGATATTCATCTGAGCTGACAGTTCATGCATTTATGTCTTGTCAAGACTGAGAAATTTCAACCAGATACTGCTGAGTAAACACGGGGGATACGGCCAAGAAGCAAAGGAAGCTGAATGAAAAATGTACTGACCGGGTCAAGAATCAGCCTCCAGGATTTTTTTGATCCCCATATTAAAGCACATATTTAAACCTATTATATTGTTTTTGGTTCAACCTGAGACAAACGTAGTCTTACCTACTGTAGATCCTCCCATATTCAGGAAAACCCCAGAAGACAGGAAGAAAAAAACAAACAGCATCCTGGATCTAAGAACGTTCAGCCTGCAGACCACACAAAAAAAAGGATTCAGTGCTTTGTTGTGAGTCAGAATTAAAATAAGTGTACATGAACTAAATGAAAGTAGTGTTAATAGCTTACGATGTATAGTCAGAGAAGAAAGAGCAAAATGAACATCAGAAATACCTGCAGAGAGTACAAGATGTGACTGCTGGATCTGCTCATCAGTTGCAAACAGACCCCAGTGAGCTGAGAGCTGAAGCAGAGACGGCCAATAAAGTTTTTAGTGGGCGGAGAAAAAACATTTGGGCTTGTTTCGAAAGGGTGGAGAGGCACAGCGGGATACAAATGTTGTCTTGCGTTAAGAAATGACATTATTGCATTGAAAATAAATAATAAATGTAACGTTTGCAAGCATGATAGATCTTACTGTATCAATTATTGAGTACATGTATTGTTTGTTCTTTGTACTTTTGTTGATTTTTATGCATTTCTAGTGGATCTGACATTGGCTGCAGCAATGTGTGCAGAAGGTACAATAAAGGGGAAAAAAGACAGTTCAAGACAACTGATTGGGTATCACCACGTTGGTGATGAAATACAATTTCATGTGTCATCTTTGGTTCAGATAACTGAAAAAAGAATGAGAACAAATTGTGTGAAAATAGCCACGTTCAAGTTTATTTACTGTTATCAGTAAACACAACACAAGTTCACCCCTGTACTTGAGGGAAATCTGTCTAAATGATTCAGAGTTCAGTGATTTAACTAACAAACACATTGAACACTTCAGAAAATGGTCAGAATGGACAAAGATATTGATAAAGTAGTAAAAGTTTAGATAAAAAATTCCAGAAATACTAAGAGTACCGTACTTTAGAAGAATATAAAAGTAATTTTATATTCACATTGAATACTTGTAAAATAATTTGAGTGTTATTATTACTTGTATTCTCAATTGTAGAGGTACATAATTTAGTATAATTAGTTTTAAATTATCCAGTGCTACAGTAGAGAAAATAATATATATATATATATATATATATATATATATATATATATATATATCTTTTTGATCTGTTTTCTATAATAAGGAAAAAATAACTCTAAAGTCCTGTTTGACACCATAAACCAGATTGTTTCACCTCATGCCCCTCTTATGCCAGTTTACTCAAGGTCTGACTGTAACAACTTTCTAGCATTCTTTGAGGATAAAATCAGAAATATCAAGGCAAGTTTTCCATCCCCATCTACTCCCCCCCCCACCCCCCCACCGCACCAACCTCCTCCCTCTCTATCATGGTCTGTCTTTACTCCTGTAGATTTCCAGGACATTTGCCTCATTCAGAAACACATGTAACCAACCTCATGCCCTACTGATTTCATTCCTACTACCTTGTTAATCAGGATGTTTGACCAAATTGGCCCATGCATTGTAGATGTTATTAATTTATCCCTACAATCTGGCTCTGTACCATCTGTTTTCAAGCATGCAGTTATTGAACCTGTCCTTAGAAAAACAAGTTTGGACTCATCTCAGCCTAAAAATTACAGACCCATTTCTAAATTACCCTTTATCTCTAAAATATTGGATAAGGTTGTGGCAGATCAACTGATTACTTTTCTGGAACTACACAACAGTTTTGATCAATTCCAGTCTGGTTTTCGTAAAAAGCATTCAACAGAAACAGCTTTGCTTAAAGTTTCCAGTGACATCATGATGGCTGCAAACAGGGAGTTCACAGTGTTAGTATTGTTAGATATTTCTGCAGCTTTTCACACTGTTGAGCAGCACCTTAATTAACAGACTTGGTGACTCAGTGGGGATCTCTGGAACTGTTCTGGTTTAGATTGTACCTTTCAAGCAGAAGTTGCAGTGTATGTATAAACCAAATCATGTCAGATTCTACTGATCTGTTCTGTGGGGTACCCCAATGGGCCATTCCCATCTGTACCGGGTCGGCCCGAGCCGGGTAGCGTAGGTTGTTTACATATCTGGGTGGCCTGGTATTTTTCCGGGCCAGCCAAGGCTCATTCTCAGCCCTCTTCTCGAGGGGGTCTGCTTCAGGCCGACCAGGGCCAACACACCCACTGCTGACAGCAAATTCACACCTTCCATTAGAGCAAGCCTCTGATTGGTGGGTAGAATCAGCCCACATGGGCTTATGGCAAGGATGTGTGGAATCAACCGGGCCAGGCTGGGGCCGACCGGTGCTACCCGGCCCGGGCCGACCCGGTACAGATGGGTATGGCCCATAAAACTTTCAAGGCTCTACATGGTCAAGCTGAACTGTTAAAGCCTTATGCTCCAACCTGAGCCCCCAGGTCCACACACCAGAAACTTCTAGAAGTTCCAAAGACCAGACACAAAAGTCGAGGTGATCGCTCCTTCCAGACTGTTGCACCCCGGCTCTGGAATGATCTTCCTTTATCCTTACGCAGCATTGACAGTCTGGACACTTAAAAAAACAGCTAAAGACCCTGTTATTTAAAGCTGCTTTTAACTGAACCTTTTATTTACTTATTTTTAACTCAAATTTTAATTTTTCACCTGTTTATGAAAATTTATAATTTTATGACTATTTTTTCTGATGCTAATGTAGCCCTGTCTAATTGTTTTGAGAGCATTTTGATTTTATGATGATAAACTATGATTTTATGACTTTGTTTTATTTTGTTTTGATCTATGTGAAGCACTTTGTGATTCTATGTCTGTGATAAGTGCTCTATAAATAAAATTTACTTACTTACAAAAACATCCCCCAAAATTAAAATACAAAGATATGAATGGCAGCGACTCTTTGGTGAATTACTTTGCACGCTGAAATGAAATAAATAAATATTAATTTTCAGACACGATCTTAAGTCTGGTTTGTGGAAAAGGTGGAAATGATGGCGCGAGCTAAACGTCCCGTTGTTTTTTTCATCACTTGTTTCCGCGGTGACCTCCAGAACCAGTCCGGTGAATTCGCTTCGTCTCGCGGACCAACCTCGAGCCGGTGCGCGTCGCGTGCGAGGCAAAGCAACGACCTACAATTGGCCGAGGTGGGTTTTTTCTAAAGGGGCGTATTTTTCAAGCCATCTTGACTGAATATTTAGCCTCATCCAAGGTACATTAATTTGATATTTTGGGGCTTTCGCTGTCCCCAAATTGCTCACCACCATCGGTTAAAAGGCTCAAGCCGCACCGATGTGACCGGGTCGAGTTTGTGTGCTTAACCGAAGCCCCGGCGGAGAAGTGGAGCGCTGAAAATGTCGCTCCTGAAATTACCGGCCAGCTAAGCTAACATGTCCGCCTTGGTCGGAGTCTGTCACTAGCTGACATTTAGCCAGGTGCAGCTTTTTCTGTGGGCAACTCGCACTGCTGAGGACGACTTATCGAGGTAAATTACTCTGATTTCAGTATTCGCAGCTTAAATACTGCCTTTTTGTCACACGATATCATTCGTGTGTCCTGTCCGACCGAACAACGTTTTCACACCAGCCCAGAGACACCCTTTTTGCAGGGGTCTGGAGCACAAAGCAATACCCGGAACGGTGCTCCGCTGCTGTGTCGTGCTCTAATGTATACATGCCGTAATTGAATGCATTAAGGCACGGTGTGTCGACAGAATCTGCTCTCTGTTTGTTGATTGAATGTATAATTTGGCTGCTAATCAACTTGCAATACACCCGTTGTCTCTGCTGTTGTGCGCTTAAAATGGCTGACTGATGTTAGATACTTGGGCTGGTATTTAGCGCGCGCCAACCGAACTATGCACAGCAACAAGGGGGGAGAAACACGGTTTTCGTTTCTGATTGGTCCAACGGAGATTCTACGTATAACTGACTGCTGATTGGACCAGTGGGGGACCGCGCTGATCACGGGTTGTTTTTGAGCAGCATGAGTGTGTGAGGTAACACTGCTCTGACAGTACACAGGAACAGTTTAGCTCCCTTTACATGTTTATTATGGTGTTCAAGAATAAATGACGTCACAACCACTTATTAGAGTAAAAGACGTATGTCAAATTTCCAATTTGTATTTTAATTATTATAAATATTATTGTAGCTATTAATATAAATATTAAGTATTATATATACTTTTTATGACTTCCTCCCCTTTTGCTTTATTAGCGTTTGATCTGGTCTTTTAAGACTACAAAATAAAATTAAACTAAAATAAACTAAATTCAGACCTTCAGCATTTAATAATTTGTCAAATCGATGACAATAATTATATGGTTTTAAACACCAACATGTACAGCAGAGGTGGGCAATCCTGGTCCCCCAGGACCACTATCCAGCATATTTCAGAGGTTTCTCTGCTTCTACACACCTGATATTAATCAGTAAGTGATTAACAGGCTTCTGCAGAGCTTGATGAGGTACTGAATGGGGATTCAACCATTGAATCAGGTGTGTTGGAGCAGGGAAACAACTAAAACATGTTGGATGGTGGCCCTTGAGGACCAAAGTTGCCCACCTGTTACACAGACAAACAGGGCACACATTGACGTAGCAACAACACTGGAGAGATTTTTGAGAATGTTTGATTTTAAGATGAAACAACAAAACTTATTACGAAGATGGAAAGGCCTCTTGTTTCTGAGATTTTAGCTCTTGTGTCACTTTTCAAGTATTTGTACATTTGTAAAAGCTTTATTGAAATATTAAACATGTTCTCCCGTGTGTGTGTGTGTGTGTGTGTGTGTGTGTGTGTGTGTGTGTGTGTGTGTGTGTGTGTGTGTGTGTGTGTGTTTTAGAGCAGAGAAGTGAAGTCCCATGCGGAAGGTGAAGAGGTGGGAATGCGGGACGGTTGTTAGAAGACTCAACATGGGAAGGGGTCGAGGCAGAGGGAGAGGAAGAGGCAGGGGATCATCTGGTCAGTTACGGCCCCCCTCGCCTTATAAACTGCAGCTCTCTCCATCCAGGGAGACTTTGACATATGCTCAGGCCCAGAAGATTGTGGAAGTGGACCTGGATGGAAGGCTCCATCGCATAAACATCACAGATCTTCTGCCAGTTATTACAGAGGACGAGATGATGGCTCAGGATCTTGCTGAATGCAACAGCAACAAGGAGAACAGCGAGCAGACTCAAAGTAAAAGCAAATCGTGGAAGAAACCATCAAACAATAAAACCAGAAAGATCAGTAAAAATGCATCTCAACAGAACCACCGTTCTGGCTCTCAGCAGCATGCTGGATCTCTGCAGCACCCATCCAATCAAACTCTTCTGCCTGAGCCCACCTTTCGCACTCTAAGTTCAGTTTCACCTTCAGAGACGCCTCCTCTCCCACCCGCCTACTACCGCTACATAGAGAAGTCGGGGGAGGAGCAGGACAGTGTAGCCGAGTACGACATGGATGAGGAGGACCTGGCTTGGCTGGAGATGGTGAACCAGAAGAGGGTGTCTGACGGCCATGCATCTGTTTCTCCGGACACTTTTGAGCTTCTGATTGATCGCCTGGAGAGGGAGTCCATCCTCGAGTCACGCAGCCAGGCTCTGTCCCAGAGCACCGTTGATGAGGATGCCTTTTGCTGCGTCTGCTTGGATGACGAATGTCTGAACAGCAACGTCATCCTGTTTTGTGACATCTGCAACCTAGCCGTCCACCAGGAGTGTTATGGAGTGCCCTACGTACCTGAAGGCCAGTGGCTGTGCCGCTGCTGCCTGCAGTCCCCCTCCCGCCCTGTAGACTGTGTCCTCTGTCCTAACCGAGGAGGTGCCTTCAAACAGACCAGCGATGGACGATGGGCTCATGTTGTCTGTGCCATATGGATCCCAGAGGTGTGCTTTGCTAACACAGTGTTCTTAGAGCCCATCGAGGGGGTCAAGAACATTCCTCCCGCTCGCTGGAAGCTCACGTGCTACTTATGCAAGCAGAAAGGCAGGGGAGCATCTATTCAATGCCATAAAGCCAACTGCTACAGAGCTTTTCACGTCACCTGCGCCCAGAAGGCTGGACTTTATATGAAAATTGACCCGGTCCGAGAGACGGGAGTTAACGGCACCACCTTCTCTGTGAAGAAGACTGCTTTCTGTGAGCATCACTCTCCTGTTGGGTCTCGGCGGGACGGATCTGGAGATGAGTCTGTGGAAGGGAGGATGGTAGGGGGGAGGGGTAACCGGGGTCAGAGGTCATACACTCAAAGTCCGCCTTCACCTGTCAACAAGAAGGCAGCCAAGGGCCAAAAGAAGAAGAATACAAAAAGATCTGGGTCGACGCGCCGTTCTAATATTCCTGTGCTGCTTGTTCCTCAGATCCCCTCTCACAGGTGGGATATTAGCACTCGGATATGATTCAATTGTACTTTTTTATTTTTGCCTTAAATAAATGTGTTATTTATTTTGATTCACGACCCAGTGTAGTTCATCACCACCACTTTTCAACTGTTCCATTTTTTCATCAGGCTGAATAAGATCTGCACAGGAGTGGACGTGCTGAGGAAAAACCAGTTCATGCAGAGACTTCATAATTATTGGTTACTGAAGCGACAGTCACGCAACGGCATGCCTTTAATACGCCGGCTCCATTCCCATCTGCAAGCTCACAAGACCACAGAACAGGTGAGCACAGCTGCTGTCTCCATCACGCAACAGCACTAGTGTTTCTGACATCCTGGGCACGAGTGTGATGTTTCTATTCCTTTGCTTTGATGTTTAGCGGGAGCCTGACAAGAAGCTGAGCGCTGCCAGGGAGGAACTACGATACTGGCAAAAGTTGAGGCAAGACTTGGAAAGAGCTCGACTGCTGGTGGAACTCATCCGAAAAAGAGAGAGATTAAAGAGGGAACAGGTGAGGGATGATGTCAGAAACATGAGTGGTCAGATTTGAGTTATGTCGTTCTTAAGCATCATTAGCATTAGAGATGAAAAAGTGGGGTTTTGACTAAATTAGACTATTTATTACTTTTGAGTCATTCATTGTACAAAAAATAATTTAAATGAAGAATTCATGCATTTAATACAGTAATAGTTTTGATCTTTTGCCAGTGATTTACACCATGCAGAGTGATCTTGAGTTTCCTCCTGCTCTGTGTTGTTATCAGATGAAAATCCAGCAGGCTGCCCTTGACTTAACCTTGACTCCTGCTCTGGTGCTTCTGCAATCCACTTTGGACCAACTACAGGAGAAGGACACAGCCAAAATCTTCTCTCAGCCCGTCAATCTATCAGAGGTCAGAGCACTTAAAGATAACACACACTTCAGTCAGGCTGAGTCGACTGTGATCCAGCTGTAGGGGTCACAGGCGAACATTTTAATTTTTTTTCCTGATCTTTGAATGCATCACAGCTTCGTTGCAGTAGCAATGGTGTTTCATAAGTGTGATTTTATTTTTATTGGGTTAGCGATTTCTAGTATTTCTAAAATATATAAAGTAAAAGGTTTACTATTAACTAACTAATTTTCTTTTCATTCAGAAATGGGGGAAAAAATCTTGTTTTCTGTCAATTCTTGTTGTCAGACAGAAATTCAGCAAGGTCATAAAACTTATTTGTGCATCTCTATCTTCCTGACATTCTTTTTTTTTTTTCTTGGATTGTGGAGGTCCCAGATTACCTGGAGTTTATATCCCAGCCCATGGACTTCGCCACCATGCGTTCCAAACTGGAGGGCCATGCCTATTGCTCAATCGGGGACCTAGAGAAGGACTTTGATCTCATGATCTCCAACTGCCTCAAGTACAACTCCAAGGACACCATGTTCCACAAAACAGCCTTACAACTACGGGAAGTGGGGGGAGCCATTCTCCGTCATGCACACAGACAGTCTCAAAGCATCGGCCTTGACCCCAGCACGGGTATGCACCTGCCAGAAGCGCCAAACAAACATGGCTTCTACCAATGCACATGGGAAGATGGTGAGTGGATAAGAATTAGCCGTGGTTTCCTGATCATAACCAGTATTCCTCTGTAAAGTATGCAGTCTTTTTCTCCACAGTTGATTCTCTCCTGGATCCCGACAACAGATTGCACCTAACCACAGACGATCAGCTCAAGGCTTTGTTAGAAAAACTGGATATCGTCTCATCCATGCGCACCAGCGGCGGTCGCACCAAACGCATTAGGCTGCTGCGCCGAGAGATCAACTCTCTGAGGCAGAAGATGAACCAGGAGCAGCAGAATACTCAGTCTGTGAATGGAAACAATGAGGAGGAGGAGGAAGAAAATGAGGAGGAAGAGGAGATTGAGGAGGAAAAGCAGGAGAAAGCCAAGAAAAAAGAGAAAGCGAAATTAGAGAATGGGCCTTTAACTGCTGTATCAAACTCCGGGACAGGTACCATCGTTAATTTTTACCTTTATTACAATTATTACATTTTTTTAATTATTTAGCTTACTGAGGAAAATCTTTGAGTTTAAGAATAGTATTTTTCATCTGATCTTGGCTGTTTTAATATTCTAATGATTCACTCTGATGCAGACGACTCTCCACCTGTGCTCGAGCTTACCTGCCCGGTATCGTCGCCCTTACCAGGAGATGCCCCTCTGGAGCCCCCTGTTCTGGGCATTGTGACAGGGGGGCGGAGGTCACCAGGGCGTTCCTACAAGCGTCAGAGGTCCTCGCGCAGTGGGAGCAAAAGCCAAGGTGAAGATGAAGCGGAAGTGGGAGAAACACCCTTTTCACAACCGGAGGCCGTTCACGAGGTTACACCACTTGGCGCTCCTCCAACTCTTCCGCTGGTCGGAGTTGGTCGTCGCACATCCGTTTTGTTTAAGAAAGCTAAAAACGGGGCAAGGATGGGAAAAAGCAAATCCCCTCCTCCTCCTTGTCAGAATGGGAAAACCTCTGAGGAGAAAACAAACGGACTGGACACCTCTTCTGTTAGCCAAAACTCAACCGCCACTCTTCGTCCAGCTCCTAACACTTCTCCTGCTCCTTCCTCCCCGTCCTCACACCACCTGAGGTCAAGAGGCCCCAGCTTAGAAAGTGAGATAGACAAACCTCCTGCACCTCCCAGAGAAGGTTAGACAGAAGAGTTCAGTGTCTTACAAACATCGGGCTCTCCAGAAAGTTAATCCTAGTCACTTGTTTTCTAGGCCTAACAAACGGAAAGCACATTTCTGCAGAACAGGATCGGGATGAAGATGATGAAGATGACAAGGAGGAGGAGGAGGATGGTGATGAGCCAGACCTAACGTGAGTAACAGTCTTGGGTGTCAAATTCAGTAAACATAAATCTCAATAGACATTGTTGCCTCAAAGCAGCTAACTCACAGGTTTGCAAAGGTAAACGTGTTTGGAGAGTAAAATGTGAGCATTTTGTACAGGTTTTACGGTAAATGGCTATATTTAAATGTTCATAGGACTGTAGATTAATAGAATTGTCATTAGAACTGAGTAGTAGCTTCCTGTTCTCTGGTTGAAATGACCATCCTTTACTGCTTCTGGCTGTTCTCCACTGCAGCGTTCCTCCTCTCAAACGTAGTCGGGGGAAACCAGCTTTGGCCAAAGTTCCAAGTAAAGAGAACAGAGACATCTCCGTGTCTGGTGTGTTCCACAGCAAAGCAAAACAACTGTGTTTTTTTGTTTCTACACACAATGAAGTCATCTTCAGATACATATAGTTATGGTTCAGGCTCTATTATGAGTAAAGAGCAATGGATCAAAGTGGAATCTCCTGTTTACAGGTAAGTCTACACTTCTGTCTTTAGATGGTGATACGGAGCTATCACCACTGGACCTGGTTTGGGCAAAATGTAGAGGATATCCCTCCTACCCAGCGATGGTGAGACTGTGTTTATAAATATAACACCTTCCTTTTCCAAAATGACAGAAAGTCATTGTTTTGTAGCTGAAATAATCCGTTGCTACAGATTGTTGATCCAGACATGCCTCAGGAAGGACTCCTCCACAATGGCATCCCCATCCCAGTGCCTCCCGTGGAGGTGCTCAAACTGGGCGAATGGAGGAAGACGGAGGAAGATGAGAAGCTTTTCTTGGTGCTCTTCTTTGACACCAAAAGAACTTGGTAAGATTCCGACAAGAGGTAGAAGCTCACGCCAAATGTAAAATCAAACAGTACTCACCAACACGTTCCTTCTGGGTTTTAGGCAATGGCTTCCTCGGGACAAACTACTGCAGATGGGGATCGACGACACTGTAGACAAGCTGCGCTTAATGGAAGGCAAAAAACCCAGCGTGCGCAAGTCTGTACACACTGCATATGACCGGGCAATGGTGCATTTAAACCACGTGAGAGGAAATCTTAACTTCACTCCCTCCAATTTTATATAGATTTTACTTTAAAGAGTTTTATTATCGTAAACGAGACCGCTGATCATATGTATAGAAGACTCTTCGACCCTTTTACAAAATGTGGGAAAGTACAAAACACTTCCTTAGCTTGTTAAATGAATTTGTTCATGTATTGGTGTACATTTTTAAAAAGGGTTTTACACGACTGTTGCTGTGTGTTGATATGAAGTTTTTATTATAGGCCAAAGTGAGTCGCGACTCAGTGGAGAGATCTGTTGTTTATCTGGCAAAGGGACATATTTAGATTGTATTTGCTATTAAAATGTCACTGTGTGTTATCAAGTCTCACTTTAACATTCACACCATGACTGGACTCTGGTGGTTAAAAATATCATATTTATGTTTATTTACTTGGCAGAAGTTTTTATCCAAAGCAACGTACAATTGTTAACCTATAGGGCATGTTGTGATCTGTGGGGAAAACCGGAGTTCCCAGAGGAAACCTACGCAGGCACAGGGAGAACACGCTACTCCGCGCAAAAAGGCTGCAGCCGAGTTTCGAACCTGCAACCTTCTTGATGCGAGGCAACAGTGCCAATAACTGTGTGTGTGTGTGTGTGTGTGTGTGTATATATATATATATATATATATATATATATACATACACAAACCAGCCCACTACTGTAGATCTAAAAATGTTTTTTGACACACTTGATTATATCCTACTCTTTCTGAGATGTTTCATTAAAGTTGAAATGAGAAATTAATTTAGTCCAGCCATGGTGTCCTGTTGGTGTGACTTTTAACTGTGTTTGATGAGTTTTCCATATTGTGAAACTGTAAAATACTCGAATGTTAAAGTGGCCGGCGCATCAAACTGGTCAGGAAAATTTAAAGCCACTACAAAGCTGAAGCAGAGAAATTAACTGCGATAACTTACTGAAAACCTTGCATTTGTTACCAAATCTGACTGAAAAGACTTGAAAAGCACAAATGCTCTGGTTTAAGATTGGTGTTTTCTGGAGGCCAGAAATGTGGCCCAACCTTACTGTGTCTGTGTACAGCTTAGTTTTATGTAAACAACCCTCCGTGTGGTAAAATTGCATGTGTATAGTTTTGTAAATATGTAAATGTATGTTTATATTTGCTTACATGAAGTAATTTAAGGAATGCAAAAATCAAATATAGATTTTAATTTATAATTTGTTGAAGTAGAGGTGTTATTTAAAAAGTAAAATATTGAAAAGAAATATGTATGATCTAAGTAGCTCTTTGTAATTGATGGTATTTGCCAACATGTTGAAAATGATTCTGTAAAAGTGAGGTGGCACAAGACCTAAACTGTTGGCAGCTGTGTCTGCTTTTGCCTATGAGGTTCATTTTTCCTTTGGTGGTACAGATTTTTGATCTTGTAATTTTAATAATTACCACAAGATCTACACTCTGCCTGAGATAATATTTTCTCACACAAGAATAAATGCTGTTTGAAAGAAAACTGCTTGTGGTGTTTTTGATTAGCCTTTAACTGCTGGACCATGACACACCTAATAACTTAATTATTGAATACAAACAAAAAATCTTACAAGATGGCTCAATAATAAAGGCTCCACATTGGTCTTTCCAGCTCCTTGCACTCATTTAATACCTGCCAGGAGTTCAACCTAATAGCCATCTGCAGCAATGGGAACTCAGTTTCACAATCCAATAATATCTTAAAACCTCAGATTTTTTTTAGAAGAGAATCAAATATAAATTCTGACTTGTGCATTCAGTTCTTGTTTTTACAACATTGTAGTTTGTGTTTTAAGGAGTCACAGCGATGCTTTTTAAACCCAATATCACCGTGACGGACACCATTCATGTGGCGTTGGTGCGTCGTAGTGGATGGAATAATGACGGATGACTAAACAGCAATGACTCCAAACACGTTGCCGATGATGTCAGGCTTCTAGAATGGGTTTCCGCATAAACGCCAATAAAAACAGGACCAAATTTAAAGATGCATTATGCGAGAATGGAGTAAGAATATCCTGTGATCAAATTAGTTTAGTGCAGCCCACTTTCCCCCAAAATTAGATACTTTCTCACTGCTGTTCCATGAGTTTCATGGCCGTTGTTAGTGGTGACTCAGCACCAGAAGATTCTAAAAAGTCATACACAGTAAATTGAAAAGTAAATAAATACATTTTACTGTAATATCAAGTTGTTGGTAATTGAAAATGTGTCTTGACATGTTTTTAGAGCCGACCATTTGTTTCTAATTCACTGTTAGCATTGTTAGCTTCTAGCCTTCTTCACCCGGAGATGTGATGGCTTTTTAACCCTCCCACGGTCTTCATGGGTGACCCCGCTAAGAAAGGAGTGAGCACCACCTCACCCCTGCCACGTGGACCTCAAGGGATAAACCATCAATCCTGCTCAACGGTCAACTTTCCTGGCGGGGTCACCCACAAAGACAGTGGGAGGGTTAAGGGAACAAGAAAAACCTTCTGGGTCATTCCTGTTACTGGCTTTGGTTCATTAAAAGTCATCAATGCGTTTTGCCGACTGGTGTCGAACTACAAACACTGGTGCTGCAGCGTTAGCTTGGTGCAGACTTGGCAACCTCACTGGCTCAAAGAATGTAAACAATAACCACATCCCTCATCAGCTTTTATGAAGAGAAAAAACTGGCAGCCCCCAGCCAGCTGTGAATGAAATCTGTTTCTATGCAACCTTCCTCCCAACATGACTGACATTAGGCTGTTTAGTATTTCCCAGTAGAATTCTTCATGTTATACCTTTAAAAGGCAAGTCAGTTCTAGGAACCAAAAGAATGTAAACATACTCTACATATTCTGCTAAAAGAGGGATAAAAAATAATTTTAGAAATTAAAGTGTTAATGTGATACCTGCTATTATCCTGGAACATGAGTCAGATATTTAGTTTTCCTCATCTGTGACAGGGAGCGACACTTTTACCGTACAATCATAATCACTGGTTTCAGACGTGACTTGTAATTACAGATGAAACGGTTTAACGATCAGATCCAGCCTCTATCCGTTTATTAGTGTGGCTACGTTAATATTTCATCAAAAGCTTCCACAGAATCTCACAAATATTCATTATGTGTTATTGAAGTTTATCAGTAGTTAATTATTTAATCCAATATCCTAAAATCACATTTTCCTCTCAAAAGCTCTGCACAGACTACAACAAAGCCCAGCAGCAGCATATTTTCCTCATTACTGACATGAAATTAATTAGTTCCACAAGCACGAACGTGTTCATCCTTTATTGGATGTCAACATAATTCATAACTAAAAGTGTGTGCAACCTGGATTTTATTTTACCATACAAGAGAAAAATTATAAAACTTGAAATAACACGATGCAACGATGAGCTCATTAATAAACCTCTTGGAAAAACTATCATTCAGAGGGAAGAAAAGAGGTAAAACGTCTGAATTTTCCTGATTTGGTGTGAGATGATCTACAGAAAATCACAGTTCATAATTTAGCTTAAATGGCATCAAAAATAAAAAAACATTTGTAGTAATTATTTTGCAGTACTTGTGTCTTTCTCAACAAGAAACAGATGAATAAATATCCTGTAGCATATTAATGAACCGTTATCAGAGTGATACGATAACTGTCCAGGGAGGAAAGATTCTCTCTAGTTGCTGCAATAAAACAAATTAAAAACATTTAAATATTAATTCAAATAGGTTCTACTACAGTTGAGCCTAAAACTGACTAATGCTGCTTAACCGTTTCTGTACAAAAGCAGTAAACCAAAGGCATGCTTTGTTTTCACGTACAGAAATGATACAGGTGATCGTTTCTTTCTAAATAGTGTAAAACACTGTGTTTGATTCTAGTAGCCAGTGCGTGTGGAGTCCAGTAAGTCCCAGAAAACGTCTGAACCAGCGTAGAACAAGGCAGGTGTTTTACACGAGTCCTATAGAGGAGATAAATAGCCATTGTCTGTGGAGTCTTGTTGCTCAGATTTGCTGCTTTTAGAGCTCTTGTTGGGGTTCGGGGTGGTTGAATACTTAGGGGGGTATCTGATGAAGAGGCGGTCCTCCTCCTTTTTAATCCATCTGAGAAGCTTAGTAATGGCGGTAATGGCGCAGGTCTTTGTCACCAGAGGGCTGAAGCAGGTGTACAGCTCAAATTTACTGGTGACCTGCAAGAAGAAACATACAGAAAGAAGTAAGATTATGGGAAATTACTATGGATGTTTGATATTGGCATCAATAATAACTGGAAATTACCAGTATGATTTTTTTCCCCCTATTTTAATGACAAAATGCACACTGATCTCAGTGGTCTTCTTTAACTCGTCTGTTCAGACTGGATGACCTGTTTATCCTCACTAGCTCAGCGTTTCTGCCAATTCTGTCTATTCAGAATCCCATCTTGTTAATTTCTTAACATTTTTTATCTATTTTTTTTCCTTTTTTTCTCTCCCATTTTTATTAAGATGCTTTTTAATCATTTTTTATTTTATTCAATAGAATTCAATTCAAAAATACTTTATTAATCCCAGAGGGAAATTGATTGCTGTAGTAGCTCAGAATAATAATGATAACCAAGTTATCAAAGAGTTATTGTATATTAAAATGGCTGTTGGCAGGAAGGATCTCCAGTAGCGGTCAGTGTTGCAGCGAAACTGAAGAAGCCTCTGACTGAAGACACTCTTCCGTTGTCAGACAGTCTTGTGAAGAGAATGCTCAGGGTTGTCCATCATTTTCTTGATTTTCTGGAGAATCCTTCTTTGCATTATCTCCTCCAGTGGTTCCACAGTCGTCCCCAGAACAGAACCAGCCTTTTTTATTAGGCTGTTGAGCCTTTTCAGGTCCCTGCTTCTGATGCTACTACCCCAACAGACGATGGCTGAAGAGATTACACTCTCAACAACAGACTTGTAGAAGATCTGCAGCATCTTGCTACAGACATTGAAGGTCGTAAGTGTCCTCAAGAAGTGCAGTCTGCTGTGCCCCTTCTTGTAAATGGCTTTGCTGTTCTTTCTCCAGTCCAGTCTGTTGTCCAGGTGAACTCCAAGGTATTTGTATTCCTCAACCACCTCCACTTCTTCTCCCATGACGGAAACGGTGTTCGACTCCACCCTGTTTCTTCTGAAGTCTAAAATCATCTCCTTTGTTTTGTTCACGTTCAAGGTCAGATGATTGTTTCCACACCATGCCACAAAGCGCTCCACCAGCTCTCTGTACTCAGCTTCCTGACCATCTCTGATACACCCGACAACTGCAGAGTCATCTGAGTATTTCTGTAGATGACAGGTCTCTGATTTGTACTGGAAGTCTGAGGTGTACAGGGTGAAAAGGAATGGTGAGAGTACAGTCCCCTGTGGTGCTCCAATGTTACTGATCGCCTGGTTTGATGTGCAGTTCTTCAGCCTCACAAACTGTGTTCTGTTTGTCAGATAGCCTTTAATCCAGGTGATAGTTGAGGCCCCCATCTGTGTCTTCTGGAGTTTCTGGCAAAGTACATCAGGCTGGATTGTGTTAAATGCACTGGAGAAATCAAAGAACATGACCCTCACAGTGCTGCCTGCTTTGTCCAGATGACAGTGGGTTGGTTGAAGCAGCTGGATGATGGCATCTTCAACTCCACTTCCATGGTGATAAGCAAACAGCATTATTGTTCTTGTGATGCTCTAATTTTTATTAGGTGCTATATAAGAAACATTTTCTTCTTTTAAATCAGTATACTGGTAAAAAGCTCATATCAAACATCCTTCGCAATTCAATCAGTTCCTATTGTGTCGAGTTAAGCAAAAATAATTAATACGCATCCATGTTCATTAAATAACTGGAAGTTTAAAAAAGCAGCATGGTGACTAAAAATGTAAAAGCAAGGTTAAGTTTCTATTTTTCCATAGATGAGTGACATATCCTTAAATCTTTTTAATTAAATAAAATATGATAAATTTAATTCTTTGGGATTATTTTTGTTCAAATTGAGTGAACTTGAAGGAAGGTGACATGCAATTACCTCCAATATCTAAAAAGCAGGCTATGATGTTTTTGCCTCAGTGTTTGTGTCTTTTGCATGCACACATTTTAATGTGTTTTTGCCACCTTCTTATGTTGTTGCCTCTTTAAAATGATTAACTTTATCTTGCGGTGCATGGTGGCTCCATGGGAACAGCCTCTACTTTGCTGTACCTTTGGTTACAACAATAAAGTGACTATTCTCTCAGCAGAATCGCTCTAGGACCACTGGGTGCATTTTAATGAAACTCTTCAGAAACTCGTCATTAGAGCTACAGACCCAGGCAAGTAGAGTCTCCTTCTCAGCCACATGGTAGATGAGCTTGAGGGGTCGTGAGGTGCTGTGGATGCGACTGTGCATGTAGCGGTAAAGATCCAAAAGTCGCATTTTCTCCTCTTCGTTGCTATACGGTGCCTCCATCTCCGGGCTACAAGACAAGTAACACACACACACACACACACACACACACACACACACACACACTCATCAACAAAATATATACTTACTTAAAATACACACTTAAAACAATTATAAACCCATACGCACATTTGCACACACACACACACACACGTGTTTTTATGGGTTTGTGTGGACTACGTTTTCTGAGTTGTTTGTGTGGACTCTGACTTCCACTATAGCCAGAATGGTGCAAAAATTATGTTTAACTCTAGGTGGGACAAAGGAAGCTTCCTCTAGGATTTTGGTTGTGTGGACCGGGTAAATGTCCACACAATGGTGAATGTCCACACAATGTCGGTCTCCCGTCAGGGGTTGGTCCACACAAACCCATAAAGACAAGTGCACACACACACACACACACACACACACACACACACACACACACACACACACACACACACACACACACACACACACACACACACACACACACACACACACACACACACACACACACACACACACACAGCACAAAGCTCAAAATCATTAGTACAAAATAAACACTGATTTTGTCTATTGCATTCAGATTGTGTTGATTTAAAAAAAAGCTTCACAGTGAAAAGAAAGAACTTAATGTTTAAATGTCTGTGTTGGATTTTACTTCCCGTCGGAGGGACCGGTGGCGCCAGTGCTCGGCAGCCTCGCCTCTGTCAGTGCGCCCCAGGGCAGCTGTGGCTATATTGTAGCTCATCCCCACCAGTGTGTGAATGTGTGTGTGAATGGGTGAATGACTGACTGTGTTGTAAAGCGCCATGAGGGGTTCCAGGACTCTAGAAGGCGCTATATCAAATACAGGCCATTTACCATTTTACCATTTCTTTAATCTGCTAATCTCACTCCAAAATTCTTAAATTATGCATTAAAGGTGTGGATCACAGAAAAATTAAGTTTTAATGATTATTTCTGATTATAATCGGCCACTGAGTCTTTGATGCAGGCTGTCTCCTGCATTAGCTTCTGATAGAAAATAGATGGTGAAACTAAAGGATTTGAAAAGCCTGACAGATCTACATCACACTGTCACTTAACATTCATGGACTCACCCATCTCGACTCACAACAGGTAATGCTGTTGTTGGTTTAGTGTCCAGGAAACAGCAGCGGACATCTCCATTAGTGGAAGTTAACCATTAGCATTAGCAACTCCACCACACAGCAGAACTCCTCCAGGCTTGTGTTATTTGTGGAGATAAAACATCAACTTTGCAAAGTTAAAGTCCCATTAAGGTTGGTTTATGCTTGACGCGTCCGCGAGGTCCGCGCGGAAAAGTTGCGTCATTTTGCATCATTTTAACAACCACGCCCCTCCACCGCGTCTCCGCACGGCCCAAGATTTCCGCAACGCGCACCTCGGAAAATTTCTAACCACGCGGACGGACGGACGCGGAAAAACATGGCGGACCGGCACGGCAGAGGTTCGTAAATACAGACATTTGTGTGATTCAGCTCTCAGAGATCACCGTGATCAACATGTTGTTAATAATTCTTGGAGAGAAATAGCTCGCACTGTCGGAAAAGACGAGAACGCGGTTAAAAATGCTGAAATGCCATGTTGTAAACAGTGATTTCTACTTCTACTATGGTGTAGTGTTGGATGCATGCCGTAGAGCTCCATGCTGCCCCATTCAGTTTGGGAGAATATTGGCTCACCGCAGAGACGAGCCGCACAAACCATAAACGCTGCGAGTTGTGAAGCACGTTCCAGCCGCGAGCCGCATCACCGCGCGGAAAGTGAATGTGTCAAGCATAAACCAAGCTTTAGTCATCACACACTGGTGAATTCATCTCTGCATTTGACTCATCCCTGTGAGGAGCGGTGGCTGTGCTCGGGATCTATTTGGTGGTTTAACCCCCCAATCGAACCCCCTGAAGCTGAATGTTAAGCAGGGAGGCATTGGGTCCCATTGTTAAAGTCTTTGGTATGACCCGACTGGGATTTGAACCCCAATCTCCCAGTCCCAGGGCAGACACTCTACCACTAGGCCACTGAGAAGGTGAAAGCAACCAAGCTACTGGTAGAGTCGCGTTGCTGTTATCCAATCAGGCGAGATGTCCAAATATCAGGAAATGAGACTCCAAATTCTGCAGTCTGAGTCTACGTTCTCCTCCAGCTGGCTTCTACTTCCTGAAACAGGTGCATCGGAGCCCCCCACATTCACGAGTACGACTTAGAAAGCATTCTTTCCTACAGACTACTGCAAACGTTTGGACTAAAGGAGTGAACCACATCCTTTAAAACATTTACTTAAATGCTTCATTTTACAATAAATAAATAAATATTTGAAAAAACAACTATTTTCCATCACAACATTGATGTGAAGCTTATAAATCTGTGGTTACACACACCTGGTGAACTGTGTGAGCTGGCGGTAGTTGTCCGGCACATCGAAGGGCTTGTACATGAAGTGCCTGAGGTCTGAGACGCCAACCTGGTTCACGCTGTACAACTGAGCTTTGGCGATGAGGCTCAGGGAGTTCTGCGTCAACATGGCCTCCTCGATCTTCCTCTTACACTCAGCTACAGCGTAGAAAGCCTCTTTGTCGGTAGAGAGCAGCAGCAGACAGACGGTACATTCTGGAGGGTCCAGGTAAGAAATATAAGCATAAAAGTAACAGTCAGGATTAAAGAGCGGGAGGCAGATGGGAGTCCAGATCTCCCCAGCCTGAAAGGCTGAGGAGGCTCCAATGAGGTTGAGCAGGAGGTGAACATCAGCTGGCTCCAGCCTTGCGTCCTCGATGACTGTCTTCTCTTGGACGATGGTTAGCAGTTGGTTCTTGGCGATGAGGATGGAGAAAACCAGATTGGGTGTGATGGCCTTCTGTAGGATCTGGCTGAGAGAGTCCCTGAGGGACGAAGCGAGGGGCAAGCAATGCACGGCAGCCAGCAGGAAACTGGGGTCAGAATCCACCAGGTTGAGAAGGCCATCCAGGATCTTCTCCGAGCCGGCCAGAAGTCTCCTAAGGTCGTAATTTTTCTTGTGCTCAAAGATGCGGGATATGCTAGCCTGGGTGAGCATGCTGATAATCTGGTAATACACGTAGAGGAGTTCTCCTAGCAGCTGCTGCTCTGACTGACGACTGCTGGAGACACACACCAGAACCAGGGGTCCTTTCTGCAGGAACACCACAGTGTGCTCCTCTAAAAGAAGGGAACCGACATAAAGAAAGTCGGGTGAATGTTTACTGATTGGAAAACATTTAACTTAACAAAGGTCATAATCTAAAACACAAAGATTCAATGATAGTCTTTTTTCCCTCTGCACAAATAAAATGAAATTTGCACTATGACCGCCACCCACCTGAATACACCGAGCGGATGAGATTATCTCCACTTTGGACAAAAGACACCAGCGCCATCATGACTCCCATTGTAGACGACAGAGCCTCTTCGCTGCCGTATCGGGAATAAATTGGCTTGCCGGCTTCACTTAGTACAAAAACATGCTTCCTGTGTTGCCGCCAGCTGTCAGTAGTGACATCCTCATCACGTTGGGACTTAAATGAAGGAGATTCCTGGATTCCAGCCTCCAGTAGGGGAGATGGCCTCCCCTTTACACCAATACCTTGCTCCTCCAGTTTGGCCTTAGCTAGCATTGTAACAACAAACTCCCCCGAGTCGCTCTGGTCATTGTCAGTGACCCTAACCTCAGTCTCTGTTCCATCCAAATGAGTGGACATGTTATTCAGACAGTCTGAGTCTTTTGTCTCCTCTGGCTCTAACTTTGCTCCCAGGTGAGGAGGCACATCTGCATCCAGACCCGACTCCTCTGCTCCAACATGTGACGGTTGTGAATCTACAGACTGGTTGCGGTCATCAGCGGTAGAATGATTTCCCTCCACAGGCTCGGGGCACTCATGATTCCCCAACAGGATGTCAGCTAAAATGAAAGCAAAACCAAATTATGAAAGTAATAATGAAAAGAGATCTGGCCCTAGTGACGTGACATTTCCTGATGGAACTCCTTGCCCCAATGTACAGGTGCTGGCCAGTAAATTAGAATATCATCAAAAGGTTGAAAATATTTCAGTAATTCCATTCAAAACGTGAAACTTGTACATTATATTCATGCAATGCACACAGACCAATGTATTTCCAATGTTCATTACATTTAAATTTGATATTCATAAGTGACAACTAATGAAAACTCCAAATTTGGTATCTCAAAAAATTAGAATATTCTGAAAAGGCTGAATATAGAAGACACCTGCTGCCACTCTAATCAGCTGATTTACTCAAAACACCTGCAAAGGCCTTTAAAAGGTCCCTCAGTCTTGTTTTGAAGGCACCACAATCATGGGGAAGACTTCTGACTTAACAGCTGTCCAAAAGACAATCATTGACACCTTGCACAAGGAGGGCAAGACACAAAAGGTGATTGCTAAAGAAGCTGGCTGTTCGCAGAGCTCTGTGTCCAAGCACATTAACAGACAGGCGAAGGGACGGAAAAAATGTGGTAGAAAAAAGTGTACAAGCTCTAGGGATAACCGCACCCTGCAGAGAATTGTGACGACAAACCCATTCAAAAATGTGGGGGAGATCCACAAAGAGTGGACTGCAGCTGGAGTCAGCGCTTCAAGAACCACCACGAGGAGACTCATGAAAGACATGGGATTCAGGTGTCGCATTCCGTGTGTCAAGCCACTCTTGAACAAGAAACAGCGCAAGAAGCGTCTCGCCTGGGCCAAGGACAAAAAGGACTGGACTGATGCTGAGTGGTCCAAAGTTATGTTTTCTAATGAAAGCAAGTTCTGCATTTCCTTTGGAAATCAAGGACCCAGAGTCTGGAGGAAGAGCGGAGAAGCACAGAATCCACGTTGCATGAGGTCCAGTGTAAAGTTTCCACCGTCAGTGATGGTGTGGGGTGCCATGTCATCTGCCGGTGTTGGCCCACTCTGTTTCCTGAGGTCCAGGGTCAATGCAGCCGTCTACCAGGAAGTTTTAGAGCACTTCATGCTTCCTGCTGCTGACCAACTTTATGGGGATGCAGACTTCACCTTTCAACAGGACTTGGCACCTGCACACAGTGCCAAAACCACCAGCACCTGGTTCAAGGACCATGGTATCCCTGTCCTTGATTGGCCAGCAAACTCGCCTGACCTTAACCCCATAGAAAATCTATGGGGTATTGTGAAGCGGAGGATGCAATACGCTAGACCCAACAATGCAGAGGAGCTGAAGACGACTATCAGAGCAACCTGGGCTCTCATAACACCTGAGCAGTGCCACAGACTGATCGAGTCCATGCCACGCCGCATTACTGCAGTTATTGAGGCAAAAGGAGCCCCGACTAAGTATTGAGTGCTATACATGCACATTCTTTTCATGTTCATTCTTTTCAGTTGGCCAACATTAGAGAAACAAACATTTTTTCATTGGCCTTTAGAATATTCTAATTTTCTGAGATACCAGATTTGATGGTTTCATTGGTTGTCACCTATAAATATCAAAATTAAACGTAATAAACATCGGAAATACATTGGTCTGTGTGCATTGCATGAATATAATGTACAAGTTTCACGTTTTGAATGGAATTACTGAAATATTTTCAACCTTTTGATGATATTCTAATTTACTGGCCAGCACCTGTATTATTACTGCATTGTTGTTCTGGCTACCGGGAGGGGTTGATGATCAGAGCTGGGTGGCTGTGGAGAGAGCTTTATTTGTCGTCAGTTCTCCTGTGGACGTGCTCTGCTCTCTGCTCCCCTTTTCGTGCTCGATATCTTCATAATCCAGTGTTTCCCCTAGGAATTTTTCCAACTGTGGTGGTGGGGGGTGAAATTATGACACGTCTCACCTTTATGTTAATATTGTTTTATTTGATGCACTCCACTTTGAACTGCACCAGTCCAGCAACTGCTGCATTTTAATAACTAGTATTAAAGGTGAATACACCAATATTTGCACAAGAATATTTTTGTTTTAAACTCTCAGTGACACACTTTGCGGGGGGGGGGTTAATTTTTCTTGGCATCTGGAAAAACGTCTCCTTTTGCCCCCCTTTATTTGACTTTCTGCCCCCTTTATTTTGGTCCAAGATCATTACTGGGCTGGCCCTATTAAAAACATTCTACACCCCTGCTTAGTAGACTTTATGAAGTACTTTTAAGTCAGTATAAAAATGACTGAAACACAAATATACATATTTGGCATTATTGACCAATATCTTTGATTTAATTTATTTTTTAAGAACTTCAAAATGCATTACAGTGAACATTATAATAAAGTAAATTTTTCTAGTGCAGAGAGGAGACAACCCATAGAAGCACTGATTTGATCTCATTTCAGAGAAAAATACAACAGGTCTCTTCATTGCTACATGACTGCATCATTAGTGTCATTTAGGTTTACAACGTAGTAGGCACAGATTAAAGGGACAGCCTCAACAATGGAAGAAGCCTTTTGCAGATGCACACATCTCTGACATCCATATATACTGGCAGACCAGTATATATGGATGTTTTCCTCATATATTCATATAAACACCAATATTAATACTAGGGGTTTAAAGGCTATGAACCAAAGACAAAATAAGCCAGAGGTGAAGGTTTATGCTTTTAACAAGAAATGTCATAAATGATCATCAGGGCTGATATGAAATCTAATCCAGATCAGTCCAGGTCAGAATTATCATCTCATCTGTCTCATGATCAGCAGCAGCTGGATGTTTATGGCCACAACATTTCAAGTGAAGCACACTCCTTTTATGTCTTGTGTTTGCTCACGATCCATATTTCCATCTAGAAACCGTTTCTCCTCCATGGATGTACCTGCCTGTCAGAGCGTTTAGCCGCTGGTTGGTCAGCTGATGCTGCTGTCAGTTATTGCGGGAATGTGTACGGTGTAGGGAAACAGTTTTAATTTCTCTCCTCTGCCTGAGCTGATGGTGACGTGTGGTGCGCCTCGCGGCAGTGATGCGCCTTTTGCACAAAATGCGGCCCTTCATGGAGCTCGTGCCAGACTGTGGATGACTGATGTTAGAGGACACACAGATATCTTTTCAGAAATCTCTGAGATTTAGACTAATGAATACCTGGAAAATTTACCGGTGTGCACGGTACCCTAGAAAAAGTACTGGCATGCTGAAAGGTTATATTAATGGGCCATTCCCATCTGTACCGGGTCGGCCCGGGCCGGGTAGCCCCAGTTGGCCCCAGCCTGGCCCGGTTGATTCCACACATCCTTGTCTTAAGCCCATGTGGGCTGATTCTACCCACCAATCAGAGGCTTGCTCTAATGGAAGGTGTGAATTTGCTGTCAGCAGTGGGTGTGTTGGCCCTGGTCGGCCTGAAGCAGACCCCCTCGAGAAGAGGGCTGAGAATGAGCCTTGGTTGGCCCGGTAAAATACCAGGCCACCCAGATATGTAAACAACCTACGCTACCCGGCCCGGGCCGACCCGGTACAGATGGGAATGGCCCAGAAGTGGCGGCGGTGCTGGTACCGGTCCAATGCACTACTCTCTGTCCCTAAAGGACGAGTCTGATGATCTGATTATCAGAACCTGATCATCATGATCCGTTCCTGACAGCCGCTGTTTCTCCCTCCCCAACCCACCCCACGTGCCCGGCATTGCGCGATAATTAAACTGGCCCAAAAACTCCACCTTAAACCGGTTCTCCAAACATGACCACATACAGGCCAGCCTGGACATGCATCTGTGGCCAGAGCTTTCTTCTTTTTCCATCTCTCCTTTTCTGCTCCACCTTTCCTGGTCCGTCTAGGTCCATTTTGCCTCTGGGGCCAAAAGGTGCGGTGGTGCTGTACCCGCTCTGGGGTGATGGGTGTCTGCAGCTCTTTGCCAGACCCCAAAAAAGTGAGAGGAGGTGTCTTTGTGCCCAGTTTGCTCCGTTTGTGCGAGCATCAGGACAGCAGATGCCCTGATGAGCTGCAGAACGGATTGCTCATTTAGATATTACGCACGTCATGACCGGCAATCACTGAGCGGGCCAATTTAATGGCCAGGCCACCGGGAAATCTCCCGTTTCTCCCGATAACCAGTCCGCCAATGAAGAGATGTGTGTTAACTTAGAGAATGTGGGCACTATTTTAATTACTACACCCCCCCACCCCCCCAAAACCTTTGGTTTGACGTCAGTATTTGCATTCCGGGAACGTTTGATTTACAAATTAAGCACTGGCTAACTCTGAATGTTTTCAGTCTCCATCACTGCAGGGTTTTAAAACTCTGAATGTTTTAAAACAGAAATAGGAGTTGTGCCTGAGTGAGTGATTGTTGTGTTTTTGACCCACTCTGGACTAGTAAATTTCAACAATGGTGACATTTGCCCGTACTCTCCTGTTAATACTGAAAATAACTAATCAACTAACACTGCCTATCATGTTAGCATCATTTGCCTTATATACACACCTCCACACCAGCAACTAAAATCTGACCTGTGGTGAGTTTGTCCATCTTGCAAAAACTACAGCAGGAAGATGACACTGTCTTAACAAGGAGTATAAAAGAGAACTTTGGGAAAGATCTTTCCAACTGATATCAGGTACAACTGATTATTTATCATTAATAAACTGACAGTTATAATGCAGGAGACCATGTGCAATATTTTTTGCCACCTATTGAACTAAATTGATAAGGAATTGGATTGATAGACAGAACTGACAATGACATTGATAAAAACTTAGCAATTCCCACACTTTTTAATAGAGTAACCTTGGTTAATTATTTAGTGACCGTTTCTTTTATTTCTTTGGAAGAATGATCCTTGTGTTTTGATTTGGTCTTGCTTTGAAACCTGTTTTTTTTTTTTGGGTCAGTGTGAATCCGTTCTGACAGGAACAAATATATATATTACCAGGTGGAATGCTTTCTGGCTGAGAATCAGAAATCTTCACTTCTTGAGCCTCTCCGTCTTGATGATTGTCTTCCTCCATGATACCATCCCAGTCTCTAAAAATGAAAGTTTATAATGAATGCACATTAACTTAGAAACATGTGTTTGTTATGAATAAGAGCATTCATGGTGGAGTTGTGGTCAGGTCACGTGTCAATGGAAGAGAGCACCGCCACAAGACACTGAAGAGACACAGGAATTTAAATCTGATTACAGCTTTAAAGGAGCTGATCTAGTGTCACACACAGACTGGCTGTCTGGACGGACAGCCACGGAGTTCACGTTTCTTTAAGTTTCTTCAACGACAGATATCAACATGTCTAGGTCACACAGAGAAGAGAAAGTCAAACTCTTCGTAAGAATAATTATGAAGAATACTTATGAGGAAGGAAATTCCGAGAAAATTGCAACTGTTGACTGTAGTTACACGGCTAGTACTGTCAGCTAGCAAGCGCGAGATGAATTTTACGGCCTCAACTTAATCGTGGTGGTCAAAATTTAGACAGATAAGGAAAGAAGACAACTTACAAGGGTGTAACGTCAAAAACGCTGCCTTCAATGTCTAATTTGTTATACTCGCTTTCCCCCGCAGCCGGGTAGCAGGTGAGTTGTCAAGAATGAGAAGGAGAAAACAAATTGTCCTCTTGCAACAGCCGACGTCCGGGAATGGTTGATGACATGCTCATCGGGCCAATCAGAACGCACGTTTATTTCACGCTGTTCCACCCCTACAAACTGTGTGGTAGAAAGATACAAATTACAGACATCTATAATCTTTATAAATGTCTGTGGTGAATTGCAAAATTTTGTTAAAAAAAGAACGGTTCAAAAACAGAGTACACTGAAAAAATACAAGATGCCAAAACTCTTTATTTTATCCTTCTGTAATAATTTATAAACATATATGATATATTATGACATGTTGACATCATTTAATAATCGTACGGTGTTATTATATTTATTACGCAAAAACCAATTTAATAATAATTAAACTTAGTTTCAGTATTCGGAAGTGGTGTACTGCGTCATTTCCGGTCTCTTGCGTTTCAGGTAAACAAGCTAGTGACGTTTGAATGCTGCATACACAAAGCAATGTTTTTCAAATTACTCAGGTTGTTCGGCACTAATTGAAAAACTGACGCTATGGAGGAACAGTGGGACTTTGAGTTTTTGTCCCGTGTTGCTGACAGCTGCTTGTCGTTCCTCTCCGAGTTTGTTGACGACTGGCTCGCCAACGACATGAGGGTTTCTATATTTAAAATTTTGCTCAGTTGGTTAATTTTTAGTCTTATCGCAATTCACTTTGCATGGAAGGTCTACGGGAATACCGTGAACGACATGTATTACCGACAAGGTGAGCTATCTTTGTTCTCTTTGGGGGCATGCTAATCACTGCTAACCACGTTAGCTTAACATTTCTGTTGACATTTAGGGAGCGGACAGAACGGAGGAACACCTGATGTAGCTTCTCACTTTAGCGCATGGTAAGTGTTCAGATTAATGTTTAATTAGGCACGTTTGATTAGTCAGTGGGTTTCCATAGTTTTTGGTATTTTAATGATTTTTATTCTTTCTGCAGGGAGAGTCAAGCAGAAAATGTCCAGAAGAGCCATCGGGATTAACAGGACCCTGGCCTACATTTAGATAACTTTATTTAGAGTCGCTGGATTGACATTAAATGTCAGATTCTTGCAGATATGCGTTTGTGAGATGACGTGCTGGCCCTGAACTCAGAGCATTTTCTGTGCAAGACGGACTGAAATGTTTAGTTTTATCTGATGCACCTATTCTTTTAAAGTGGCAGCACTTCTAGTGTGTAGAAGCTCCTGTATATCAGAAAAGAATATTTTCTGTGTAAGGTCAAGCAAATATACTTGACTTTACTTGGTGCATGAAAAATATTTATTGTGTAAAGTCATAAAGGACCGATTTTTACAAATCTGGCTGAATAGCATTAGGAGTGAATGTTTACAGATGTTGACAGCTGTGCACATTATTTTTAACTCAACATTCAGTTTCAATTCCTCCTTTCATAGTGAGCAGATATGTCAAAGAGAAAGATGTAAACACACTTTTTAAATATTTTAACGCACCTGCTGTTTATTACGAGAAAAGGCCAAAAATAGTGGAGAAACTTTCAATTTTTTTCACATTAATACTGTTTCAACCTCATAATCTACAAAAACGTTTTGTTTCCACAAAAAACATTTCCGTTAAGGTGGGAAAAACTAAATCCATTTATTTTAAATTAATAAACAAAAACAAGGTTAAAATGAAGATTTTATGTTTTATTTACCATTTCACATCAAAACTAAGAAAAAAAATGTTGAGTAAAAAAGTCATGTTTTGTGAATAACTTATTTTTAGATTAAATTAATAAGGAAGTTGAAATTAATGATTACATTAAATATCTACTGATGAAAACTACAAACTCTGATACAAATTGGTGAGAATTTTGTTTAAATTCAACTTCAAGCCTGTTTTCCTGAAAAGAAAATCTTTGCAGATCAACAAATAGCAAAAATGTAAGTCAGCTCTAGTGATTCTTCAATCTTCTGTGCTTTTGAATTAGCTTATTTTAATAGGAATTGCTGGAACCAGTAGCATATGCACATCCATGACATTGGTGCAGGTTAGGCCAGGAACCAGTAAACGCTTTCCATCAGAGAGATGAGAAAAAAATGTGTGAGAATCATTGTCAGTGAGAACATTATCGATGTAAAGCCCTTGTGCCTGGGCTTCGTCATACAGGCCCCCATCAGTGATGGCCCCTGCTGCCTCTGTGGGTCCATCCTGGCCATCGGTGCCACCACTCAGGAACACGGGTCCTTTAGGTGGGAGCTCCAGGCCTCTGAGTTCCAGTCCCACCCGTAGAGCCAGCTCCTGGTTTCGACCACCTCGTCCAGAGCCCGTCAGCTCCACCGTGGGTTCCCCTCCAGCTAACAGGCACGTGGCGCCCCATCCCTCTGTGCGCCCTTCGCCCAGTACCTGCATGGTACGACACAGATCCCAGCTCTCCACGCCGACTTCCGGCCCAAGCCTCAGCACCTCGGCTGCAATCTCTGGAGGAGGTTCCTCACGAGAAGAGGCAAAGCGAGCTAGAAGACCGTAAAGTCTGGAGACAGACTTCACATCTCCACACACACCTGGTGAAAGCACCACAGGGCGGAAACCTAGGTCTCGAACGCAGCGTCCTGCACACTGAAGGGCGACGCTGTTGGAGCCAATCACGACATTAAGAACATCTCCAGATGCTTCAGCTTCATCCTTGTTCTCTTTCCACCGGGGACCTCGTCTCGCAAGGACGTCTTTTACTGATGCTGACAGGGAGTCTGGCAGCTTGTAGCGTTCAAGGATGGACAAAACCTCCTCAGGCCACACCTCACTTCTTACGGTCGGACCACTAGCTATTAAATCAAGTGGATCCCCAATAACATCAGACAGAATCAAAGCAACCACCTGAGAAGAGAGGATAAGTTAGCTTTTCGTCCATAAATAGTTTAACAGGAAGTGTGTTACCTGCGCGGGGTGAGCATAGTGTGCGAGCCCTCCTCCCTTTAACAAAGAGAGGGCTCGACGAACTTTGTTGAGCTCTTGAATGGTGGCGCCAGCAGCTGCAAGTCGGCGAGTAACATCCAGTTTATCTTGCAGAGAGATCGGTGGTATGGGTGCAGGTAGCAGTGCAGAGCCTCCACCTGGGTACAGATGAACCCGATGTTGGAGATCACATTATTAAATGTGATGATCAGGAACAGTTTTGTTAGTTTTACCTGAGATCAGTACAAGTAGCAAATCATCTTCTGTCAGTTCACTGGCTAACCGCTTGATGCCTTCAGCTGCTCTCTGGGCGTCGTCGTCAGGTAAGTTGTGTTTAGCTCCTTCCATCACTTTGATTCGACTGTTTTCCTTTAGCAGGAGATGGCTGCGATAGAATTAAGAGCTTGATTTATTTTAGTTCTTTGGCATAAATTGATTCCCTCTGAAGGTCTTTCCTTACCTTTTCCCGTGCTGCCGTAACGTCTGCTGAATCCCATGAGGCACACTTATGACGCCATTCACTAAATGATCACCCACGATCCTCTCTACCTCCGCAGCCATTCCCAGAACAGCTTTTCCAAAGCCCACCAAGTGCAGGTTGTGTTTGAGTGTGAATCTGCGACCGTCAATAAGAACTGAATCTTCCGTGCGCTCTATGCTCTTCCTGATTACAGTGTCTGGCTGCACAGCTTCCACTGCCGCTGCAAAGACCTTCCGGGCCCGTGAGTCCATTGACATTTTGCAGAATGTAGGTTTTGGCCGGCCCACGAGGGCCAGAATAGGCTGAGGCCGGATCAGGGAAAGGACGCGGGCCATTGATGGATCAATGGGTCTGAGAAATTCATGAATCAGGACAAAGAATGACAATAAAAAACCTTTAACATGTGAAGACATTTGAAATTTATTACATGCCTCAAAGAAACTTGGAATTAGTACACCAACAATTCCTCGTTGTACAAAAACGAAAGAAAGGAGGTGTGAAAAACCTCTGCATCTAATTTTATCCTCATCCATGTGCATAATATCTTGCTTTTGAAAAGCAACCATAAAAATACTAATCCAATAACTAAAACTTGTATATTTGTTATCAACATTCTACTTTTGCAAACTTTCACTCCAATATTGAGCTCTCTGAGATTCCTTAAGACTGCCTACCTGTGTGGGTCGTGAATGGTGGCATTTAATGCCTGCAAATTCCAGTGGAATCCCGTCGTGTGTGTTCTAGCTCAGCAGTGGAACAAATATCTGGCCCGACAATGATTGGTGTTGTTTAAACTCTGTTTAATGATTAACTTTAACGGATCATAGACCATGCTAAAGTGCTCTTCATCCAGTTGAGACATATTATTTTACTTGAACACGTGTGAATCAAATTAAATTAAGTTTAAAAGGCAAGTTACCCCCAAATCAACTTTTTTTTCTTCTGATAAACTAAACTAGTGTCTAATTGTGTAGACGTGCATAGTCAATATTTTGGCACTTTAAAGCATCTTAGTTAAAATTGAAATAATTTGCCTAAAACTGTCAATGTTGACAGTTTTGTTGCCAAATACCTGAAATGTTTCTATCCATGGAGTCAAAATTCCTGCTGGAACTTTCTTCGTTACCTCTGCGTTCATGTTCGAACATCAAAATTCCACACTTACTATTATAAAAAATACGTATTAAACGTCAAAAACACAATAACTGTCTTGTGTTTAAATCGGAACACTCTGAAATTTCAAAGTAAGATCAGCTAAAAACGCGAAAGATTTGATTATTCACGCTGTTCGTCACTGTGTTTCTGCTGTTTGTATTGGTGGTAATTCTCGCGATAACACGCTGTCTCATCACGTGTTTTTTCACCCGTGTCAGGTGACTTCCGTTATAGAGCGACGGACATTGCGTTTCCCTTCCCTTCTGTGTTACAGGCGGGATTTTGTCGTTGTTTCTGATTTGAGTTCTCGATAATTGTGACTTGTAGTGTAACTGTTGCTCACATATCCACACGAATTTCCTCAAGTTTACTTTCCAAATCAAGTTCAAAGAGAACGAGGGCCTATTTCCCCTCAAGACAACCATGAAGCTAACGGACAATGTGCTACGGAGCTTCAGGGTTGCTAAAGTATTTCGTGAGAACTCAGACAAAATTAATTGCTTCGATTTCAGTTCGAACGGAGAAACTATTATTTCCAGCAGCGACGATGACTCTATAGTGTTGTACGACTGCCAGGAAGGAAAGTAAGGGCGATTTCTGCTGAGTTTACTTTTTGGAATTAGCTTCATGCTAAGCTAACACCGAGGCCTGTCGCACTGCGTAGGACTCAGCGGTCAAATAAAAATACGCGTTTGAATTACGCTAGAGTAATAATTATGTGGTTATCTGATTGGTAAAATATACCCGTAAATAAAACCCAACATGTTAAAATTTTTTGTAAGAGTTAGCTTGAGTGATGGTGTAAAGGGCAGAAATTTGAATTGTTAAGTTTTATAAAACTTATTTTACAGCATCAGTAATTTTGAATCTAAACGAGTATTCACATGAGCATCTGCGAGCATTATTTCATATTTAGCTCCAATACAATTATGTGGATACATTATTTTTAAGGTAAATGAGAGAAAACCAAATGTGTAGAAGATTTGGATTAGCATGTAATCAGATTTAAAACAAGAACGGCAGAATATAGAACTTTAACAAAATAGCAGTTGGTTAGTTTTATTTGTTCTGATTAAAATTCTTGATGTTAGTCTGATCACGTTTTGTTTGTTCTGATTAATTACAGGCCCAAGAGGACTCTGTATAGTAAAAAGTATGGAGTAGATCTGATCAGGTACACACATGCTGCAAACACTGTGGTCTACAGTTCCAACAAAATTGATGGTATGTAAACTAATGTCATTTCCATAATTACATTCATTCAACTGTGAATGGGGATGAATACTTTTCTTGGTCTGTAAGGGTTTGTTTTTTTTTAGCCACATCATCATGATCTGTTGTATTGACTGAACTCTACAGGATGTTTCTCCACCTCCAGCTTCTCCATCACAGCTCATCATGCTGCTCACTGTAGTCTGAGGTAGTTGTTTGTACAGTTTGAGGGTCTGTGATTCTGCCCCATACAGGAGCTAACTGTACAAGTGACTGCCTTGCCCACGGTTGAGTGTACTCATCACATGTTGATGCTGGTGGATTCGTTTTAATCATTTACTCCCGCTGCAGGTCTTACATGTTTATTGACTGACACGAGTTTAATGATGTGTCTCTTTTCCTACAAGACACCATCAGGTACCTGTCTCTTCATGACAACAAATACATCCGCTATTTTCCTGGACACAACAAGAGGTGAGGGCTGAGTAACTATTTCTGTATCTGTTTACTGTTTTATTTTTGTAAGTTTTTGTTTTCCTTTAAAATGTTTCAGGTTTAAAGTTTTTACTCGTCATGTTTTGTTCTGTGGTTGTGTTTGTTGTGACCAGGGTGACTTCTCTCTCCATGTCTCCTGTGGATGACACATTTATTTCTGGCTCATTAGATAAAACCATCCGACTGTGGGATCTGCGGTCGCCTAACTGCCAAGTAAGGGTCCAATTTCAAGCAGTCAAAAGTGCCAGCTAAAATGTTTCACATTTATGATAACAGCTTTTCATTTGGTGCGCTGTCCTTGCTGATTCACTCGTCAAATGAAAAAACTGATTTTGACCTTTGCTATTATTTGTCTCTTTTAGGGACTGATGCACCTGCAGGGAAAGCCGGTGTGCTCTTTTGATCCAGAGGGTCTCATTTTTGCTGCAGGAATAAATTCAGAAATGGTTAAACTCTATGATCTGCGGTCATTTGATAAAGTAAGAATTGCTTTTGTCTTTTTTTGTTTTTTTTATACAGGTGCTTTAAATCCTAGAACAGATTTAAATTTTGAATGAATGAAACCTTTAACAGTCTGGATCAAGGCTTCTCAGGTCTGCTCCGCGTGTTTTAGCTGCTCCAACACACCCGATTCAATGGTTGAATCTCCTCATCATCGTGTCCTCAAAGTTTTTGGAAGTCTGTTAATCACCCATTGATGCAAACCAGGTGTGTTAGTGCAGGAAAACAGAAAACATGCAGGTAGTGGCTCTTTGATTGCAAAGCGCAGGTTTAGAAAATACAAGAAAAAAATCAGATGGAAAAATGCTGCTCACACACACACACACGCACGCGTGGAGAAACAGAAACTAAAATAAACAATGGTGCATACAGACAAATATTACACCTGGAGCCCTTTAAATCTTCTGCACAATTATAATCGATGTATTATCAATGTCATGTGATAAACTAAACAACCGTGATGATGTTTATTTTTTTTAAGCTGTATTTTATTTGAACTTATTAAAACACAGCAGGTTAAAGACACACAAGACTAGAGCTGGGCATTGATACAAATTTCAAGAATCTATTTAATTCCGATTCTCAAGAGTTAGAATAGATTGTTACGATCTGATCTGACTCAGTCTGTTCCAGTTTGATATCGATATGGGTCAAGAAAACAAATACATGCTGGCAGTGGGCTTGGTGACAACACTTTTTAAACTTAACATAGATAATTAAATAAATTCTTAGTGTTTGTAATGTTACAGCAAACACATGAAACCTGTGTTATGGGTCAGGAAACGTTATAGCGATCATTACAAGCAGCTAATTAGCCTAAAGAGGCAACCATCCCTCTCTTCATTGTGTTTTCTTTAATGATGTTCATCTTCCTCGTACTGCCATGGAAGGTGGGTTTACTTAGCAGATTTTGCACGTTTCTCTTGAATTTTTATAAAATGCTCCCAGATTCTTGAGCTCCATTGCTATCTCACCATGATTGTTTGGGGTTTTCCGGTGACACTACGCTGACCTTGAATGCCACTCTTGCCCATGTGCATCCAGGGCAGAAGGCACCAAAGTGTACAGCGGCAGTTTTGAGAGAAAAAGACAACTTAAAACTTTAATTGCTACATTTATCGTCAGCTGTTTTGGTAGTCTATTAAAGGGATATTTTGCAACTTTTTATATTATTAAATCATTCTCTTGAGCCAGTGTGTGCTAAAATGAAACTTTGCAGGGTTGATGAAAGACCACTCAGCCCCTATCACCCTCTGTGGCCAGAATATTCCACTTGCAACTTCAGAGTTGCCGGTCCAGTCTGTTAGGAATTTAAAAAAATGTAGCTGACATGCCTGACGCTGCAGTCTGCTTCCAGCACATTTCCTGCATGTTTCAGATAATGAACACAGATGATTTGTTTAATTTAGTGATGAATCACTCCTGTAGACACTAAGGAAGGCTGGGGAGACATTTCAGCTGTTAGATCAAGGTGTTAAAATAACAAACGCACAGTGAGGAGATACATTTGGCTTTTGGTTCTACAAACGAACACTAAGGGGGTGATAAAAGCAAGCCAAGTCTCCCTTTGATCATGATTAATCTTGGCAGCTCAAGTGTAAACACCATGACATTTATATTGGTGGGATGTTGAGCAAGTGGACGTAAAAAGTTACTATATCAACTTTTCATCAACAGGGTCCGTTTGCAACCTTCAAGCTTCAGTATGATCGAACCTGCGAGTGGACGGGACTCAAGTTCAGCAACGATGGAAAACTCATTCTTCTCGCCACCAACGGCGGCGCCCTTCGCATCTTGGATGCATTTAAAGGAGTTGTGCTTCATTCCTTCGGGGTAAGTCCTGGTAAAACGTGCAAATCTCTGAGATAATGATTTTAAAATGAAAAAGCTGCTTACTCCTGCTACTTGTGTACCCTGCAGGGTTACAACAACAGTAAAGGTGTCATACTGGAGGCTTCTTTCACTCCTGATTCTCAGTTTGTGATGATTGGTAAGTTAAAGTTTCATGTTGCTTCTTCTAGAAGTATCCCCTACTTGGTTTTAAATGTAATTAAAAAAATAAACAGATTACATGCATATTCAATAAAATGTCTCTGGACAAGACCTAAAGGGAGGGTGCCATTTCTGGAGGGCGGTTCTGTCGATTCCTGAGCTCCGTGTTTGGAGAATTGGAGTTTACGGCTTACAGCTAACGGCTGCTGTTGCTGCTTTCATTTCCCTACATCCAGTTGTTATTTACACACAATTCTGAGTTTATTAACATTATCATCATAATTTAACACTTCTAGTGCATCATGGGTCTGTTTAGAAATTGGAGTTGTTTAGTTTCAGCTGTGCTCAGATTAGCCGTTAGCTCATCAGTTAGCTTGTGTGAACGTCATTTCTCCAAACAAGCTATTCAGGAAGCGATGTACAAATGGGTTTGGTAAGAATTAATGTTACTTTTCCCAGAAACGAGCTTCAGAATGGCTGGAAACTTAAAACTCATGTATTTGTTCACTCTTTTACCACCAGGCGTTTTTCTTGTTTTTATTTGATTTTCAGTTTGATTAAACATGTTTACATGTCGGCTGGCGTATTTTAGGCTCTGAGGATGGAAAGATCCATGTGTGGAATGCCGAAAGTGGGATGAAGGTGGCTTTGTTAGACGGGAAACACACTGGCCCCATCACCTGTCTGCAGTTCAATCCTAAATTCATGACGTTTGCTAGTGCTTGTTCAAACATGGTGAGCTTCTTTACTTCCTTTTGGTTTAATTTTCTGAATGGAATTTCTGTTTGCGATTAACGAAGCTAAGAGTTTACTGTTTAATTTTCCAGGCCTTCTGGCTCCCCACCATCGATCACTGAGGATCAGTGGGCGCAGATGCAGCAGCTGACCAGCAGGAGTCAGCACCACCACCAACCTGTAAAATAAGTTAATGTGTTGTAAATATGTTTTTTTTTATGTCTTCATTTGTTTGTCTTTTTTAAATTCATATTTAACAATAAATTGTTTTCTGTTAAATGTTGTGTATCTTTTTTTTATTAAACTTCAAAATAAAGTTTTAATATTTTAAATTAAAGAAAAAATGGTTTAGATTTCACTTGGGTGCTGAGTTGGTTTAAAATGGTCCATAAAACAACCAATTAAATTTAATTTACCATTTAAATTATGATTTTTTTTTTAAATTGTATGAGTAATTTAATTGAAGACTCATAAGAAATGAGTGTAGTTTGTTTTTGTACAGCTGGTAAAAGTGATCTTGGCTTTTGGCTGAGGTGGTTTGGAGACGTTTGCCTGCTGGTTAAAAGCATGATCCAGGTGTTTAATGACACAAACATCTTACACAATCTGTTGACCATCATAGTTTGTGGTTGTGAAGGAGTTGGATGAGGTCTTCAATGCTTCCTGTGATCCTCATGGCTACATCTGGCCCTGATGGGGAACACATCAATAATGTATGAACAACTGTCAGATTTATGGTTTCTTTTGTTTTTACAAGTTGCAGGTTGGTTTAATAGAGTTCTGTTGGGGTGCTACACAGGCCCTGTTTTGTGACCAGGCTGGTCAGAGGGAGCTAAATTTGGGAGGTGATCAGATTCCATCTCTGTTTGCACATGACACTACCCCAGATACTTGAGCAATGTCTGTACTCAGACTCCTACACTCTGACTGCGAACGGACACGCTGAGTGGGCCTCCTTGGAAAGAGCATTCACCGATCCGCAGCCGAAGTCAAGGACATCTTCACATCTCTGGATTGGATTTAGACTTTCAGTGCTGTGACGCTTCTGCCTCTGTTTTTGACCCATCAACAACCCTTCCTCCAAGCCCACAGTGGGCCGGAAGACACTGCCATGTTTCTCGCACTAGTGGTGACGCCGGAGCTCAGGCAGTTCCTGGCCAAGGCAAGAGGTGGAGCAGTGCGCCTCATCAAGGTGTGCATCCAAGACGGTGAGTGAACCCAGGACAGTGAGGGTCGGAGCAACCAAAAGGCAGGAAGAGCTGTCTCATTAAGGGTGCATGTTGTCTCAGCAGTTTGAATACGACTGAAAAACACAAGTTTGGAAAGATCCAGATTTGTTTGGTGTCCCAAGCTTTGGCACTTTCAAGTGCTCATTTAATAAAAAAACAGAAAATATAAAGGAACTTGATGTTTTAGGAGCCTTATGTTGGATACGCTTTTTGCCAGAACATATATGATACTGAAAGTCAGACCTTCAGTGTAGAATGAGTTTGGTAACTCACAAGGGCGGATATAGAAAACAGGGAGGGAGGGCAATACTGGATCTCTAACAAAGTCAAGAAAATATAAATGGTATATGAAAATATCCACAGAAACACTTTCAAACTATTTCATCTTTTTTTTTTTAGCCAAGCTGACATTTTTATGTATAAATGAGAAGAACAGATGTGTTTCACAAGATAAACACACACACACACACACATAACTGAAGACAATTTCAGATATAAAACATTTTCTGGACAAAAGTGGGAATGCAGCAATGGGGGACAAGTCTCTACATGAGGGGGGCAGTTGCCCCCTTCTAGATCTGCCACTGGTTACAATGAATTCAAAAAATCATGCAGATTTGATGTAAACTTGATGAAATATGTTGGACTTGTCTCTGATCTTGAGGGAAAGATAAAGATGTTTTTGTTTTGTGGCTCAAATGGCAGCAGGAGGCCCAACCACTCACTTCCTGTGGGTGACGGAGCATATGTCGAGGGCATTTAAGTTGACTGTTACTCACAGGTGCGCCAAGGCAGAAAAAGTAAAGAAATTCCATGAACTTGTGTTTCACACTGAAAAAAGAAAGGGCACAGACTTAGGTGGCTGACGTGTCGCAGCAGGCTCTGGGTGACAGCTGAAAAATGTTCAATGAGGCAATCGCTTTCTAGGTAGCCGACTATTCATCAGCTGTTTACATCGTGTTTTTCCGTCTGACGAAGCTCGCTGTAACACGAGTCAATTCAGATGCAATCTGGGACTTTTATCTATCTTTGTGAACTGCTGCTATCAAATTTAACATTTGGTCTCATATTTACAAGGCTGACAGCAACTAAGGCACGTTTGATGGTACAGAGACAGACAGCAGGGATGTGGGTTTGACTTTAGCTCCAACACAGCCCTAAATAAATGCTTTATGTGGAGACTTCTATTGATACGTAGTATTTACTATGGGTGGCCGGAGTCAAATTTAAATGTGGAGCCCTTTCAGCTATCTTTCAGAGCACTAACCAGAGAACCAGCCCTGAATAAATCATGTGACACTATTTAGACTCCATATATTAATCATAAGGACAAAGGTAGCGTTAAATATTAAAATGTGGTGCATACGTGATGTTTCGGGGAAGAAAAATCAGAGAAAAGATTATTTAAGTCTTATGTTAGTGATTATGTGTTAAAGCGGCTCACATTATTGCATATTAATTCATTCTTAGTGTCTAACAGGCTGACATTAGGCTCCTCAGGCTATTTCCTTTACTTTAAAATGATCATTGGAGCTGATTTCTGCTTCCTCAAATCTCATAAATACAATTTAAAAAATAATAATGAAGAATGTTTGGGAATCCCAAATACGTAGCAACTATAGTGGATGATTAACTTGGTTTTACATTGACCTGTAAAGACAGTAGGGAACGACTGATGGGAAGTATGTGCGTGCAGAGCTGGAATGTGTTGCAGCTCAGAATAGCAACTTGCCCCCCAGGAGGCAGTTAGGGAAAGCCCCTGCACCCCTCAAAGGACACCAGAAGTCAAAGTTTAACTGTGTTTTCATTAAAAAGATGCATCAGCATTTTTAGCCTCTGTGAAGACATTCCTCCTGAAAACAATTCAGCTTCATTTTTACATCATAATTTTGTTTTTTAGATTAAAACTGGCCAGACCTTATGAATATTTTATAAAAATACACATTTGTAGGAGCCTCAGACAGCTGATTAAAATGTTAAGCTTTAAGGCTAACTGTTACCGGGGTCCTAAATCCGTGGCATTTTAGTTTTTATTAATCAGTTTTATTCTAAATCATCTTGTCATTTTCCACTGAAAGGTCTAAAATGAGCAAAGATGTTGACTGAATATTTTATGCACTTAATCTGCTTTTGAATATTGAACTTTAACCTTTCTAAACATTAACTAGTGCCTCCTAATCTTGAACACTAAGTGTGAATGTGAGTCTAGGTGTGTGATGAGTGGTGGTCTGACTTTCAGAGCAGCTGATGCTGGGGGCCTACAGAGAGCCTAGACACAACTGCGACCAGGATTATGACCACTTCCTGCTTCCTCTCCTGGACGACCAGGAGCCCTGCTACATCCTGTACCGTCTGGACTCCCAGAATGCATTGGGCTATGAGTGGATTTTCATCTCATGGTCTCCTGACCAATCTCCAGTAAGACACATTTTCTCAAACATAATCAACACACTGATGCTTTTCGGTTTTAGTTATTTCACATGATAAGGAGGCTGTTTATCTGAGATGAAACAACCCCCCCGGAAAACTAGAAAAGTAGATTAGTTACCTAAATAAAATGTTAAAGAGCAAGTTCACTGATAAACCCTTTATTTAATGTTTGTGAAAACAGTCACTAAGTTTTTCATGCAGGCTGAACATGAAGATAGTCTTCTACACCTACCCCCTGCATTAGCTTCTGATAAAATAAATGGCAAAACACTCGGTTCAGAAAAGCCTGACAGATCTAAGTCACACTGTCACTTTACATTCATGGACTCACCCATCTTGGCTCACAACGAGGAAGGCTGTTGTTGGTTTAACGTTCAGGAAACAGCAACAAACATTTTAGCTAGTAAGCTAACTGTTAGCATTAGGACACTCCACAACACGGCAGAACTCCTCCAGGCTTCTGTGATTTGTGGAGCTAAAACATCAACGTTGCAAAGCAAACAAAGTCAGTGGTAGAGTCATGTTGCTGTTAGCCAATCAGAGGCAAGATGTAGAAAATATCAGGAAATAATAATCCAAATCTTGTTGTATAATGCAACTTTCTCCTTTGAGTGACTTCTACGTTCTCAAAGATGCACCAGAGGTTTTTTCCCCCAAAGAATGACTTACAAGGCATTCACTCCTACTAGAGACCACTGAAAATGTATAAAACGTATGAGTAAAGTTGACCTTTAAGGACCGAGAATCACTACTAAAATACAGTGATATTGATGTTACAGCTCATTTCAACTTGGCAATAGATGTGTTCCAAAACAGCTTTATCTTCAACTTTAAACTAATAAATGTGATATAAATGATCTCTCTGACAAATTTTACGAGCTATAGGGAGTTGATAGCATGTAATATTGAGGGGTCCAAGGACAGAGCCCTGAGGAACACCATTTATTATCGGGGATAGCCAAACTGACAAAAACTTTGCTATAAATCATACAATGGATTTCTCATTCCCATCACATATGGACACAATTGAGCTCTCAACTTGTCAATTAACCTTAAATTCAGATGACCTATTTCATAGCTTATTCGAACAGGAACAGGTGAAGTAACCAGGGCTGCATCCCATTTAGAGAGTGATCTGCAAAATCAGTTTGCAATGGATGCAGAAGTGGAATGCAGCCATACATGTGCTCATCCCACTCTTTATGTCAAACTGGTTGCTTTAGGGTTATTGCTAGTTCCATTATTAGTCAACTAAACAAATCAACTAGTTGAAACACCCCACAAAGTAGCGGATGGTCCTAAACTGGAGTCACCTCCTCCCTGTTACATGGAGCATGTTAATGTGTAGAGAAAGCTCTTGTAAAATACTGCTATTTCATAAAAAATTGACACAATTAGTGTCTAATCAGGAAAGAGAATGTTGCTAATTGAGAATTTGATCTGTAAAAACAGAATGTTTATCAAAGCCTAGTTTTATTTTTCTTTAACAGTGAGTTAAAAATTAACTATTAATTTCCCAAAAAATGGCCAATTAAATTGTGCATACATTTTCACCAATAAGACATTAAACTCTCTTGTCTGCAGGTGAAACAGAAGATGTTGTACGCTGCCACCCGGGCCACAGTGAAGAAAGAGTTTGGTGGTGGCCACGTTAAATACGAGATGTTTGGCACCACTGAGGTCGACACCCTTAAATTTCACCAACTTCTCCGCAAAATGTAAAAACAAAAAAGAAAAGAAAAGCTCATATGATGCATTTTAAACGTCTTATTTTTGTCTGAAACTCCAGGAGGACATCTGCTTGGAGGGCTTCCAGCGTCACGTGTCATCCTGCTCCGGTCCAGCGCCGCTTACTTTGGCTGAGCAGGAGCTCCAACGGATCAAAATCACAGAGGTGAGAGGTCAGCTTGTTCTCACATGTGGCGTCATGGCTGCACATATCTTTGTGCATGAGCTATTTTCTTTTATTAACCACATGCCAAAGTCTCGCTTCATCTTAAATGTAACTTGTGTTTGTTTTTGTCTTTTCAGGGCCGAGTTAAACAGGTTTGTCTATAAATCATTTCTACGTCAATAAAGTTATTTCAGAAAAAATATGGAAAACTGAGGAATAGAAAAATCCTATTTTTAAAAATATTTTCAGTTTAGTTGCATAGAAAGTATAAATCTTAACGATGAACATTTTGCAGACAATAAAATAAAAAAACACATTTCCCTGCTGCCCCCTGCAGGTGAATACTGATATAAGTGTGGAGAGCAAGCACCAGACACTTCAGGGTCTTGCCTTCCCCCTGCAAGAATCGGCCAGGAGATCCCTACAGCTTCTGGCCCAAAAGCGCATCAATTATTTGCAGCTGGTGAGCAGGCCAAGGTTCTAGAAAAGTGTTAGGGTTGAAATTGCACCAAAACCAGCATGAAAACACAAAATAATGCTTTCATTCTTGTGTTTTAGAGGCTGGATGTAGAAAAGGAAACAATTGAGCTGGTCCACTCAAACCCAACAGAAACTCGTGATTTGCCCCGCAGGGTTCCCAAAGACACTCCTAGATACCACTTCTTCCTTTACAAGCACTCCCATGAAGGGGACTACCTGGAATCCGTTGGTATGATGCAGATCCTTGTGTTGTCATAATCCTGTTTGTACATCTGAACAAGGTTTTACACGTCCATCTGTGCTCCTGGAATAGAGTCATGTCATCCACAAATGTGTGTTTCCAAACATTTAATTCTGTTAAATGTCAAATAAGGACGAGGAAATCTGAAAAGCCTGTGTTTAATGGAAAACTGTGCTGAGATGACACTTATATGTTGACTGAAAGTTCTTTTGCTGAAATATTTGAAGTTGGTTCTGAAAATACGTAATTGATTTATTACATCATTTAGGATTAACGTGGCTTTCAATCATATGAGTCACCCATCCAAAGTTGACTGCTTTGCCCTTGTAACACTTTAGGAAGCAGTAAAAAAGCCACACTCTTTGGTTTTGGGAAGTCTTCTACACAAAAAAGTGTTTTTTATTGAGTGTGGTGTCAAAATGCTGAAGCTTTTGCTCATTCAAGGTTTGTTGTCAAACTTTGCAAAATTTTCTAATTTCTTCAATTCTATGTACTTTCTCCTTTTTTCTGGAGTTTTTTACATTTTTCTTTACTTTAATGGGGACATATTATGACTTTATTTTTAAAATTTTATGACCTATAAAAACATTAATGAAGATTTTTGCACAAAATCAGTTTCACATTAAGCAGTCCTACTAGCTCTAGTTTTGACATTCCCAACACTTTTTTTAAATGCGTCGTTTCAGGGCTCTGTCACTTTAAGGAAGACAAGTTGTTGCCCCCCCCCCCCCCCCCCCCCCCCCCGTGATTGGCTGGGCATTGATAACAGTAGAAATGGGGAATTATGGCTCACATTCCTGCTTTCTCTGCCAACAGTGATTTTGGTAAAGCACTACCTCTTTTTAGGAGACACACCATGCCAGCAAATCAGTGTAGTACTGTTGCCACACTGTGTCTTATGAATGCGCAGAGGCGGCATGGCGTTGCAGGGATTTTGTGGCATTTGTGCCGCCATGCTTGGTAGTAATATTATAGCGACGGCGACGTGGTGTCCACAATCCACGTGGTAGGATGGTCAAAATTTAAAAAAAAATTTAACATAACATTTCCTAAAAATCCACTCAGATTTATAATTACATGTATAATTGTTACGTTGACAATAACTTACGTATAGTTCAACACAAGGCATGTCGTGAATCAGTTGTATGTGAAAATGTATTATTTGTCACTTCATAAAGATCAACGGGATAGCTCAACTGGTTAGTCATCTGACTTGTGCGCTAGAGGATTTGGATTTGAGTCCAGGCTGGGATAAGTCATTCGGTAAAGCAAGGTGGGACAAAGGAAATATTCTATTTATTATAATTATTATTAAATGTAAAAACTACATTTTATTTTACAATGTAGATGAGATGTACACTGACAGTCATTAAACGTTCAAATGAGACGTGCCGAAAGACGTAATTCATGTCCAGAAAAGACGTCGGTTCAACTTTCATTTTGGAACAATTTTTCAACGTGTCAGCCTGACATCTTTTCAACGTTGATTAAATGTCCGAATGTTTGCTGGGTTAGGTTTTGTCCTATGCAACCACACGTGTGTTTAAATATTAATTTAAGCACATTAATCTCAGCACTTGCAGGACAAGCAACTTCTGAGCTAAGCTAGTTCATGTTTAACTGTGAAACACAACATACCTCATTTTTAATTATTTATATCTCTCATCTGCTAACTTGACATGTCTCAGTAGATGTGTGTTGGCAAATCCTCCCCAAGCCGACAGGCACCAACCAAACAGAAAAGATAGTAAGTAGCGTTAGCATAAAGCCTGGTTCATGCTTCTCCGTCAGCTCTGCAAGGGACAGACACGCACGGATTGACGGAAGCGTTTTGCTCTCATACTTCTCCGTCTCCTGGAGAGTGTTGCAAAGCAATTGCCCGGCAGGACAACAGAGGGTGTAGCGCTGTTCTGTGGTATCCTGTCATGTATCCGGTCCAAAATAGTGTGTTTATATTATTATTTTTTTGTATATAAGAGACTTTTTAACACAGACAAATTTGTCTCTCATTCTCCTCCACCTCTTCATGCGCTCGCCACCTACAAACCCACGTTTTCTGTCATTTCCGTCCACAAGTAAAACTCTTGCTGCGCTTCTTTTCACTCCTCCGGTCACGGGGGAATTAAACGTTCATGTTTTTAGAGTTTTTTCGCAAGGTATTCTTCAAGCTTCTCCGTGTCTGCCGCTTGTTATCCTCAGCTCTCTTTATGTTTTTGAGGGCGCAATGGCGGCGCTGTAGATGACAGCGGTGTCCTGACCAATCACAAGCTTGCGTTGTCCGTCTCGACTGACGGATGTTTAGAAAAGAGAGCTCGACTCCGTCCGTCCTTGCGGAGCTCTCCGGCAGGCCCGCAAGGACGTTGCGTGTCTCCGCACTGACGCAGACGGAGAAGCATGAATCAGGCTTTGCTCCATGCAACCTACTTGTTGACACAGCTCCATTAGAAGAGATTTGCTGGCTAATTCTGACGTGTAATGTCCGTGGTTTTCAGAGTTCCGACCCAAACCGAGCCGCAGAAAGAACCTACTGGTAGCGTGTGCAGCAGACTTTGCACAGCTCTGTCAGAAGACACTTGCTGACTAATTTTGCTGAGTAACGTCAACGGTTTCGAGCCACAGACCGAACTAATCAGTGAAACAAGAACTCTTCCTCAAAGTGGTTCACATACCAATTTTGAATTTAGCTGGGAGCTCTGATCTGGTCATTCGTATCATTATTCATTTGTCTTTCATTTTGAATGAATCTGTATTTATCCTCTTCCACTTCACTGGAGTGCTGTTGCAGGGATAGGAGCTTTACAAGAGAGAAGAAGAAAAGCCCAAAGTTCCCTCTCCTCTCCAACTCCTCTGAGGGAATCCTAAGACATTCCCAGGCCAGCCAAGAAACACAGCTCCTCTAGCATATCTGCTCTCAGCAGGTGAAGGGAGGTTCTATGCAAATTTCCCCATTTGTGACAAAACAAATGAGGAATTTTCAAAACCACTGGTTTTAAGCAAATAACCCCTGAACCAAACCCTGACAGGAAATGGACAGACTTTTTTGTAAATGTTTGGAGTGTTTACAGAAGCAGTAGAGACCGACATGGCAGCACAAAAAGATGCAAAAAGTCAGATTTGCACAATATATCTCTTTTAAACGATTTACCTATCAGCATTATTTGGTTATTTTTTAACACAGAAAGGAGTTGCTTTACCTTTTATTTTTTTGCTGACGCTTTGACTACGACTGCAGTCTTCTTCAGAGCTCGCCGCTGTTGGCGGCATCACTTTCTTCCGTTTATCCACGGACAGCAGAGGACGATGTTGCCCTCTCTCCTCGCCAATGAAACAGTCCCATGCGTGATCCAATGTGTAAACCCCATCGTCTCTGTTCATGGTTGTGTGTCCAAGATGACTGCAGTAGTCGTCGAAATGTCAGCAAAAAATGGTAAAACAACTAACGCAGTTAGAGGAGACACATGAACGAGATTTACCCAGTCTGGCCTTTTGACAGTAATCTTTGGCAGCTATGAGACGAGTCTTTTGTTATCATAAGCTGCCAAAAAGTTCATTTTTGATGTTGCAGTAGCCCTGAGTCACTCCTTCATTTATCAACATAAAGAAACCTTTAGGAAAATGCGGAACATGAAGGGAGGTGGGCGACAGGAATTCCTTTAATGAGTGCTGGGTATGTAAACTTTTCCCCTGTCCTCTGTTTCCTTGTCAAATTTAAAATTAAAAACGTGCCATTTCTCAGATTCCACATTTTGCTATGTGGGCTAAAATGATTTGCAAATCATTGCATTTTGCATTCATTTACATGTGAAGCAGCGCTCCAACCCATTTAAGCAAATACACATGAGTGGTTCTTTTCTGTTCGTGCACAGTGAACTATACAAGCTAAAATGATGTGCAGCGGGTGCAGAATAATGAATCAGAAAGAAACGTTTCTAAACTTCCTGTTGCTCTAATGTGTTTCTAATGGGAGATGCATTCCCGTCTGCAGTGTTCATCTACTCCATGCCGGGATACAGCTGCAGCATTAAGGAGCGGATGTTGTACTCCAGCTGCAAGAGCCGACTACTGGAGGAAGTGGAGAGAGATTATCATTTGGAAATAGCTAAAAAGGTAACAGGTGGAGGACTGATTTACATATTCACACGAGTGTGTTTCCAGTTATTTTTATTCTCAGCAGCATTTTTACTGACAGAAGCTGTAAAGCTGACAGCTGCATTCCTTTATCCTGCCTGCATTCTGAATTTATCCTTGCATGACTGCCTTCCTCTTATTTTTCTGCATCAGCTGGAAATTGAAGATGGAGATGAATTGACGGAGGAATTTCTGTACGAGGAGGTCCATCCCAAGCAGTACGCCCACAAACAGGCATTTGCAAAGCCCCGCGGCCCTGCAGGAAAACGAGGACACAAGCGTCTCATCAAGGGGACAGGAGAGTCCATTCACGACAGCTAGAAAAGACATGTCCTTTTTGTCTACCAACGACCCACTAAACCCAGAGGAGGGCACAGTGGTGCTCCTCCTCCCCGACTGTGTGTACTGAAACACTTGTTACATGTGACTGATTCATTTTTGGGTCTGACGTGCTGTTAAATCTCCTTTATTAAAGCTCTGTTGGTCACTTTGTGAAATAGTTTTAGAGCAAATTAGGGGGATAATGAATAGAGACATTTAGATGGGACTCAGGCTGTAAAGCACACAGATTAACTTCATAAATGATTAAAGATAACCTGGTCTTCAGGATTTACAACCTTCAGTTTACAAATGAATACACCAGAGCTGGCTTGTAAATGCACATTTAAATGGTTCAGAGCAGCCTTAGGTTTTACTTTTCTATCAACAATGTTTGTAATTTAAAAATAAATTATTAATAGAATTTCTGCTAATTTGTGAATATAGATTTTTGTGTTCAGCATGCGGTCATAAGCCGGGATCTTTATGTGTCCATCTAAGTAAAGCAGCAGAATTTAAAGTCTGCACAGAAATCTAAACTGGAACTTCATGTTCGGAGTGCAAATCTGCAATGGAGCCTGAAGATAAGCGCTTACAGAGATGATTTCTGCGTTTTCTATTTGCTCTTTTTAAGACGGAACAACTCGATTAAGTGTTACGCTCCTGCCGTGACGTCAGCTATCGGAAGTCTTTTGTTTTGATAACCCTCCTATATGAAACCTCAAGAATGCATTACCAGGATCCTTCGTCTGCTCAGAGACAGAGGTAATAATTAGCAGTTCTGTGAATCCTCATGAGTAAACAATACAACAGGATTTCAGAAAAAGCCTGAACAATCTGCAAAATGTTCAGAAAAGACAGACGGTGGTAAATTCCTCCAAACCTTTAAGCTTTTATGTTTATGTTTATTTATTTAGCAGACGCTTTTATCCAGTGACTTACAATTTATAACCTATAGGGCATGTTGTGATCTGTGGGGGAAACCGGAGTACCCGGAGGAAACCCACGCATGCATGGGGGGAACACGCAACTCCACGCAGAAAGGCCACAGCCGAGTTTCGAACCTGCGACCTTCGTGCTGCGAGGCAACAGTGCTAACCACTGCGCCACCATTTTTATCTAAATGTAGCCATATGCATCAAACCAGTGAGACCTTGTGACCTTTTTGGTTGGCAGCTCAGGGGTTAGGGGTTCACCCTGTAGTCTGTGGTTTGCCAGTTCGAACTCAGGCTTTGTTTTTGTCACCCATTGTGTCGTTGGGCAAGGCACGCACCCTCCTTACCTGCTGGGTTGGAAGGACCAGTGGCAGCTGTGGCTACGATGTAGCTTACAGTGGGGCAAAAAAGTATTTAGTCAGCCACCGATTGTGCAAGTTCTCCCACTTAAAATGATGACAGAGGTCAGTAATTTACATCATAGCTACACTTCAACTGTGAGAGACAGAATGTGAAAAAAAAAAATTCCATGAATTCACATGGCAGGATTTTTAAAGAATTTATTTTTAAATCAGGGTGGAAAATAAGTCTTTGGTCAATAACAAAAATTCAACTCAATACTTTGTAACATAACCTTTGTTGACAATAACAGAGGTCAAACATTACTATAGGTCTTTACCAGGTTTGCACACACAGTAGCTGGTATTTTGGCCCATTCCTCCATGCAGACCTTCTCGAGAGCAGTGATGTTTTGGGGCTGTCGCCGAGCAACACGGACTTTCAACTCCCTCCACAGATTTTCTATGGGGTTGAGGTCTGGAGACTGGCTAGGCCATTCCAGGACTTTCAAATGCTTCTTACGGAGCCACTCCTTTGTTGTCCGGGCAGTGTGTTTGGGATCATTTTCATGTTGGAAGACCCAGCCGAGTTTCATCTTCAAAGCTCTCACTGATGGAAGGAGGTTTTGGCTCAAAATCTCACGATACATGGCCCCATTCATTCTTTCCTTAACACGGATCAGTCGTCCTGTCCCCTTAGCAGAAAAGCAGCCCCAAAGCATGATGTTCCCACTCCCATGCTTCACAGTAGGTATGGTGTTCTTGGGATGCAACTCAGTATTATTCTTCCTCCAAACACGACAAGTTGAGTTTATACCAAAAAGTTCTACTTTGGTTTCATCTGACCACATGATATTCTCCCAATCCTCTGCTGTATCATCCATGTGCTCTCTGGCAAACTTCAGACGGGCCTGGACATGCACTGGCTTCAGCAGCGGAACACGTCTGGCACTGCAGGATTTGATTCCCTGCCGTTGTAGTGTGTTACTGATGGTGACCTTTGTTACCGTGGTCCCAACTCTCTGCAGGTCATTCACCAGGTCCCCCCGTGTGGTTCTGGGATTCTTGCTCACCGTTCTCATGATCATTTTGACCCCACGGGATGAGATCTTGCGTGGAGCCCCAGATCGAGGGAGCTTATCAGTGGTCTTGTATGTCTTCTATTTTCTGATAATTGCTCCCACAGTTGATTTTTTCACACCAAGCTGCTTGCCTATTGTAGATTCACTCTTCCCAGTCTGGTGCAGGTCTACAATTCTTTTCCTGGTGTACTTGGAAAGCTCTTTGGTCTTGGCCATAGTGGAGTTTGGAGTCTGACTGTTTGAGGCTGTGGACAGGTGTCTTTTATACAGATAATGAGTTCAAACAGGTGCCATTAATACAGGTAACGAGTGGAGGACAGAAAAGACTCTTAAAGAAGACGTTACAGGTCTGTGAGAGCCAGAGATTTTCCTTGTTTGACATGACCAAATACTTATTTTCCACCCTGATTTACAAATAAATTCTTTAAAAATCCTGCCATGTGAATTCATGGATTTTTTTTTCACATTCTGTCTCACAGTTGAAGTGTACCTATGATGTAAATTACTGCCCTCTGTCATCATTTTAAGTGGGAGAACTTGCACAATCGGTGGCTGACTAAATACTTTTTTGCCCCACTGTATCATCGTGTGTGTGTTAAAACGTAAGACATTTTCAAAATGAGCAAATTTAAGGACGGTTTTCTTTCATTAGGTAGGTAAAATATGTTTTTATGAGTAAAGATTGTCTTAATTTTTAATATGTTGCAGGAAAAACAAGATCCTGAAATTTCGAGGGGGCATCTGTAATCTGGGTTGCAGAAATAAAGGAATAATAAAATTAACCTAATACACAATTTACACTCAAAACAGACACAATTCTATAGAATAAAGCCCTGATCGGCTCAGAAACACAGAAAAACTTAGAAAAATGTTCCTGGAAAGCATAAACTAAGAAACTCTGGATCATCTGGGTTTTTTATTTTCCAAGAAACGGTTAGATGGAAGCGTGGTGGAAGGAGGACGTTTCAGTATCATGTATGGGTAAATGAAATAAACACGTAATTATCTTTCATCAGGAAAAGTCTGAGCACATCACAATAGTTGTCAAATGAACACACACACACACTTTGACTTTCCCATGCCTAACCCATAACCAGTGTTGCTGTATTCCTAACCCTAACCTCAACTAAAAGTTGATTCACACCATACCACTAAAACCAACTTTTAGGGGTTTTTCTACTGAGGGCCTGGCAAATGTCTTCACAGTTTCAAAATGTCCCCATGTTAGAGGTGAAAAGTCAAAAATGTGTCCTCACAGCAGATGAGAGACAAGCACGCACACACACACACGTTACTCTGCACCGGTCACTCTGCTAACACACAATCAAATAAAAACATCACACGATGGGACAGAAGCGATCCTTTTAACATAAGCAGGAGCTGCGATGGATTAAAAACGTGTGGAAAATATTTGTTTGATCTACGGAAGAAACAGAAAACACTTCAGCGTTTAAAAGCATCGGTTTTTAGAGAAAGTCTGGAAATAATTAGCTTACTTCTTGTTCCTGCCATGCTAAGCTGTTCAAACTAATCTTTAGGGATTTTAATTCTGAAATGTGGATTTAAGTGGATGAGATATGAGAATTATAGGACAAAAAATCCCTTTATTGTCCCTAATTGAGGAAGCCAGCATGCCACAGCATCTATTCACAACAGATAAATAATAATTATACAAATAATTACATCAAATTCCTAACATATATTGTTAAAAAGTAAAATAAATATATTTTAATTGTTTTTATTTTATGCTGATTTACAAATCCTTTTTACCAAAAACTTTACAAGTAAGATCGCTGTTATTATCCAAAAATAATAACCAGCTATTACCAATAAATACTGTGGAAATGTCATTAGTTGGGCTTATTTTATAAAAATGAAATAAAACTTGATCATGACACCAAAGGGCATGAAACAGACCTCAGTAGGACTAAACAATGATGATGCATGAATGATGGGGCAGCAGTAGCTCAGGTGGTAGAGCGGGTTGCCTCATGATCATGGGTCCGATTCCAGCTCCCGCCAGGGGTATCCTGCTGTTGTGTCCTTGGGCAAGACACTTCACCCAACTTGCCTGTGTTAGTGGTGGTCAGAGGGGCCAACGGCGCCAAATGGCAGCCTCGCTTCTGTCAGACCTCCCCAGGGCGGCTGTGGCTACAAGTAGCTTAACATCACTAGCAGTGTGTGAATGTGAGAGTGTGTGAAAGTGTCTTTGGGTGTCTAGAAAAGCACTATATAAGTTCAATGCATTATTATTATTAAATCAGGTTTCAGGATTTTTAACTAGGAAATTAAACCAGATGACATCTTGAGGGAAACATAAAACAAATGATGCTAATAGTAATTATTTTCAAAAAACAACAGTTATATGAATTGATGATTTTCACTTGTGGACAACATTTGCAGGTAAACGCAGCACAGAAACGCGTACATCTGCTTTACTAATGAACTCGTTAGCTGGACCCATCCTGAAATACCTCCTCCAGCTGCTAACAGCCTACTGGGTTCAGTCCAGGACAATCCTCTTTGATTAAAGCTCTGCTCGCTCACAAAGGGTGAATTTATTCAGCACATTCCAGGCAGCAGCAGCAGCTATTCTCAGAATATCCTTGAAATGTACTCCGATTTTTTTTCCTCCTTGCTCTCAGCACCGAGGGGAGACAACTGCTATTCAGCATCTCCCAGACATCAGCTGGTTCTTAGTCAGTTCTGGGTATGGGGTGTGATTACACGAGAATAATCAGATACGTTCAAATCATAAAAAATTATAAGCCGTATGTGGCCTTGTGCCGGTGTGTGTGTATGTGTGTGTGTGTGTGTGTGTGTGTGTGTGTGTGTGTGTGTGTGTGTGTGTGTGTGTGTGGGTTTGGCTTTTAGAGAAGCTGCAAGAAAATAGCTCTGCTGAAGTAATGAGCCCACAGCGACTTATTAGAAATACGTTTGTGCACAAGGATTTCCAGGAATTTTCGTAAATTCATCGGTTGTTTTCCCTCAGATCTGCAGTCTGAAGGTGTCTGAACAACGCTGTTTAACCAAAAATGTCCTAAACAAAATCTGGGGTATGTTTATAAGCAAAGAAAACCACAAGACAATAATCGGATCTGTGCAGAACCGGACCGGCTCCATAAGAAGACAAAGAACAACTCCGTAACCATTTTATCTAAACTAAAAAAAAAAAAGCTCCATCTTCTGAGGTCACTGCACTTTAAACAAGCTGGATGAAAAAGTGTGACACCCTGAAGCTTCTTTTTTTTTAATGTTTTAGGATTTTTAACAATCATAAACTAAGCTTAGGCATTGTAGCTGGAGTCATGATGGTTAAAACACAGAATGTGAACTAATGGGAACATCCAGCAAATGGAGAGCATCTGCAGGAATCCTGGGATAAAAGTCACAAAACTCTTATAACCAGATCTGTGGCATAAGAAACACCTACTTATTCCATTTCTCAGGCTTTAACTGGAGCAGAAATGATTAGTCATTAACTATTAACACTGCTCAATAAATTATTTGACGTCATTTAGGTCTGCAGACGAAAAAGTGCAGGTGTTGACATTTAGGTTTGCAAAGTTTGGCAAATAAAAGGAAGTTTGGGGTACAGGAACTAGGATTCTTTTGGAAGTTTACCGACATGGAAACCAATTTTAGTCTCAGCGGTCCGCATGCAGGCAGCTCCTTAAAAACACCCCCATAAAAACACAGCTGGGAGCTGAAGCCAGCCTTCCTTTATCTTCTCTTTATGGCTCTGTTGCATTGTCCTGAGAGTAGGGTGCTTACCTATGAATATGTCATTTAACACACTAGTAATAAAAGCAAAATCTCTTCAGCCCAGATGGTTTCTTCTGTTTGATAAACGTTTGTATCTTTTTAAAGTAAAAAAAAATATTTAAAGCATTTTCTTACTAAATCATTAGAATCCCTTTCAGCAAAATGTTGTTTTTTTCCCCTTTGCGAGACAAAAAAACCCATATTTGTTCTGCGACATCAAGCAGAGACAGATAAAGTCCACAAGACTTCTTAGAAACAAAGTTCATTCTGGAATTCCTGGGAAAAGATTAAGACTCCACTCTTTGGGATCAGCAGGCTTTTTTTTTGTGTGAAAACGGCCGTGATTCTGCTGCAGCATGTTTCAGATACTATGTCATCCCAAAATAAAGCATTAGGCTTTACAGTTTAATGTTTGGAAAACTTTTACCCTGAACAGGGCGTTTTGCACATTTGTAACAGTTCAGGAGAAAATTGAGCTGTGGCCCCTTCCTTTTGACCTTTGTCAGGCTAATTTAAGGATATTCTGGATTAAAAAAGAAGAATGAGCCTCATAAAAAAGATAAAAGTGGAAAAAAGGTGAAAGAAAAGCCCTTTCGGGCCTAGCAGTATGGCTTCTAGGCCGTTTCTGTGAGTTTATTCACACAATAACAACTTGTTTTCTTCAGGATAATAGAGCTCTAAACCTCCGCAGCCATGTTTTTCCAAACAGGATTGAGAGAAATCTATATTACTGGAAACGGCCTGTGTGCATTCCTATTATCTTTAATGTCGAGGCGGTGAATTCCCAGAATGAGGACTCTGTCAGGGCCGCCCAGCGAGGCGGAGTCAGCTCCCGCAATTATTCCTGGAAAGCGAGTAGGCAGAAGCAGTCGCGCGGTTCCTGGGAGCTCGAGACACTGGGGGGAGGGGGGAGGGGGAGGGAGAGGGGGGTCACTCTTCAGCGAAGCGACAAAAAGAAAGAGCCAGCGCGAGACTGGAGGACATTAGAGCCGCGCTTCGAATAAACCCGAAAAAGATGCTTTTTCTCATGGGAGTTCTCCGTACCGACACAGCGACAGGGCTCGGCCGCTGAGAGGAGCGTCAGGGCGGCGCAGTAGAACCGCTACGGCCGGTGTGACGTCAGGGGCAGAGCCGGTGCAGCGGGGAGTTCTCAGAAGCGACTTCTAGGAAACGGTGAATTTTAAAAGCCAAGCCTTTAGCCGCTGTCCTTCACACATACAGGGCTCCGTGTGGCGACAGCACTCCGCCGCGGCCGCAGCGACCACAGACGGGCGTCCGTTCTGTTTCAATCTTTAATCTTTACGCGTGAAAGTCGCGGTTTTCCCGTTTTAGTGACAGAAGCGGATCTTCATCTCTGAGCTCTTTGTTTTTCTTCTGTCCACGTTTCCAATCCAGCCTCAGATTGAGTCTGTAGCCGAAAGCGTCTGGATTCCTGATGCAAACCTTTTCTTTACGACTTGGAAATCTAACTGGATTTTCTATAATAATAATAAAATAAATCCCGGGAAGACTTAACAGGATATGATTCTTTGTGAGCGCGGGTAAGCAGACATTTGTTTTCTCTTTCTCATTTTTTGTTTATTAAAAAATAGTAAAATCATTTTTTATGCCCACCTTTATGGGTGTTCATTATTGTGCTTTAGTGTGTTTTTATTCTTAACCAAAATCAATTAAAAAAATAAAAAACTTCAAAGTAATTCTAAGAATAGAAAATTCCTGAAGTAAAAAATGAGTTCTAGTAACTCACGCATGCATAAAAAAAAGATTTCTTGGAAAGCAAAAAGTGCTCCCAGGAATGCAAATGATTGTTTTTAAGGAATATAAAAGCTGCAGTATTTTTCCAGCTGTGGTGTTTACTTATAGATCTATAATCCTTTCTTTCTCCCAGTCCCAGAAGTCTGAACACTGAAGCCCCGCGGGGTATGCGGGAAGAAGCTGTAGCCCCTGTGGTCCCTTGCCTCCAGAGCTCACCTCACATATGGGACACAGTGAAGGACCTGACGGCGATTGGCCTGAACCTGTGCTACCTAGAAAACTCGGGTACTGAAGAAGAATTTGCATTTCCAGCTTCATTTCTGCTTATTTCCCCTTGGTTCCAATTATCCTTTGGTGTTGACTTATTTAGCCTTCAGCATTCTTAGAAAACGTCATGCAAATAAAATCATTTTGCTCTAAAACTTCCTTGATTGCACTGATCTGAACCCTGTTTGTTCTGTGTAGGATGGTATTGGGGGGCTGTGACTGCAACGCAGGCCCACGCTGCCCTCCAAGAAGCACCAGAGGGAACCTTCTTGGTGCGGGACAGCAGCCACCCTCTCTACATGCTGACCCTGACGGTCAAGACGGCGCGAGGACCCACGAGTATACGAATCCAGTACTGTGGCACCCAGTTCCTGCTGGACGCCAGCTCCCCAGCCCGCTCCAGCCTCTCTTCCTTCCCCAACGTGCCCAGCTTGGTGCAGCACTACATGGGGGCAGAGAGAAAATCAGAGGAGAGGAAGGCAAAGGAGGACGAGCGTCACTGGAAGCCCACAGAGCAATTAGTTCAGGAGTCGTCTGTGGTGCTAAAACTGAAACGGCCCGCCTACGTGCCCTGGGGCATTCCCTCGCTGCAGCATCTCACACGTCTGGTCATTAACAAACACACCGACTGCCCCGATGAGCTGCCGATTCCAAGACCTATGCAGCATTTCTTAAAGGAGTACCCCTTCAAAGTATGAGTCCTGGCTCACTCAGAGGAGAAAACAAACTGCTGAACAGGTCCTTTGTGCCTCCGGCCAGTCACGCACGCGCACACAAAAACATTTCTGACAAAATCAGACGCAAAGTCACTTGAGGCTGGCGAGTCGAGGACAAGCTGGAGGAACACCTAAGGTGTGTAAGGACCTACTCTAAGATGGATGTGATGAAACAGGACATGCTTCTGGATGTACATATTGTTTCTAAGAAATATGCTAATTTCATTCAGACATCTTTTATGTCGTTTTATTTTCTCAACAAAGGCATTTTTGTATTTTTTACATGTGTAAATATTTCTATTAAAATAATTGAAAAATAAGTGCTATTTTATTTATACAACAATGCATTCACTTCCCCTTTTTAAACAAACAAAAAGAAAAAACATGGAATTGCCCTAAACACTGCTGTTGCTCACGGCTAACCACACACTCATCCTCACATTTACCAATCACGTGCTGTCTGCTCTTGGGACGCTTGTGAAATATTGTTTTCAGCATAAATCACCCTTGAAACAAAAACTTGGTGGCCTTTGAGCATTTATTGAGAGAAAAGCAGATTTTGAGAGGATGTAATAAGGCCACGATGTGTGTGTGTGTTTTGCTCAACAATGCATATGGTCTGCATCTGAATCAGTGGGTGAGCGGAGGGGAGGACCGTTCATCAGCGGATTCACAGAACTACTGAATGCTTCCCGGGAGGAGTGAGGGAGGTTCTGAGAGGGTTCGTTCTTAGAAAAGCTCTGGTAATTACCTTCAGCTCGGAGCCTGCTTTTGTGCCGTCGCATTCACATTTTTTATTGTGAGATTGGGGGGGGGGGGGCATCCGTCACCAGGTGAAAAGTGCATCTGTGACAGGAAAACCGTCTGACGTTATGCAGGATATTTTTTATTTTTTAAGGGACCGTATTAGCGTGAGCCTGGTGACTCAGTGGGGGTCGAGGCTGGGGCGACCTGAGCTAAAGTCAGTGTAATAGGATCTCAGTTCCTCAATCCTGATCCAGTTTGTGGTCCTTGTGTGACGCCTTCTGGAGGATGCAGAATCGTGGCCTTAGAAACAAAAACATCGAAGGTGTGAGATGACGAAAAATTTTAAAAGAAGCAGGCACACTCCTCCTAATATGCTTCTTTAACGATGTTGGAAATATGAAATGTTTTTTCTTTATTTATGAACACAAACCTGCCGCTGGTGTCGCGTCGCGTTTCCACAAACCGCAGCTCTTCCACGTTCTCCTCCGCCCACTGCCGAATGAGCGGGGGGTGTCTGGGGTCCACTTCCAAGTAAACGCGACTGTTTATCAAGAGAGGAGTGACACGGAAGGGATTAAAATTTAATTAACAAAAGAGCTGGATTATAAGAATTGACCTTGAGATGAGAGCGTGTGCCTGGAACTGTATTCACAGGGAAACTCTCAGAAAGCTGAACTCGTCAAAGACGCAACACGATACTTGTGTTTTTTTAGAGTGTGCTGTTCCCCGCGACAAGTTGCCACTGCCTGTAGGTATTAAACCCAGGGGGTGTGTGTGTGTGTGCACGTGTGTGTGCCCATGTGTGTGCGTGCGTGTGTGTGTGAGGGGGTTCTCACCCGTGATTTGACAAAATGAGTGGGGCCAGAGTTAAAATCTGTTTGATCACAGTCAGGCCGTCTTCACCTCCATCTAAAGCAGCATGATCCTCAAATCTGGGAACAATAATAAAGCAAACAAAACAGAATAATAATGTTAATTAAAACATTTGATGCATTCAAGGAAAATAATTACATTTTCTGACATAAATTTATTATAAAGTGTCAGATTTGTTCACAATAACAAGATGAATAAAATCATTAGATTTAAACAACCCATTAAATAAAACAAACGGTGAGAAGCTTCTAAAGGAATGACCGGAGTCGGATCTGCTGGTGTTTTTACTGGCGTTGAGGTTTAAGTTTGATAGAAAAAATAAACAAAAGTAATTACCACTCTGAGTAAATCCAAGATTTACCTAACTGAACTTTAGCTCAGAACACAACCGTTTTAATCATTGACTAACGCCAGATGAAGAAGGGAAACTACACGTGTTTGCTTTTCTCTCATATTCCCAGATGTTGTTTTAGAGTTGAGCCCAAAAGTCTGTAAATGTTACAGCATCTTTGAAAACCATCCATTAGTTATTATTATCATTTTAAACCCACCTTGGTCAACAATGAATTTCTATTTGATCAAAAATAAAGATTAGTTTGAAAAAATGTCATTGACTATGTTGAGTGTTTCTACTTTTTAACAATAAAACACATAAATTGTTTAGATATTTCTTCTGCTTTCTTCCCACTTAAATTGTTTCAGACAAAAATAATCCAGCTGATTATTGGGTATCCAAACCACCCTGACTATGTGAAAAGTTAATTGAACCCCCTAACTTAATAACTGGCTGTAACGCTGAGCAGCAACGACTGGAACCCATCATTTGTGATAACTAGTTTGGAGCCTCTTAAATCAGCCACACAGAAGGAATTTCCAGCATGATCGGCCTGTTTAGGGTCATAGGTCGGACAATAACCTACCTCAGATGCTCTGTGGGAAAAGCCTTTATGTGGTATTAACTCCAGGCTACAGCTCACCTCATTTAAGATTATTAGTTGTTTATTTTTCTTCTAAGTTCTAATTAAACTAAATATTTTCTTCTGTTTCAACGCTCGGCGATAAGAGTAAAACTGATGTTTGAACACTTTCCTCCCTCTGCCCCTTAAAAATGATCTGCGCCAGAGAACGCCAGCAGAATGCAGCCTCCTACCCCTAAACTCTGAGTTGTGGTTAAACAGAAATGGCTTCCTGCTTGCATCCGGAGGAAGTGCCTTCTGATTTCCTCTAAGTCCATTTCCAAGTATCGGCTGATATGAGGCCCTATTGTTAAACCCTTTATCTCTGCCTGCTCATTTGTTTTTTAAGCCTGTTACGCAGTTATCTTCGTCATTCGTTTCTTGACTTTATGATTGGAAGTTTGTAGGGGTGTGGCACCAGTTTTGTTTTAGTCTTTCTTATTTGAAGGTGTTTTATTTATTTAAAATAATATATTTTTAAAAAGGTCAGTTATTCACTTTCTGGATTTTTTGGCAGAGAGCAAGTTCACGGTTCCATCAGTTAGAGCAAGTCGCCCTGAAGCAGCAAAGCTGCCCCAGACCATCACACTACCACCTCTATGTTTTACGTTGGTAGTTTTCTAGTTTTACACCAGATGGTTTTACTCAGGGCTGCACAGTGGCACAGTGGTTAGAGCTGTTGCCTCATGACAAGAAGGTCCTGGGTTCGCTTCCAGGCCTGGGATCTTTCTGCATGGAGTTTGCATGTTCTCCCTGTGCATGTGAGGGTTCTCTCCGGGTACTCCGGCTTCCTCCCACAGTCCAAAAACATGACTGTTAGGTTAATTGGTCTGTCTAAATTGTCCTTAGGTGTGAGTGTGTGTGTGCGTGATTGTTTGTCCTGTCTGTGTTGCCCTGCGATGGACGGGCTCTCTGTCCAGGGTGTACCTCGCCTGATTGCCCATTGACCGTTGGAGATAGGCACCAGCCCCCCCCCCCCCCCCCCCCAACCCTACATGGACAACTGGGTTCAGAAAATGGATGGATGGATGGTTTCACATGGTCCACTGAACATTTCCACCAAAAGTTATTCTTTTTGGTCAGTGGAGGTTTTGGTCTTTGAACTTTTCCATTGATGCCCTTTCTACCTAGCCAGGCAAGCTATCCTACATAATATAGGGTGTTTCTCAATGAACCTCGCCTTGATTCTTGGTCCCGCCCCGGTTGCCTAGGAGATACGTCATCAGGAATCGCCAAGTTGTGTTCCAATGTTCATGTGGTGCGGAGGCGGCTGTCCTCTGTTTGTTAGCCGTTTAGCTAACTGATCAAGGATACATGGGAGGTGTCTTGTTGCTATCTCTCAGTCAAACATTTCCCAGAATACAGCGCAGTATTTTCAAAAGGATGGAGGATCAGGAGCCAGCAGCTACTTCGGGGGCAAATTTCCAGTTTAAATTTAAGTTAACTAATTTTAGTTATTCGGCTGGTATGTAAACTGTTTTTTTTTTTTAGATCCAAAGCAGTTATCTATGGTTGCTGCTTCAGTGGCTAGCAGGTACCAACTTGATTTAATTTAACCAATACATACACAATTAAAAAAGTATAAAGTATAACTTTACCTCACGTGTCACATGACATGACTGCCGTGGCCAAGGAAGGACAATGTCCTCGTAAGCAAGGCACTGTCTAACATTAGGCTACAACAGCTCTCACAATAGCCCCATAAAGATCATTACAATATTTAGAAATATTTTTGATGTTTACATTGTTTCATAATAATTCCTAATAATTATATGATGAACTCTAAAAATTTTCTGACTACGTCTGAACCTCATGGTTGAAAATATTTTGCATTTTGTAAAAATTTGCAATGATGGTTCTTTTTTCAAATGATTTCAACAGAGTAATAAAAATATGTATGATATGTAAATATTAAAGTTTCTTGTTCTGTGTTTATGATCCATGTACTGTCCCAGTCCATTTTAATGAGAAGATCATATAATGGACTAGGACAGCACACGGATCATAACCACAGAACAACAAAAATATGAAAGATGGATCGAGGAAGCGATAGAAATAAAAAGACGCGGGCACAAAACCATGAACCGAGACGGTGGAGTATTCACATTGGATCAAGCATGGGACAGTGTCATCAGCAAGGAGGAGGCGGGCGGTAGAGGGCGACATCGTCCTCTGCTGCCCGCTGATCAAAGGAAGCGACGCCACAAACAACGGCAATCTCTGATGACAACTAGAGATAGTAGCCGAAACATGTCAGGTAAAAAACTATTTTTTACTAAAACTGTGTAAGAAAATAGCAAAGAACGGATAACGAAGATAAACACAGAATGAACGTACAAAAGAGTAGATGTGTGATTGTAAATTCTTCGCAACGTTTTGAATCATTTCAAATCGCATCGTGAAATGTATCGAATCAAAAATCTTTGTCGTATCATTAAAGAGACAGCGTTACTTTTACCGGAAATATCCATCAAAATGTTGTTGAAAATGAGTTAAATGATGACCAGTTGAAAAACTTTGGCGGCTTCATAACATATAATCATAAAAATCGGATCTAAAATACACGTGAAGTCTCTGGGCCATATTAGACACAATGTTTAATTCTATGTGAGTCCGTGAGGACAAAACGCATTTACTGATTTGTAACAAAGGGTTACGAAACTTTAGCCATTCATTAACATTGTTTTAAACATTTACCTCTTCGTTCGCTGCCAGTGATGAAAGGGAGTCTGATGTTTTGACCCTAATGGCCTTCTGTTGGTAAGGTCTTACCCAAACACAAAAACACCACTTACTTGCAATGATTTAGGTATGTATTGTCCCCTATCACCAGGGAAAATATACACTGTCATGTTAATGAATTGTCAGCAGGGATGAATCGTATTGATTGGCAGAGGGTTTCACCAGATCGTTATCGGATCATATCGCAGGTGGCGAATCGACTCGACCTCAGTGGTGGGGATTCACATCCTAATGCACAAACCCCTTTCTTTGAAAAAGTAGTTTGCTTGAACAGCAAAAATATTTCCTTCTCCACCTTTAAGGGTGACAAAGAAAGCAAAAGCAGACATATGCTTTTCCACAACACCTTTTTCATTCACCTATAAATTTCCGGCTCCAGGGATTGAAGGTCTTCTGAAAACAGGTATGGCGGATTACTGACCAGAGCTGAAGCTGAACTGCAGAGGCTCAACACTCTGTCTGCATCTGGAAAAAGAAACACAACTAAAATATGAATATTTTTAAGCACCAATGCATTTCGATTTATTAGTCAAGAACTGGACTTTCATTTTTACCTTTCATGACATCAACACGAGAAACCTGGAGTCTGTCCTGAAGCCCCAACCTGTGCAGGATTCGTCTTTGTTAATGCTTTACGTAAACATTAATGGAACATAAAAGGTAACTTTACAAATGTGCATTACTGTGATGTAGTTACCTCGAAGCATTCTCTCTGGTTAATTCAACTGCATCCTGGCTTTGATCCAAGGCAAAGACTTTAAGCTGGGTCAAGAGAAGCACACTGTTTGAAGAAAACATCTGCTCCAACTTCCCTTTTATTTGTATTAGCAAACAAAGATACCTGCCTCTTCATAACATGATTGCACACACAAATAACATACACACAATACATCAGCAGAACTGCACTTTTAGTGCTTATTCATTAATACAGAACTTTTCCCCGTACATTTCCATTTAATTATATTTATTCAGTCTAGATTTGTACAAAAATGTCCCGTAAATTATTGTTTGGAAAAAGAATCCCATGATGGATAATGGCATCATTAGCAGGGGGATGAAGACTATAATTTTTACACGAGGTGCGGTGATGGAATGGAGTGATTTTACCTGTCGTCTTCAGCCTCCCAATCTGGGCTAGAGGGGAAAACAGGAGGCACTCCTTGCGTAAGAAACCCAAACACACCCAGACTAAACTGACAGGTTTTAACAAGGAAACGGAATCTTTGGCATAAAAATGCCACATCTCTCCAACAATGCAACATCATGATGTAGCTTTCGAGTAACAACGCTGTAACACGATCAGATGAGTGATAAGAACAGGCTCCTAGTTTAAAAAAAAAAAGCTATAAATATATCAATCACTGGGGCTTGTTTAGACCAATCAGCGGCCATGACCTCAGTGGTTTCACTGGATTTGTTTTATTTCCTGCTCTTTTGATTGGGGAGGACAGTTAGAATTCAAAGAGGAACATATAATGCAAAACTCACGTTTTGCATCCCTTTGTGCTGCCACGAGGGTCTCTACTGCCTCTATAAACACCACAAATGTGGGGAAAAAAACCATTCATCCATTTTTTTTCAATGTTTGGTTTTAGGAATTATGTGCCTAAAATTAGCTGTTTCAAAAACTCCCCCATTTGTGACATCACAAATTGGCCCAGAACCCTTTTCACCTCTCAAGGCTGGAGGAGTAGAGGCTCTACTCAGAGCTCCTCCTTATATCAGAGCTCCTCAGCTAATAGCAGCCTGAGCGGGGGATGGGAGGGTGTGGCTAGCTCCAGCTTGTTATCTTATAGTGACAGAGCCCGGAACAGCTCATTCTGGAAGGTACTGAAAATGTCAAGAATAAAACTACAGAAATTGTTTTATGTGAGAGAGATCTGGTGCAAAGAACTTCATAAAGATGTTTTGTATCATCCCTAAGGTAAAAGGATCAGTATTAGACATTACCACAATCATCTTGAAAAAGTTGAAATAATGCAATTACTTGCAACCTTTTTTGCCACAATTTTGAAATAAGACTTTTAATGGTGAAAAATTATTGACCTGCAGTACTTTTATAGTTCCAATAGCATCTAGAGACAGTTTGAAAAACAACCGTAGATTCCGCCCCATGACCGAGCTCTTTCTATGGGTCGTGGCCAGATTATATATTCACACATAAAGGACGGCTTGCCAAGCAAGTACTTTTAGTCAAATTTGTCAAACTTAACAAATATAAGAATTTGCCTTTCACAGGTTTGTCTTGTGAATGACTCAAACCAGCACATAAAATTAAAAACCACATTTTACATTTTTTAACAACGCAAATTCTCCAAATTTTATTTAAATCTGACTGAATAAATTCAAGATATTGTAGGTTTCATTTCATCAACATTTCAAGACTGAAATGCGTAAAGATCGTCTGAACCTTGTCAGAAGGTTGCAGGTTCGAGCCCCGCTCAGTCGGTCACTGTTGTCATGTCCTTGGGCAAGACACTTAACCTACCTTGCCTACTGGTGGTGGTCAGAGGGACCGGTGGCGCTTGTGTACGGCAGACTCACCTCTGTCAGTGAGCCCCAGGACAGCTGTGGCTGCTATATAGCTCATCCCCACCAGGGTGTGATTGTGTGTGTAAATGACTGATTGTGTTGTAAAGTGTCCTGGGGGTTCCAGGATGCTAGAAGGTGCTATATCAAACACGCGCAGTTTTGCTGTATTCAATGACACCTTTCTTCTAAATAAATAAACACGCCAACTGTGCAGTGAACAGAAAATGTCTTGAAAGTGTCTCTTAGCCCGTGAATTCAACACGTGTCCCTTTGACTGCTGTGAGTAAGCCTGAATGATGCTCTGGAAACAAGATGTGCCAGAGAGAGGAGGCGGAGGTGGATATGGCGGGGGTGCATGAACAGAAAACCCACGGGGTTAGAACAATAAAATTCCTGCTGATTCATCCACTGCTTGTTCACAGATTACAAAATGTGCTGAATAGACTCATTATGTCACCATTGAAGCGGTGTTGCTAGCAGCAAAAGTGAGAATCAACATCGATTTCATTAAATAAACACAAACTCACCCGAGGCAAACTCTTCAGCAGACTAAGAGAAATGGCTCCTGATCCACATCCCACTTCCACACATGATTCCTGAGCAGCTGATCCCACTCCAGCTCTGGATTCCCTCTGCAGATCCGTGAGCACCAGCTCGACCAACTCCTGTTCCAAATAAAATCAGGTGACTCTTTAATTCACCTGTTTTGGTTTTTAACGATGTGTGCATGTTTCCTCTCTGACCTCGGTTTCAGGTCTTGGTATGAACACAGGAGGCCTCAGCTTCAGTGTCAGGTCTCTAAAGTCCCACTCCCCGATGATATACTGCACCGGCATTCTGCACATCAGGGTGTTGGCATTCTTAGCACTCCACATCAAATGTATTTTTATACAAAGATGTGCTGCATGGAAGAACCTACCTAGAGAGGCGCCTGGTGCAGAGCCGCCACACCTGTTCTGTTTTCTCACAGCTGAGGAACTCTGTTAACCTTTTGCGCTCCAGACATTCTTTCTGGGTAGAGAGCAGGAAGACATACTTTTGGTTTAAATCAGCTCTTGGTAGATTATGTTTGCATATAAACAGGTAGACGCACAGTTTTTGCCCCCAGCAGATGAGCAATGATGAACTGGCTGGATTGCTCAGGCTCAATCACACCTTTCTCCTCAAAGTGCTTTGCCCAAACATCCATCGCCTGCAGAGCTGTGATCCGTCCAGAAGGTAAGGAAAGAGTGCTGCAATTTACCCTGGGGTGCAAACTCCAAATCCTCTGAGAATAAAAGATGTTTATACATAATTTATGCAGAGATGAACAGTGTTGGGCAAGTTACTTCAAAACTGTAATGCATTATTTATTACTTGTTACCCTCATTTTAAAGTAATTCATTACATTACAATATTACTGACTTTAAAATGTAAGGCATTACACTACTTTTGCATTACTTTAAGTTACTTTCACCAAAACAACTTCAATATGAATCTGGTAATCTGACGCTCAGTGAGCTCATGACATATGTGTGGAAAGTGATGTGGTGTCTGAGCTAGGGTTGCTGTTAAAAACAGTCAGATATAATAACAGTGCTTTAAAATAATTGTTTATTAAATAAAAGCAACAACAATCTGTACTCTCAGCACGCTGCCATCTTATAGGGCCATCTGAGCAGGGAGTGAGGTGGTGGGGGCTCCAAACCTATATTTGCCTTGGTCCCCAAATGCCTTGATACGGCCCTGGATGTGGGACTGACTTCTGGGGTGATCTGATTCTATCGCATGTATAAATATTAAATGCTTATATATTATTGCTCTTCACTGGTAAAAATGTGTATCGGGGATAAATCTACCTACTTTTTTTCTTTTCAAGCACTTTGTTTTGTTTTCTTGATTTTATTTGAATAATTTCCTGCCCTTTCTCTCTCTAACCTTCCTGCATGCTTCATGTTTTCTCCGTCTTCCAGAAAAACTGTTTCCTAGATTTCCTACTTCCTAACGATCAGCCAAAGGGATCTACCGAACGCAAAAAAAAAAAAAAAAAGCTTAATATGCGCTGCGCTCCAGCAGCAATGAGTTGAAATCACCGGGGCACAGATTATGAACTCACCTGAAAAGTACATGAAGTACCAGAGAATATGGGCTGATATAAACGATCGCAAACGAATTATTTTGTTTTGGTGGAGCGATTTTGTGAATATAACAGCGGCCGCGCGCAGGACGCAGCTGGAGTATTTGAGCCATTACCGCTGCGTCCTCTCTACTCATAGAATGCCCGCAAAGCTGAGTCCATAAATGACGTCATATATGTGGATACTGGATCTTTTTTCAGGCTTCCCGCAATTTGAATTTTTAGGAAACCCAGATCTTGATTCTGGGTTTAAAAATACATTGTAATTACTGCGTTACTGACAATTGTACAGAGTAAATATTACCATTTTCTTTCCCTGTAATGCCTTACATTACCACATTACAGCAAAAAGCAATGCATTACAGTAATTAATTACTTTTGTACTGCGTTACTCCCAACACTGGAGATGAATCATCTTCAGCTGAGATGTTATCAATGGAGAAAGGATTCATGATAAAGAGTAGAGTGAAAGGAGAGGTAGTTGAAGGGGGAGCATCAAAACGGAGGATATGTAAGAAAATAACAGATATCTCTGTTTGCACAAAAGCATACTACACAGCTTATTTAGCTCTTTTATACAGAGAAACAACATCTACCTCTTTATAAATAGTGCAAGATTCTATAGTTTCCACAGTGCTATACTTTTATATTTATAATTTTTTGCTGACTTGCTTTTAGTTTGTTTTTATTTATTTTATGGTGATTGAATCCTGTGCTTGTAATTTTGTTCAGAAATGCATCTGCACCGATCTGAGCCTGAAAAGGTCAGGCCTCCTTCTTCACATCGAGTGCAGACTCGAGTCCACGCGGCTTTCGCGTGGACAGCCATCAACATCGGCTACGGATTGAGAGCAGAACGTCTCTGGAACGTTGCTCACGAGTTCACGCGATAACAACAACACTTGTAGAAACAAGTTAGTAATCAAAAGCCAGACCCGTCTTCTCAAACCTTCATAATCTGTGAACCAATATCCCTGTCATCAATAAGAGAAGAAGAAGCCGGAAGAATGATACGGCACAGGTTTCATTTTGGAAAAAAAAACCAATGCACCTTTCTGAAACACGCCTCACTTCCTGTCTGTTTCATGTCATTTCTTCAACTTCATGACGATTTGCATGCGGTGTCCAGAAAAAACAGAAACTGCATGGAAAGATTCTGCAGCTCTGCATCCGGCCCCGTACCCCAGCCAGAGTGAACGCTATGATTGGACTCAACGACTTTTGGTCTTCTGGGAAGAAAGACAAATTCCGATCCGCATCCGCTCCACACCTAGTGGAAGCCTCAAAGTGGATCGGACAGCTGGATGTTTTGATCACGGCTTCACCACACAATTTATTGCGATAAACTTAATAAAACATATAAAAGGTTGTATTGTTAAGGTGACACCTCATTCTGATTATTATTATCGTTACTATAGTTTACTCTAATCAGATTTGTATTTTTTACAAGAAATGTAAGAAAAATATTGATTCACTGAAATATTGCAATATTTCATGTTATGATACTGAATCTATACTTAAAAGCAGCATGTTTCTTGCATGTTTTAGATCATGAGCACTGCTGTTTGGTATGATTTAGTGATTAACCAATCCTGTAGAAACTAAGGAAGGCTGGGGAGACATTTCAGCTGTTAGATTAGGTGTTAAAAAGACAAACGCACAGCGAGGAGATATGTTTTACTTTCGGTTCTACAAACAGACACAAGGGGGTGCTAAAAGCAAGCCAAAACTGCCAAGTTTGCCTTTAAAAGCAGTGTATAAATATTTTATTGATAATCTACATGCAAACATTCACTATATTTCTTTTGTGCGGTGCAATTCAAACTTTGACTGCTAGGTGGCAGCAGTTTATTTATTTATTTATTTTACAAAACTCACAATAACACAGGATGAGTTTTTCTATGAACTTCAGTCTTAATAATTGCAAAGATTGTCTGGCTTTTAGTATCACAATATATTGCATCATCTCCACCATATAGTGATGTATACCATAACACCAGATTCTTGCCAATACACACACCTACAATGAACATAAATTCCACCATTCTTGGCCAGTATTTAGCATAACCCTTCTAATTGGTGACCAACCAACCTAAGTCTGTGAACACACTATTGTTAAGAAATTCAACAGAATGTACCCTTGTTCATGAACTCACCATCACTACCAGATTCCCCGGTCAATACGGTTACTAACATCCAGGTCTTCCAGAATGGTTAAAGTGACAATGTGCAGTTTTTATCATTAATCTTTGTAAATATCCATCAAAATTTGGCTGAAAATCATTTAAATGATGCCCGGTTGTTGAAAAATATTGGCAGCATCATAACATATAACCATTAAAAAAATGGGGTCTAAAATACATGGGAGCGGGTCCAAGTCTCTGGGGGATGCCATATTAGATGCAATATGTCCTTCTGTGGGAGCCCGTGAGGGCAATACACATTTGCAACAAACGGTTATAAAACTTTCGCCATTCCTAAAGTTGTTTTACACATTTACCTCTTCACTCGTTTCCAGTGATGAAAGGTAGTCTGATGTGCTTGTCATTTTGCTGGCAGTTAAACGATCTGACAAAGTACTCATTTGAAAATTGCACTCCAAGGGATTTTTGACCCTAATGGCCTTCCGTTTATGATGAAAGGTAGTCTGATGTGCTTGTCATTTTGCTGGCAGTTAAACGATCTGACAAAGTACTCATTTGAAAATTGCACTCCAAGGGATTTTTGACCCTAATGGCCTTCCGTTTATATGGTCTTACTCGAACACAAAAATAGTGCTTGCTTGCAATAATTTAGGTATGTACTGCCCACTATCGCCAGGGAAAATACACCCCCCCAAAAACTATTTCATAACTTCAAGATCTTTGAAATATCCTCATTAGCTCGCCAGAACTATACCATTATCGGAAAAAGGAACTGGCCCAAAAACCGGAATTGGTGCAGCTCACATGTGAATGGATGATGATGCTACTTTGTTGTTACTTTTCAGTACTTCATGTGGAGTTTCAGCACAACCATAAGAGTTTATCTTCTATTAGTCAGACATGAAACAGCTTGTATAGTCGACATAATCCAATAATGCAAGATGCATGCAGTTATTTTTAACATAAGCAATTTAGCAGACTAAAAACATTGTCCTCGTTTTCACGTGCAGTTACCTTTGGTCCTCCACTCCCCCTGACTCCAAAACATCTGTAGATTGTATTCAGCAATCTTGTCCACATCGTTTTAAACAAAATAAGAACTTTTATTCATTCACCTACAGCTCAGTTAAGCTCAACTCTGTCCCTCTTCTACTCACAGGAGCTGTATTACAGAACGCGTAAATAATTCCTTCATTCTCCTGGACAATTTTGCGCGACTGCATAGGAAATATGATAATTTGTAGGAAACAAATAACACTGATTGACTGAGCAGGTCGCGTGCATTGAAAATCGTTTCGAAGGTCACGTGACTCAGAAATGTTTCCGCATCTGGCGCAGTTGCGCAATATGCGCAAGACGGCGTTTGCTTTGGAACTGTTGTAAATTTAAAATGTTACTGCAGTATTATGATACACAATTGTAATAACATGCCGTAGCACGGAGACTTGGACATTTAAACATGTGTTTTAATGACAAAACACACACACACAATGAATGTGAATGGTTCACGGTAAATAGAGCTGTAAACTATCATTTATTCGTGTTCGCGTATCTAAATTCACATTTTAAAGTTATTTTTAGTCAGAATGTAATTTTTACAACAAGTTTTTTATCAAAATGATGATTTCATGGACTGAACGTCAATCTTATAAAACAAAAAAACTGTATTCAAGCTATATTTGTTGCAAACACGAGAAGCTGCAGCTTCCGTACAGTCCGTGAATGCAGCATTGTTGTTGTCCTCCATATCTGTTTGAGTAGCTCATTCAAGCAGCTCAAAGTCTCACTTCATAACATTTTCACCAGTGCAAGTACGCTTTTAACTAAATATTCACATTAATTGTTTCCTATTCCGTGCGGTAGTTTTTAAAAATAATTCAAAAGGCTCGCATTTGCTTCTTTTTCGACGTAAAAGCTAACAGCTAGCTTGTTCTGTTGTAGTTAAAGAGGAGAGGAGGCTGTCTCTCTGACAGCATTCAGGTGAAGTTATTTTTAACAACCACATTTAAAACCCTGGTTGGAGCTTATCACAGACATGGCCACTCGAATAGAGTGTATATTTTTTAGTGAGTTTCATCCTACTCTGGGCCCAAAGATAACCTACCAGGTAAGTAAACATGCTTGTTATAGTAGAAATCAAAGTTAATCTTTGCTTTCTTCCTGCGTCTGAGTACTAATCTTCTATTTGATTGTTATTGGTCTGACCCATATTGTGAGTTTCTTGTGTTATTTATTATATCGTGCTAAACAATCTACTTTATATGACTTTGTTCTTTCCCCTTACTTATATTTTGACAGGTTCCAGAGGAATACATTTCAAGAGAGTTATTTGATACTGTTCAAGTCTACATTATCACCAAACCAGAACTACAAAACAAATTAATTACAGTGTATGTAATCCATGCTTGTTAAGTTGATATTTTTTTAAGTCAAACTTCTGACACAATTTTTTTATTTTTTATAGGACTGCGATGGATAAAAAGCTGATTGGCTGCCCGGTGTGCATCGAGCATAAAAAGTATAGTCGGAATGCCCTTCTGTTTAACCTCGGTTTTGTTTGTGATGCTCAGACCAACACGTGCGCCCTTGAACCAATCGTCAAGAAGCTGTCTGGGTACCTCACAACTCTGGAGGTAATGTGCAATGCGTTCTGGGATTGCTTTTTCTTTCTTTTCCAGTGAGACATCTAAGAGGTGATGCTCATGTTTTTTTCTGCATTTTGTTGCAGTTGGAAAGTGGATTCATATCAAAAGAAGAGAGTAAGCATAAACTCATACCCATCATGTCGACCCTGCTAGAGGACCTTAACGCCACAGGAGCCTGCACCTTACCGATTGGTATTGTTTTCTATTTTGTTCTGTAGATTTAATTATGAACACAAACCAAGCAAAATTTACTTCCTCAATTGTGTGTTGTGTGTTACAAAACATGTGATGTAAAGCGGGTCCATGGTGTCTTCAGGTTTGAGCTAACACGTCTGAAAACAGTGTCTCAAACAATCACCACATCTGCCTCTGCTTTAATATTGTGGAACAATTAGCGTTGATATGACTCAAATGAACTGCTGTAGTGCTGTTACAAATGAAATTCTCATTTAGACTTATATAAATGTACAAACGTGGCTCCAGATCCGATATTGAATTGAGTCAAGCTCTTGGGCTTGCTTACAGGTAAACCATAACTTAAAGGGACTTTATGGACTTTTGAATTTTTATACTCGCGATTGCCCCCTCAGGCCAAACGCGTAATGGCAGCTTCAATAGTAGGCTCTTGCACGAGGCGCGCATGCTGTACGTGCACACTCCTTAACAAAAATAACAGCTGAGATAGTCCCTTGTGTGTGTGTGTGTGTGTGTGTGTGTGTGTGTGTGTGTGTGTGTGTGTGTGTGTGTGTGTGTGTGTGTGTGTGTGCGCGTGTGTGTGTGTGTGTGTGTGTGTGGCCCAGAGGACAGGAGAATGCACAGCTAATTAATTAAATAATTTGGTTCTGTACCTTTCTCTTCAGCACAGTCGACAAAGGTTTAAGATGGGTCAGTCCTCCTGCATGCTCAGATCATTCCCTTCCCTTGCTTGAAAAATTGTTCCAAAATGAAAGTTGAACCCACATCTTTTTTATCTGTGAATTCAATGCCGTTCGGCGAGTCTCAAATACAAATTTGGGCATCTTACTGCAAAAAAATATAACATTAATGTGAAAAAAAAACTAAATAAACTATGTTCACACCCAGAATCGAACCCTGGTCTTCTGCATGAGAGTCAGACACCTTACAAGGTGAGCTACACACCAGTAACATTCATAGTATCTGTAACTTTTATATCCTTAATAACACCTGAAACAACGTCAAACCAAAGAACGGTTCAGAGCGAAAATGGCTATTTTGTTGCTAATTTGCAGGAAATATCTAGAAGAAAGTTCTAAAGAAAGTACAGTAGCTAAGGGTCCTCAGAAATGTAGCTAGGTCCGTCACTAGGCATTAGGAACAGCGACAAAGTCGCTGAGTTGGCACTGCTGCTAAAGCTACGGATAGCAAATGCTACGGGCTATGCCTGAGCGTGAACGTGCATGAAGCAGCCTGCTCGACCCGAGCAGCTCTCTTTTTCTGTGATTTTACAGAAAAACAGGCAATCAGGCTCTTTCTACAGGACCAGGACACTGCAGGAGAATGTATGAAGAAGAAATTTATTATTTCTATACATGTTTTGGTTGTCAAACTTCCATAATGCCCCTTTAAAGCCCAAATGTGTGTAACAACATTCAACTCCTTAGCGCCACGCAGTTCAGAGTGGGTATTGCAGCTACAGTAGACCACGCACGTCAAAAAGGCAATGTAGAAACCACCACACACCAGCTTTCAACTGCCTGCATGTTTTATTTAATGTTTCTCCAGCTTCGTGCAATCAGCGTCTCTCTCAGGTATTAGAGAGCTCTCTCTTAGTGACCTGTGAATATATGTAGAACGGGTCTGGTCAGTCATTAGCAGCTGCTGTGTTCTCGCTCCAGTGCTGCAGCAACAACAGTGTCTGCCATGTTACTCTTCTCCCTCAACACCGCGGTTGTGCACACACCACCACAGTTTTAAACAACTTCCAGCTTTCAATCCAGCAATCACATGTAGCAGATCAAGCAACCCAAGGGGAATGAGCAGAATTTCCCCTAACCAGTAAGGCTGCCATAGAGAGAACAGGTGTCACTCCCACATAACATTTAGAGGGAGGAGAACTTTCCTGTCAAAGTGCAAATGCGACACGAGGAGCATTATATCTTAAATGTCCCTAAACAGCTATGGTATTTCTAGATGGTGCATGATTATGGAGCGTTAACCACATTTTACGTATGTAAAAATGTGAAATTTTAAGCTAATACGAATATTTAGAGTAGACATCAGTGAGAAATATAAATGAAAGAACAAGTGTGTGAATGTGATACACAGAATTAGAGAGTAAACAACTAAAAACATTACACCCTGCGCAGTTAAAGCTAATCTTGGATACATCAATCCTGATCATAAAGTGCTAAGCATGGTGATATGGGGCTGATCATTTGAGCTTGTTTTTCAGCCATTAAGTCTGATCAATTCTACAGGGATAAGATAAGGGAAAAGTTATTTATTTTCTTTAAACAAAAATATTCAAATTAAAGGTCGTCTGTCTTATTGACCAAAACAGAATCATTCAAAACACTGCGTCAAGTCTATAACAAAACTACTGAATAATGATTGAATTCCTGCTACTTTAAGGAAGGTGAGGAGGAGAAAAAAAATGTGTTCAAGCAAGAATGTTCGGAAACAGTTCTGAGAAAACCTGATGAAACGGCCTCTGACATTAGAGACTCGTTGACGTATGGAAGAGGATTGTTTAAAAACGTCAGTCAAAACCTTTTTAGCAAGCCATTGTATCAAATGCTAAGCAGTAATTATTTGCACATGGGGCAACCTCGAGTTTTCATTTGTGTGGGTTTAGCTGAGTGGGAATGAGCAAACCTCCTTTATTTTTTTTTACTTTAAAACTGGGGAAAAGGTGTGCTGACATTTCACTTAGTGATGATGGATTTGAGTATTCCAGGTATGCGCTGTGTCATTATTCAAGGCCCATTGCATAAGTATATCTTTGTTTCATAAGGGGCTTTGGAAAATTTTGTAAGCTTTTTTTTCCTGAGTGGAGGGTTGAGCAGCGTCATTTTAAATTAAAATTAGTAAGTAAAGTTTGTTTATATTACCTATCAAAAAGACATGAAAAGAGTTTATCCTGAAGAGGGTGGGGTTTTAGGCTGAATTATTACATTTTAAATAAAAAGCACAAAAATGTCTAAAATAATGACTACACGTGTCTACAGCAGTATTAGACACTCAGTTCCAGTGAAAAAAAGTTGATTTGGGGTGACTTGCTCTTTAAACTCATGTTCAATTCTGTACTTTAAACCCATGTGTTCTTACACGTCTCTGAAACAACAAAACTAGGAAACTTTATCATAAACTCAGTTTTACTAATATTCCATAACATTTCTATTTAGAAACTGAGGCTAGAACGCTCTTCTGAAACCCCAGAAACAACTACAGCTGATTTATGCCAAGATTAGTGACTTTATTTTAATCTTGTGTGATTCACTTTCTCTGTTCCAGATGATGCCAACACCATCCATCTAAAACTGATCCAGCTCCGCAAGGACCCACCGATAGTTCAAGAATACGACGTTCCCGTTTTTACCCACTGCAAAGACCTTTATATCAAATCTCAGTGGGATCTCACCACTCAACAGGCAAGACCAGCGCCGTGTGGCTTCCGAGTCATCTGGATAAGACGCAGGCCTAAATTCCAAGAAGCAATAAGTGAAATACTTGTGAATTAAAGCTTGTTATCTCTTTAGAAAGAGTGATACGGAAGCGTTTTTCAGTTTTCATTGCTCTAAGTGTGGAAATGAGGCTCTTTTCCAGGAGGAGGTGCATTTTAAGTGGTACAATACAGCATTATTGCTGCAATAAAATACAGATTTCTCATTTTTGTAGTTCGTAAAAAAGTGAATGTTTGTTTTCACCCAGCAAGTTGAGGTCATGGAGCTTTTGTACAAAGACTTTGTGTTCTTTTTTTTTTCTCCAGATTTTGCCGTACATCGATGGATTCAGACACATCCAGAAGATTTCTGCTGAAGCAGATGTGGAGCTGAATCTCGTTCGTATTGCTGTTCAGAATCTTTTGTAAGTGCTTTTTTTATGGTTTTGAGCAACAGCTCTTCAGATTGATTGCATTTTTTTAAATTGTGCAACCGTTAATAGAATAGATAAATGTTGCCCTTACAGTAGAAACAATAAAAAAACTTAATTAAATGTGCTTTGCCTTTGCAGGTATTATGGAGTCGTGACATTGGTGTCAATATTCCAGGTACATAAATAAATCTACAGAATACCTCTCATTCTACTGCATGCGTTCATTATTTGGTGAAGCTGATCATAAAATGAATTGCAATAAGTCACTGTTTGAATGTAAACTTTATTAAATGTTCGGTGTTGTCATTGAAACCCTTTAGAAGCCTAGAGATCTTGACAAACTAGCAGTAGAAAAGATTTTGCTCTGCAGATTGGTCTTGTAGCCTCAACATGTCTGCTGTCAATCAATTTTAGTTCCGGCCAGTCACCTTTGGGCTGGCTTAGCACAAAAGCTGTTACAGAGGAAAAACTACAAAAACGGTGTTAGTTCAGGAACAGCGCTCGTTTGAAACGTCTTTGGTATCAACTTTGGACAATTTAGACTCTTTCTTTGAGACATGAGCGGATATAGGTACTTTAAAGGTGTTGATCACTGAAAAACCATTTTTAAATTATTTCTTCTGATTACAGTCGGTCACTGAGTTTTTCATGCAGGCCGAACATGAAAATAGTCTCTTACACCTATCTCCTGCATTAGCTTCTGATTGAAAATAGACGGTGAAACTCTAGGATAAGCCTGACAGATCTACGTCACACTGTCATTGAAAATTCATGGACTCACCCATCTTGAGTCACGAGAGGGACGGCTGTTGATTTAGCGTCCAAGAGACGGCAGAAAATGTCTGTGCTAGCAAAAGCTAACCGTTAACATTAGTAACTCCACCACACAGCAGAACACCTCCAGTGTTATTTGTGGAGATAAAACATCCAAAAACATCCACATTGCAGAGCACACGGAATCAGTGGTAGAGTCTTGTTGCTGTTATCCAGTCAGGGACAAGAAGCCCAAATGTCAGGAAATAAGGCTCCAAATCCTACCGTGTTGTGCTACTCTGCTGCAGCAGACTTGTCCGTGCTGATCCAGGTGCATCTGGGCTTTTTTTGCCCCAAGTATGGCTTGCAGGGCATTCATTCCTAACAGAGGCCACTGCAAATGTATTGATTAAATGAGTGTTCAACACCTTTGAGTCCTTTAGATGAATTTGCTTTTTCTTCTTTGGCAGTTTATGGTGGACTGCCCTATTGATTGATTTCTGTAGCAATGAACACATCATGTTGTCCTTTGTTCCGATTGATCCCAGTGCTGTCTAATGCACGGACAGTTTGAAAGATGACGGTAGATTCCTTACCACGACTGAGCTCTGTCTATGGGTTGTGGCCAGGCTATATATGTATAGTGGCTTGCCAGGCTAACTCTTTGGTTTATTTTTATAGGAATAACTTCTTTAAGGTTTATTTATTTTGTGCCTTTCTTTCTTCTAGTACTCTAATGTGTACTGCACAACCCCAAAAGTTCAGAGCCTTATTGATGACAAATCCATTCAGGAGGAATGTCTCGGCTATGTCACAAAGCACGGTAAGAAAAGGTTGGGATTATTCTTGGAGGTTGGCGTTATTTAATTATGTTACAGTGCAGTAATGTATTTATTTTGGACACAATCAGGTCAGAAACGGGCCAGTCTGAGAGATGTATTCCAGCTGTACTGCGGTCTGAGCCCAGGAACCACAGTACGAGACCTTTGCTCCCGCTACTCTCAGCAGCTTCACAGGGTTGACGAGAGGTTGGGGTCACTCACCATATCCAGTCTTAAAAGGACTTTACTGTTCTTGTAAAGTCGCAGCAGAGTGGTGTTTTCTTAAAACAGTGTCATATTCCCTGCCCAGGAGACTAATCCAGTTTGGACTGATGAAGTCTCTCATTCGCCGGCTGCAGAAGTATCCAGTGAAGGTGATTCGTGACGAGAGAAGCAGACCGCCTCGACTCTACACTGGTTGTCATAGTTATGATGAGATCTGCTGCAAAACAGGCGTGTTCTCCTTTGACACTTTTCCATCATGTAGAAAAGGCTGTTTCTGTGCTTGGCCTGCATGTTGTTTCCATGACTACTGTAGACATGAGCAGGATAATTAACCACTCTCAGCTAATCTCTTCCAAAAGTATCACAGATTATAATAAAATGTCATTGGCAAGGTTTTATTTAAGTGCTTTCTTTAAGTTAGTTACAACAACGAATAATTGCTGCTGGTAGGGGAAAAATCTAATTATTGTTATGTTTTGCTTATAATCTTGTCTATTTCACAGGTATTAGTTACAAGGAGCTGGATGAACGTTTGGAAAACGACCCCAATATAGTTGTGTGCTGGAAGTGATGCCTGAAAAAACAAAGATGCCTCAACCAAAGGTGCCTTTGTTGAGAAATGATGTCTTTGATTTAATAAACCAAATTGTTTCTGTCATTGAAAAGCTCTATTTGGTTATACGTGAATTTTATCAGTAACTGACTGCTTCCTATTTTGATCAAGTTATGAAGAAGACCTGTGAATCGGTAACCTCAAACGAGTTTAATTTGCTGCATTTCTCACATAATTGTGTGTTCATTAAAAAAAGTAGAAAAAAGGTTAAAATTGTTTTTCATTGTATTTTTGTTATGACTAATAATAAATCAAGAGCTGCTCATTCATATGACACAAACTAAAACAAACAGGATCAACCGTTCTTTATGCTTAGTTTAATCATATTTTGTGTAGAAAATTTTAGTAAAGAAGACACAGAATAGATATTTACAATAACCTATTTGAATGTATAAAATGCGTAGATTAGTATTTTAAAATTTCACCACAAAACTTATTACAGCAGGCACATAAAACTTTAGAAACATGATTGAATTGCTAATTTCTAAATAAACCGCTAAACTTTTTACGTATTTGCTATTAAAATGAAGTTATGGACTTTTTGGAATTTTATTTGACGTAAAAAGTCATTTTGTAGAAGGTCAGTCGTTTTGTTTTGAATTTGTCTGTTTCGGAATGAAGAAAAACCGGAGCGCGAGGCCAGGTCATCTGAGGACGTCCATTGCTCCTGTTGCTTAGCAACGCAGCAGCCAATCCATTCGTTCAACCGGTTCGTACTTTTAGGTGAAGATTTGTCGCCCCACATCGGCGGTTACGATTATTTGCAGTATGTAGTTACCAAGGAAACCGTGTTTCTAAACATTGTAGCGAATAAAAAGGGGTCTTTGAATTGGTAAATAGTTACATATCGACATGGAAACGTCGGTCATTCTGCCTGTGGAAGCGGAAGGGTTCGTTCAAAGTTTGGACACTTTTTCTGTAAAAGACCTGGGCTCTTCCAGGTAAAAGTACGCTAGCATGACTTTAGCTTAGGCTACTTGTTTTGTTGGTCAGTCAGCAGATGAGATGTGGAGGAAAAGAATTAAACCATTTTTAAAATGGGATCCAGATGTTGTGAGCTATATTTTAAAAACTTGATTGTTGCTTTATCAAATTGTTTATCAGTTAATCTAAATGGTAACTTTTAGTTGTACGAACCTCAGTTTTAAACTGGACTTTCGCGTTCACTACATTCAGTTACCACGGAGGTAAATCTCTTCAGCTTTTTTAGGGCAACAAATCATTGGGAGGGTTTCAACTGAGATTTATGTTAACTAGTGACTAAATCTTGCTGGTGGTTTGTATTTATTTAAAAGTGACAGGACAGATGTGAAAATGATGGACAAAATTCTCATAAAAAGTGACTGTCAGAAGTTTTTCTAAGTCAGTGATTCCCAAACTTCTCGGCTTCAGATGCCCAAAATAATAATTGTCAAAACATGTGACCCCATATATCTGTGATATGACTGCACAAACATGCTCAAAAAGCTGAATAATACAGGGCATCAAGAAAACACTTCAGCTCAGATTCACTTATTTAAATTAATGACAATTTAGGGAGTTTTTGAACTTTTAATGCTGAAATTTTTGCTTCAGTTTTCTTTATTTTGATTTCTGAAAATTATCTCTAGACCCACCATGTAGCTCTTGGTGACCCACAGTTGAGTCCCGACCCCAACCTTGGGAACCACTGTTCTCAGTGATGGAGTGTGACCATCATTGAAGCTGACTTTGACTTTTGGACCTTTGCAAGAACTTCTCAGCCTTAAGTCTGGATGTAAATAAAACTCAGGACAGATGGATTAAAAAAGAATCGGATCCTAGTTGAAGACTGTCTGAAGTTTTAGGTATTTCTTTTTGACATAAAATACATATATTTTTAACAAAATGTGTGTATGCATCACAGAAAATTCCGTCCAGTCATAAATACATTTTTGTATTTCTCTTTAAATAAATGAACAACAATGCTTGCATTTTTATTAAAAAGTAATGAGTTCTCAAATCAAACCCTGCCGTTTTTAAAATACACCTTTAACATTTTTTTAATCTATCCAGTTTATTAGCACTTCTTGGCACATATTTGTATGTATTTAATAATTTATATCCACATTGCAGATTTGTATTGTTCTTAATCAGAATATTTTAGCTACGTTGTATAATTTGCATGTATTGTTTTTATTCTCTAGATTTTCTCATGATTCAGTTTTAGATTTTGGTGGGGTTTTTTTTCTCGTTCCTAAACCTGGTTATGTACTTCCTTTTCAGATAAGACAATGAATTTCTCCTTTACAGTCTATTTCTTTGTTAACAGATGGTTCAGACAACACGAATACATTGAGAAGCTAAACATGCAGGCGATACTGAATGCTTCCACCATGCACGATGAGTACATCAATGAGCTCCTGGTGTCACTCGGAAAGGTAGCTGCCACCACAACACGGTTGTGATATAAAAATACCAAGAGATCAGTGACATAATCCTCATTGTAGATACCCGTCCTGGTCCATGAGATGATCCTTGTGGAGGTGTGGAAGCAGAAAGTGTTTCCCATCATGTGTCAGCTGCAGGACTTCAAACCTAAAAACACTTTTCACCTTTATATGGTGGTAAGTGTGAGAGGAGATGGGAAATGATGAAGATCTGCTTGAATTGTTAACATGTTTGACCGATCTCCTCAGATCCACCATGAAGCCACAATCATAAACCTACTGGAAACAATAATGTTTCATAAGGTAAGTCATTGCTCAGATTCATCTAATAGCATTTGCAGGATCATTTAAATTCTTAAAGCATTAGTTTAACTGCACAACTGTTGTTGTAAATGACGTTTTATGTGTTTTTGTGTGTGTAGGATTCATGTGAGGCAGCTGATGACTCTCTTCTTGACTTGGTGGATTACTGCCATCGCAAACTCACCTTGCTGGCCAGCGAAGCGACCAAGGGAAGTGCTGTGACTCATGACCAACATAACCAAATATCCTTTATAGAGGTAAAAACACAGAGTGACAGCTATTTTTGTTATACCTTATTCAGACACCTTGTTGACTCTGCAGGATAAGTCACAATGTTTGTTTTGGTTGGATAAAGGAACTGCAAATGCAGAAGGCGGCGCTGGAGTTTGACATCTCCCTGAAAGCTGTATCTGTGCTCCGCTACATCACAGAACATGCGGATAGGTACGCAACCGTTGGAGCGTATCAGATGTTTTGTCTGTCCTGTTTTCTAAGTAAATGGGAAATGTTCATAGATATGAGGCACTGCACAGAAATTAAAGCTCTTATCTTCTCAGTATCAGTGTCATCAATCGGATGCTGTGCACACACAACGTGCCGTGTGTTCTGGTTCAGCTGATTGACTCCTGCCCTTGGGGTCGCTGCAACAAAGGTAGATCACTTGTATGAAAGGAGCACAAAAATATCATTCTAATCAGTTTTTAAAATCTTGTATGTGTGTGTTTATTTATCCTTGATGTTAGCAAAATACACCTTGAACCACTGGCTAACCCTAATCAATGAAACTTTTAGAAGCACTCAAAGCTGTCTGTATTTTTTCTTTTATCTGACGCACGTCTAGTGGCTGATGAACGTATCACATCATGACTTACTTTGATTTCTGAAAGCAACACCTCTCATTCATGAACGCGCTCCTCTAGCCAACAAGCAGAGCTAAAACACATTTTTTTACAATTATCAGGCTCACTCTATGTTCTATATTCATACTATCATATTTTAAAGACTTACTTGTTCAGTAATAAGGTCTTCAACTCTGCATCAACCGAGGTACGCCCTGAAACGCTCGAGCATGCTCTGTAATTAACGTCTGTACGTAAGCTGTAGTCTAATGCTAATGGTTAGTGCTGGCACTCAGGCATATTACATCTAGATCTATGGGACTGGTGGCAGGCTTAGCAAAAAGCAGACTCATTGCCTACATTATATCAGTGCATGATAAGACAATCCCTTTTATGGATTTTTGAAAAATCAAACATAATTCCCGAAAGAGGAAAACTCCGGACAGCAGCTTTAAGCAAACACACAAATGGGCAAAACTCTTCACTTTACAGATATTCATGTAAAATTGAATTAATTAAGTTGGTAATAGATGATATTCAATAAATGATAGGACTTAAAGTTTTAAAATGTTATTTTTCACCCTTAAAGCCTTGAACACCCTTGCAGCTGTATCACTGAGGTCCATACACAGTGTCTTGCCACCCAAGTTGTTACCTTTGTGCCTTCCACTTAGAGCCTTCTTGACTCGTCTCGACTTTTATTTACATAGCACTTAGTTTCCAGACACATTCATGTCACCACAGTGCACACAACCCTATGTAAGCAACAATGTCAAAAATCTTGCCGAGTTCAAAGCCAGAGAATAAAAATTAGTTTTTGACCTAGATCATAAAAACCATCACAGAGGAGCACTGTTTAATATGAAACAGAAGCTCATTCCAGAGTCTTGGAGCCGTCACTGAAAAAGCTCTATCCAATCTCATCTTCACCCAAGACTAAGAGGCAGCAACAAGTTTTGAGAATAAAGAGCGTCTGAAAGGACATGCAGGAATCAGACAGGTGGGCTGGAACTAGACCCTTCAACAGTTTTAAAACCAATAAAATAAGTAACAAGTAGCCAATGTAATGAGGCCAACATGGGGGAAGCATGTTCAAATGTCCTAGTACCCTCCAAAATTCTCCCTGCACAATTTTATAACTGTTGACAAGGCAACGCGCTCCGATTAACCCTGATTAAATAGAGTTGAAGATCACATGTAGAGAGAAATGGCTTTATAAACATCTTAGACAAATGTTTAAGATGATAAACAACCCGATTCATATGACCTTTAAAAATAGAAGCTCATCACAATAAACAGTAAACATTGTTAAAACAGTAAGATCCTTTTGGCCAGTGGAGACAATCCTGACCTTTAAATTCTTAGCCTGGCAAGCCATCATATATCTGGCCATTGCCAATTGACGGCTCTTAGTCGTGGGGCAGGATCTACAGTTCAAACTGTCTCTGCGTGCTATTGGATAAACAATGTGATGTCAACCAACAAGGCAGTCCAAGTCTGTCAAAAAATGCAGATACATCTTTTTCCTAAATAAAATTAAGCATATCTGATTAATTATGCTGCCTCACGACCACTTAGGATTGACTGATTAATGTTTGTTTTTAGCCTCAAGGGCAACCTGCTGGCTTCATTATCACTCGTAAGTTGCTTTGGACTAAAGCATCTGATAAATACATAAACATAAACATTTTCTCTTGACTCAAATAAAAGCCCAACTGAAAATAGTCCAAAGTTGATGCCAAAGCCGTTTCAAATGAGCCGCCAGCATCTTGCTGTTCCAATAGAACACTGTGATTGGACCGTTATGGATGTCAGTCAGTGGGGCAATCCAACATACATTATGGAAAAAGTAAAGAAGACAAAAATACATTGTTTTTCTAAATAAACGCGCTGTGATTAGCCAGCCACAGTATTGGACAGGGCAGTGAAGGTTCCAATGGAGCGTTGCTAGACCAACATGCAAAGCTAAATTATTTTGCTTTGACAAATGATGGTCTAGAATCTAGGCTATTAAATTCCACCTTTAAACTTTAATTTTGTAGTGAAAGGGCATGCCCTTAGTCAATCTATTTTAAGTAAAATACCAGACAGTTGTAGCGTCAGCGTGATTGAATGATCTTTTCCTACAGCCTTTAACGCTAGCTTTTAAACACGGTCGCGGAACTCTCCCCCCTCCTGTTGGCTATCATCCGCTTGAAACTGGAACCCACATTGCCAGAGGAAATGAGAGTGCGCTTATTGAGGCAGCAGTAGCTCAGGAGGTAGAGCGGATTGCAGGTTTGATTCCAGCTTCCGCTAGGGGTACTCTGCTGCTGTGTCCTTGAGCAAGACACTTCACTCTACTTGCCTGCATTGATGGTTGTTAGATGGGCAGATGGCGCAAAATGGCAGCCTTGTCTCTGTCAGACTGCCCCAGGGAGGCTACATAGCTTACAATCATCTGCAGTGTGTGAATGTGAGTGTGTGTGACAAATGGAAAATGCTTTGAGTGCCAAGAAAAGTGCTATATAACTCCAACTCAAATAAACACCAGACACTATTTTCAAGGTCCACACATCTTTTGTTGTCCGTGACTTCAAGTGGTAGTTTTCTTTTTGGAAGTCTGGTAGTTTAGCCTAAAGTTGAAGTGGTAGCAGCTGGCTGTTTCTCCTTCTCTGTTATTGAGCCGTGAACCTCTCACACCTTGTCATGATGTGAGGATGTTTGGATCCACAGCAGGTAAAATCACACAGGAGCAGCTGTAGAAGCTTTAAAGTCTGTTTAATTCATGGTGATGTCAGGAACCAAGACTAACAAAAAAAAGACCAGGGACAGGAGGGCGATCCGACCCACAACACAAAACCGACAGGGCTTAAATACATGAGGGCACAAGTAATAAGGGAACGAGAGGCAGGTGGGACCAATTAACACAAACAGGACACTAAACTGAAGCTGGGGAAACAATGTGACACCTCTGTGGTGTTCTGTTGCTGAATAAGCTTGCTCTTTCTACCAATTCCGCCTTTCCCGGGATCCACTGATTACCTTTTCCTTTTTTTTTCTCTTTCCCTTTCCTTACATTTTTAATCACACTTTTTCATTTTTCTCATTGTTATTATATTGTTTAATCATTGTATAAATCTTAATCTTTAATTTGAGTTATTTTGAAGTGCCTTGTGATTTTTATCTTGAGAGATGCCATGTAAAAGACAGTTTTCTTTCTTTCTAATAGAGGAGCCAAGGAAGTGCAGAAGTGCTGCGATTCAACAACCAGATTTTCCAATAGTTGCATTCGTTTTTGGTCCGAACCGTGTTATTGGCTCATGTTTTTAGACAAATGCGAGGGAATCACTTCATTAATGTTTTTCAATTTTTTAGTCTCCACAGTATATTCATAGCTATGTTAGAATGTTAAGAATAGAATAGAGTAGACTTTATTGATCTCACTTTGGGGAAATTTGCTTGTTACAGCTGCAGCACCCAAACTTAAAGAGAATAAATTGAAGAAAATATAATAATAAAGGTACATATATATACACATAGGCAGTAAGCTAGAATTGTAACCTTCGACCACTAAAAGCCACGAACCAAAAAAGGAAAAAACTTCGGTTCCAACACTGCAGCATACTGCAAGAGACAAGGACATTCTATGTAAATCTGGTATTGAACACATACTGAGTCTTGCATTGGTGTTATTGTGTAACAGGATAATGCCAGTTAAACACTCTTACTGCAGAGGGGATGAATGACCCACGGTAGCGTTCTGTTTTACATCTGGGATGTCTCAGCCTGCCTCTGAAGAAACTGTCCATGGTCTCCACAGTGGAACACAGTGGGTGGGAGGTTTTTTTTAAGATGGTGGTCATCTTCCCCAGCATCCTCCTTACACACGTCTCCTCAAGAGGCATGAAAAATAGTTTGAAGCTAATTTGTTTTGTAGATTCGCCGTTTCAACTTTAATCCAATGCCCACTTTCTATTTCCCCCTGCAGGTGAAGTACAAAAATACATTAAGGGCAAATGGCAGACGATTCCAGCTGAGGACCATTTAAAGATAACTACTCTGGATGGGCAGGTCTGGCTTTCCCTTTACAACTTGCTTCTAAGGGAAGAGTGTCAAAGAAAGTACGACTTCAACAGTTTCAACAAGAGTCAGCTTCTGAGGGTATGCATGGAGTGATTTTGACCTTTCTTTGTGCTTCCTGTAGACATTTAGGAAGTGTCTAAGTTAGTGTGTTGCTCTCATTTGTCTTATCTGACATCCTCCCCTGTTAGAGCAGAGATCCAGTTTCCAGAGGTTGTTTTTCCTCTGGTGTTTCCTCCTATTATAAGCCCACTTGTGCTCTTCCTTAAACATTAATTAGAAAACCAGAGAGCCTCGAGCATCCTCTTTCTATCACATTTTTTTCTCATGCAGTCATATTCCACGGTATTCTGATGGTTGTAGTGGCTATTCCTGCTGATGTGGTGTTTATGTGCCGCAGCTCAGGGGATTCCTGACCGAGGTGCTGGTTGACCAGTTACCAAACCTGGTTGAACTTCAGCGCTTTCTGGCTCATCTCGCAGTTACAGAACCAGCCCCTCCAAAAAAAGAACTCATTCTGGAGCAGGTAAGACACTTTTGCAGAAATGCACTCATCTGTGATTTTGTACATCCTCTTACAGTTTTTTTCCTCAATTAACAGATCCCAAAAATCTGGAGCTACATTGCCAAAGAGAATGCTGGGAAGTGGAAGGCGATAGCCAAGTATCAAGTCAAAGAAACATTCAGCCTATCTGACAGTGATCTGAGGCAGCAGGCCCAGAGGTAATGGTGGAAGCACAGATCTGAGTGAATGAAGAAACAGGAACAACTCAACTATGCTCAGTGCTTTGATTGTTTTTACAAGGTTGGCTCAGACATATAACTTGGATGTGATGGAAGGTTTAATCCCAGAGAAACCAAAGTGTGGATCCTGTGGGAGGGAGGCTGCAAAAAGATGCTCTCGATGCCAGAAAGAATGGTACTGCCACAGGTATAGAGGGAACTTTATTTATGTAGCAACCTCTAAATAGATTTCACAGTTTCTACCTGTCAAGGAGGAGCTTGACCATAGAGCCCTGAAAGTTATTGTCAGGATTCTCAAATGAATTGTAATGGTTAACAGAGCAGGGGCATCAGACAGGAGTGGTGTCAGCCCTTCTGCTTGCTCCAGTAAGGAGCCTCGCTGCAGAGTTCTGGACCAACTGCACGGTAACCTAGACGGGAGGAGATAAAGGCTTGAAAAACCATTTTAAGTTCATGTTTTGACACCACCCACTGGTTTTTGATGTGAATAAAAAGAGGTCAACATCAGACGAATGTGTTGTTTTTATAGAGAATGTCAGGTGAAACACTGGGAAAAACACAAGAAAGCCTGTCAGCTGATGGCTGATGCCGTGGAGAAGATCCAGGAGGAGCGGCTAATGAAATCCTGAAGAGGGCTGCATGCACCTGTGGCAGAAGAACCAGAACATACAAATAAACTGGATCTTTATTGTTTATTGTATTAACACCGAATGCTAGAGAACTTAACGTTTTGCTGATTAAATGTTTTTTTGTGTTTGCATGTCATTTTAATATCTGTACCCAAATAAACTGCATCTTATGCTTTAACAGAAAAAGTCAGCTGATTTTTTTTCAGTCACTGCAGTTTGAGTTTCTTCCAGCAGGGAGGGGTTTGTGGTTTGGATGACCTTCTGTAGAAACCCTGACATGCCATAACGGTAAAATGAAAAACTTTTATTTTTTTTACTGCAGACCGGGTTGAACTTAAAGCCCGTTAGTAAATGTGCACTAGAGTCCTAAAACCTGAGACTCGTTTGGGTTTCTACACCCACTCAGCTGTTCTCCAGACTCAGAAGCACCCCCTATGCAAGACATTCCGGATGTGCAGCACAATATCATCTTTCACTCTTCTTTACATCACGACTCCGCTTCCTCCTCGAGCAGCAGCGCAGCCCCTCTGAAGTGATGTTGCGTCGTGGACATTTGTAGCCGTCGCGCCGCGGCTGGAGCTCCGGTTGTTGATGCTCGGTCTGTCCGGGGCTGCTCACCTCCGTTAGTTGGAAACGATCCGACATTTTTCTACGGAAAGTTTTTCTTTTTTTTTTTTTTTTTTACTTCCCTCGGATGGAAGAAGTTGTGAAACAAAGCGTCCTCTACGGGGCGGGTTTCTTTGCTCTGGTGAGTTCACACACACACACACACACACACACACACACACACACACACACACACACACACGCACAAACACGCACACACACACACACACACACACACACACACACACACACACACACACACACACACACACAAGCTCTATTCCTTATTTTCTTATTTAAGTGTTTTCATTTAAAACCTTAATCCACTTTTTATTTATCCAGTAGGCTAAACATGTCTAGCTGGTTTTACACTCTTAGTCAGCGACACGTTCACCCCTTCCAAGAATAAATGTAGATTTAGTGACAAATAAATAAGCAAATCAAACTATTAACACACAACTCCTTTTAAGAGAAGTCTGATAAATACTTTCTAAACAGTTTTTATTGTTTATGTGTCAATAAAACTACGTAATATGTACATTTTATCTGGCTTTTTACACATGTACACATCTCTAAAATCTAGGCTGTAGGTTTACTTCAATATTTCAGATCACCTAATTTCAGTATAGGACCAAAATAATCCAAGTAATACAGTTTTCAAATTGTGAGTTTTATGTACGACGGAGCAAAAACGGCTCAAACCAACCTGGTCCTGAATTACCTGCTTGTCAGACAAAAGCTGTAATCAGGGACTTCTGATTTCTAGTAATAAGTCTCACATTACAGAAGGAAGTTTGTCCCACTCTTCTCCACCTATTTGTTTTATTTCAGACTTATTTGGAGTTTCTAGCATGACAGACCTGTTTAAGGTCAAAGGTCAGACAGGGTTTTCTGCTAGAGGGCACAATTCATGATTTCGTCTAATAAAGGCCAGATGAATTGAGAAACCATGTTTTTACTTGTTAGTTTGAAATATAATGGGTCACACTGAGTTTAACACGCAGGCAAAATGTGAAAATAGCCTTCTACCTTTATTTCCTTCATTAGTCTCAGATAGAAAATAGTCGAGAAAACCTTTGGATTAGAAAGCCTGTCAGATCATTGTAACAGTGTTTTTACATGTGCATCAGAAAACCAAACTATCGCCCTTGGCTAGTAGAAGCTAACTATTAGCATTAGCTTCTCCACAACACAGCAGAACTCCTTCAGGCTTGTGTTATTTGTAGAGATAAAACATCAACGTTGCAGAGCCAATGTAGCCAGTGGTAGAGTTGTGTTACTGTTATCCAATCAGAGATGAGATGTTTGAATATACGGAAATAAGACTCCAAATCCTGTGTTCTGCTCACATCTGCTCTGGCTCACTTCTACTTCCTGAAACAGGAGTGCAAGAGCGATTTCCCCTCAGAGATCAACTCACAAGGCATTCATCTGGACAAAACAGGCAGCACTGTGAGGGTCATGTTCTTTGATTTCTCCAGTGCATTTAACACAATCCAGCCTGATGTACTTTGCCAGAAACTCCAGAAGACACAGGTGGGGGCCTCAACTATCGCCTGGATTAAAGACTACCTGACAAACAGACCACAGTTTGTGAGGCTGAAGAATTGCACATCAAACCAGGCGATCAGTAACACTGGAGCACCACAGGGGACTGTACTCTCACCATTCCTTTTCACCCTGTACACCTCAGACTTCCAGTACAAATCAGAGACCTGTCATCTACAGAAATACTCAGATGACTCTGCAGTTGTCAGGTGTATCAGAGATGGACAGGAAGCTGAGTACAGAGAGCTAGTGGAGTGCTTTGTGGCATGGTGTGGAAACAATCATCTGACCTTGAATGTGAACAAAACAAAGGAGAGGATTTTAGACTTCAGAAGAAACAGGGTGGAGTCAAACACTGTTTCCATCATGGGAGAAGAAGTGGAGGTGGTTGAGGAATACAATACCTTGGAGTTCACCTGGACAACAGACTGGACTGGAGAAAGAACAGCAAAGCCGTTTACAAGAAGGGACACAGCAGACTGCACTTCTTGAGGATGCTTAGGTCCTTCAATGTCTGTAGCAAGATGCTGCAGATCTTCTACAAGTCTGTTGTTGAGAGTGTAATCTCTTCAGCCATCGTCTGTTGGGGTAGTAGCATCAGAAGCAGGGACCTGAAAAGGCTCAACAGCCTAATAAAAAAGGCTGGTTCTGTTCTGGGGACGACTGTGGAACCACTGGAGGAGATAATGCAAAGAAGGATTCTCCAGAGAATCAAGAAAATTATGGACAACCCTGAGCATTCTCTTCATAAGACTGTCCAACAACAGAAGAGTGTCTTCAGTCAGAGGCTTCTTCAGTTTCGCTGCAACACTGACCGCTACTGGAGATCCTTCCTGCCAACAGCCATTGTAATATACAATAACTCATTGATGACTTGATTATTATTATTATTATTCTGAGCTACTACAGCAATCAATTTCCCTCTGGGATTAATAAAGTATTTTTGAATTGAATTGAATTTAATTATAATCAAGACTACTGCAAATGTAAGAGTCTTTAAAGCAAGTGGTCCTGAAACAGCAAAACATACCATCACACTACACAAAACACAGTAAATACTCCATGTCAAATGCTATATTACCTTTTTCTGAACTAAATGGTAAAGGATGTAAAGAGTGTGTGTACATTTCGTTCAGATTTCAGAAATTGTAAACGCCCAGTTACATTTAAAGTCTTCGGTCTCAAGTTATTACAACAATAAACAACATATTGAATAGTATTTTAAGTCTTTCTCTAAAATATTGTTTACAACTTAAGCAGTCTGAAATCCTGGTGACCTCCAACATGAATGCCTGGAGTCACATTCATCAGATTTGTAAAATGTCTGTTTCTCACCCCTCCTCCGTTAGGGAGACGCTGGCACTGTAGAGTTCATAATCAGAAGAATGAAGTGTGTGATATGATATGAGAAGGATTATTCTTAATTTAATGCCTTGACCTAATTCTGCAGATAACAGTTTGATAAATACAAAAGTCTAATTTAAAATGTACTTTTTGCATTCTTACCGCATCAAATACAGATTGAAAATTTTCAATGTCACTAAAGTAAAGTGCCTTACTTTACCCACGCTGAGGCCATACAACCACAACCTTAAATGTTTTTATTGAGATTTTCTGTGATAGACCAACACAAAGTAGCTCATAGTTGTGCAATGCTTTTCAAAAATGTGTGCAAATGTCTGCAATTACAGCTTTAGTTTCTTGCTTTGCACATCTAGAGACTGAAATCTTAGCCCCACTCTTCACTTCAAAATAGCTCAAGCTCAACTAGATTGGACGGGGAGCATTTTTAAACCGCAGTTTTCTAGTTTTGCTTACTGAGATTTAGGTCTGGACTTTGACCAACCCACATGCAAATGCTTTGATATAAACTATTCCATTGTAGCTCTTGCTGTGTGTTTAGGGTGGTTGTCTTGTCGGAAGTTGAATCTCCTTCCCAGTCTCAAGTCCTTTCCAGATCCCAACAGTTTATTTTTCCAGGGTTGCCCTGTATTTATCGCCATCCATTTTCCTATCAACTCTGACCAGCTTCCCTGTCTCTGCTGAAGAAAAGCATCCCCACAGCATGATGCTCCCACCACCATGTTCCACAGTGAAGATTGTGATGAGCAGTGTTACTTTTACACCACATGTAGAGCTCGGAATTTAGCCTTAAAAATCAGCATTGGTCTTGTCTGACCACATGTTTGCTGTGTCCCCTACATGGCTCCTGCCAAACAGGACTTTTTATGTGTCTTCTATTTTTCTCTGAAATGAGATCAAATCAGTGCTTCTATGGGTTGTCTCCTCTCTCCGCTAGAAAAATGTACTTTATTATAATGTTCACTGTAATGCATCTTGATGTTCTTAACAAATAAATTAAATAAAAGATATCGGTCAATAATGCCAAATATGTAAATTTGTGTTTCAGTCATTTTTATAGTGGCTTAAAAATACTTCATTAAGTCTACTAAGCAGGGGTGTAGAATGTTTTTAATAGGGCCAGCCCAGTAATGATCTTGGACCAAAATAAAGGGGGCAGAAAGTCATATAAAGGGTGGCAAAAGGAGATGTTTTTCCAGACGCCAAGAAAAATTAAATGCCAAATCCCCCCTGCAAAGTGTGTCACTGAGAGTTTATAACAAAAATTGTTTTTGTGCAAATATTGGTGTATTCACCTTTAATACTAAATGGCTGGATTGATGCAGTTCAAAGTGGAGTGCATCAAATAAAACAATATTAACATAAAGGTGAGACGTGTCATAATTTACCCCCCCCCCCCACCCCCATCACCACCACCACAGCTGCTGGAAAAATTCCTAGGGGAAACACTGAATAGACTATAGAAACACTTTGGATCTACAACTGATTCACTGATTCAGAAGCCTAATGTACTACTTTCTTTTACGTGTTGCAAATAGAAGTTCCTACGTGTTTATTACAGCTTTTTCTCTATAACAGTCTAATCCTGTCTGTTAGTGGTGATGGAGGACGTCCGACCTTGAGGGGCGGCATGTCGTGGGGTGAGTTCATCGAGCTTCGTGACCTGAAGTCGAGCAGAGAGCAGACAGAACTAATAGACTCCCGTTCACCATGCTCGCCTACACGGCTGGAGAGGACCAACGCCCTGAGGATCAGCCCAGGAAAGGTCCCGGACCTGTTAAGCCGGGTGGGCATCATCCGAGTCCTGAGCAGCACCCAGGACCCCGAGCTTCCAGAGGAGAAGGGAGAAGGACACAACTTCCAGCCCTGCAGCCACGCTCAGCCCACGTGGTGTGACCTGTGTGGAGATTTCATCTGGGGCCTGTACAAGCAGAGCCTGCGGTGTGTCAGTGAGTCAGTTTATGTAGGCTGTTTGTATGTCTGCTTGCATTGTAACGGGAAATAAGGGCAGCCAGTATTGTTTTTGTTTGAAAGTAAAGTGTTGCAATTGTCCCGGTGGTTTTGGTGGTCTGGTCTCTAGGTCGGCTGAAAACCCACTTCACATTTGTGCTAAGCCTTTTAGTTTCAGTTGACAGAAGGAAGTTATCTGAAATAAGCAGCAGTGGTTTGGACATGAGTTTAGAGTAAATATAGTTAAACCTGCATTCTAAATGTGACATCCATAGAAAGGTTATGAAGCTTTCAGTTTGGGGTTGTGAGAGATTGCCTGTATCAGTTCGAAAGTTACTAAGAAACAGTCTCCATGCAGCTGAGACACAGGATTGAGAATTATAACTTTCAGATGTTGAGTTTACATCAGAGTGACATTTACAATCAGTGTGGAGGTGGCTACCACATTTATGCACACATCTCTCTGGGCTGGCAGGGAAATTAAATAGCAAGAACATAATTAAAATGTCTGTTGAAAGCACACTTACTTTTATATGATTGTAGTTTTATCCAGCTTCTATATTGAATCTATCCCCAAGGAGTCTATTTGTTGGGTAAATTTTATTCAAAATTTTTAATTGGACTTCTTTCCCTTTAGGAGGGATAGGGAAGGTGATATAACCACTTCTTATTTTTTCAATTTCTTCCCTTTGGAAATCTTTTAATGTGTAATTATGTCTAAGTAAATTTGGATAAAAAGACTCCTTAATGAAGATCCTAGAAACTTATTATTGCATTTAACATCACAAAATTGAATATCATCTATATATAGCTGTCTTAACCTGGGGGAGATGTCAGAATATATCATATCATTTACAACTATGTTTTTAAGTGACAGTGGAATGGATTTTATAACCCAATTCAATTTATTTTTAGCACATTGGATATTGAACTTTCAGCAAAAATCTTGATGTTCTAGAACATGTCCTTCTTTATCTACAAAATGGGCAATTGCCCAAACACCTTTTGATAACCAATCTTGGATAAAAATTAGGGATGCACCGATTAGGTTTTTTGCTGCCGATCACCGATACCGATATCAAAGAATGCTGATCACCGATACCGATCACGTGGATTGGCCAGAAATTTTCTACAACATTATAATGTGACATTAAAAGCAGATGCTTTGATGCTCCACCTGAGAGTAAATCTGTAAGGCTTGTTACCAGCATTCAGACATCAATTCTGCTTGCTTCACATCCAGACAGGACACGGTTAAAAAAAAGTATATAATTCACAAACTCTTCTATCTTTGAACATAATTTGAACTGGATTATTGCCAACCCATACATAACAGGCATGCCACCATTACATTGTTAGCAGCAATTAAATGTTATTACCATTTCTAATACAAATGCATGTTAATGAAATGCATTATATTTTACTGGATATATTTATGTGTTATTTTGACTAAGATATGTTATTTTGACTAAGGTGAGTGTTATTAATACAAACCTAAAATGTTACTGAAATGTAGGTCAAAAATTTAAAAAATATTTTTAACTATAAATATCAGATGGGAAAAAGGGAACTTCAATCTAATGCATATTATTGAGCCTTTTATAATATTTTGCCTTTAAAAAAGTGAGGCAGTTTAATGCACAGAGTATACATGTGCTGGCGCATGGTCAGGATGGTACCACCTCTGCCTCAATTTGAGCTTGGAAAAACCCTGAGTATGCATCTAAACTTTTTAAATTTCTGAATTTGCAGACTGCAGATTCACATGCCACTACCGCTGCCGTGCCTTGATTCAGCTGGACTGCATTTGGGAGCGCTTCTCTGCGACGGACTATGCAGCTGTTGTCGAGCACACCATAGAGACAGACACAAATGTGGTAAGGCCCTGTGTGATTGGTACCAATAGATTACATAGTTTCTTCTTTTTTTACAGTGTAAGTTAAGCCTTGCCCAATCAAGCCTGATTTCTGCTTCTGCGTTGGTACTGACTGAGACACGAAACACTATGATGCAAGGCACCTGCAATAGCCCCAATTTTTAATTGTTCGTTGAAAGAGACGGAGACCGTGAGTCTGTGATTGGTCAGCACACCACTTCCTTGAAATTTGTCTATAGCACTGCCATTCCTCCTGCAACAAAAAAAGTGCCAAAAATTTGTAGCGGTAGATACGGAGCAGATTGAAGAACGCCTCACGGAGAAAGTCAGATGATATGAATGAATAAAAGGACCCTTTACAGGGTTGATGAAATGTCACTCAGACCCCACCTCCCCCTGTGGCCAGAATACCACACTGGCAACTTCAGAGTTGGAGGCAGCTCCCTGCTGCTGGTGGGAGCTGTAAAGTGAAGTGGAGCTAGCATGGTGGCGCTGCAGTCTGCTTCCAGCACATTTCCTGCATGTTTTAGACTGTGGTCTCAGCTGATTTGTTTGATTTAGTGATGAATTACTCCTATAGAAACTAATGAAGGTTGAGGAGACATTTCAGCTGTTAGATGTTAAGATGTTAAAAAGGCAAACGCACAGGGAGGAGATAAGTTTTATTTTTGGTTTAACCACAGTGAATTAATAACGGACACTAGCAAACCTGCCAAGTGTGCCTTTAACATGCAGGGGCGTCATATGTGAAATCCATGGCCCATAACAAACGGGATCAGAAAATAGCTTTTATAGCTCCGTTGGCTTGCATTCATTTTTTTTCTTATTTCCGGGGACCCGTGGAAGTAGATCGGTATGACTAGTAAATACTCTATCGTCGACCAGAGATGCCTAGAAAAGCGGTATGCCCTCTGTTGTCCTGACGGGGAATTGCTGCTTTACAGAAATCTGAAAGGAAAACGTCTGTGTCAGTGTGTGCACGTGACTTGCAACTGGGCTGAAGAAGAAGTATAACCCAAGCTTCAGAGTAGACAGCAAATCTCACTATTATTACAAACACTCGTGACTTAGCTCCAAACTTTTTATAATGTGCATGTAAAGATCTCTTGTTTGGATCATTCTAATGTACTGGAAGGCTTCAGGAACCTTCTTTGCTGCATTTTAAAACTTTGCTTTAAGTTCTTAACTACTGTCAAATTTAAATTTGAGGGACCGACTTCTCTGATCTTTCAGATTTAGAGCAACCAAATCAGAGAGGAGGATTTCTGAGTGTAGCAACACTAGGAGGCACCAGTGTGTTTCTCCCTAAATCCACTCATTTATTTTTCTCCTGCTTCAGTGATTACTAACTAGCAAAAACTCCTCAGCTTTATCTGTCACGTATGCCTGAAAAAAATCTTATTACAAAACTAATATAATATAGTTGATTCTTTTCTAAGGCTTCGTTTAAAGGGCGACTAAACAAGTTTCTGTTCTTTATTAATACTTTTTTCCTATGTTGACTTTGAAAGAAAAACTTGTAGCTGTACTGAATTCTGGGTAAATGAGGATATGATAAGGTGAAATATTAATAGTAAAACATTTGGATTTTCACTTAAGAACAACTTGGATTTTCTTTACCCTTTCAAACATGAGTTAATGGTCCCAGATTACACAGTAGTCATGAGACGAATGAGGGATATTTTTATGTGGATTTCCCCTTGATGGAGTCTTGACTTGTCCTTGGATTTTATTGGCTTCAGGGTGAACTGGAAGAGAAGGAATTATGCTTTTAGGAAGCGGTTTCTAAAGCTTCACTGACATCATGTGACATCCATGGTGATTACTTATGAAATTCGCTGTGGCCCTTTGAGAGTAAGCACTACATAGTGAACACAGACTCCAAATTTTTATTTATGTTTATTTTTGAGTGAGTTTTGTTTATACTTCTCACAGGAAACACTGATTCCATCTTCCTCATCTAACTTCCCCCCATATGTTCACTTCCTCTATTACTTATGATTAAACTTTTGGAAAGAAAACGTGAATTCATGACTATTATTTCAGTGTGGACAAATTGTTTTTGAGAACTAAAACTTGAATTTAAAAAGCCCATGAACCTGTGAGATGTGTCATTGAAGTGTTTTACTGATTTCATCCAATGTTTTTTTATAAAATTATGTTTTTCAGTGAAAAAAACCCCCAATTTTCATTCATTTTAAATTTAAAAATGGAGTTAGAACTGAAAAGAAGTAACACATCAATACACTGAATGAAAATATGGAGCACATATGAGGTTCTCATTCTACGTTGACATAAAAATTGCCTTAAAGTGACAATAGTTTTTACCATTAATTGGTAAAATAAAAAGTAGTTGCCACTTTGGTGGCTAGCGGGTAGTAACTCGCTTATATTTTTAATTTAATGAACATATACATAATTTAAAAAGTAAAAGCCTCGTTATATATTTAAATTTAAACTAATACAAATAAAATATAACGTTATCTCCCGTGTCACGTGACGTTACGTGATCGCCGTGGCCACGTGATGCAAGTCTGTTCCAACTGTAAGCTGCTCTGAGAGACAGGAGATTCAGATTGCACCAGTGCAGCAATGTGTGGGTCAGATTCAGTAGAGGAAGAGAGCGTGTTCCTCCCTGTCTGTTTACATACGACACCACAGTCGTGTTGTCTGTGCGCACTAGCACATGTTGACCTCTCAGGTGATGACTGAAGTGTTTCAGGGCCAGAAACACGGTTACCAGTTCCAGAAAGCTGATATGGAACCTTGACTGGGTCGAGGACCATACCCCCTTCACCGCTAAACACCCACACAGAGCCCTCAGCCTCTGAGGGAGGCGTCTGTGGTCACCACTATGCGTTCTGACACCCTCCCGATAGGGGAACCCTGGCTGAACAGCCCTGGTTCTCTCCATGGGAGGAGAGCTACCATGCAGGCTCTGGTGACCGTCAACCTCCGGCGGAGATGACGTGAAGGATGGAGATGGTGAGAACGGATCCAACGCTGGAAATGTCGCATTTTTAACAGTCCGAGAGGTACCACAGCTATGGAGGAAGCCATCATCCCCAGCAGCTGTAGAGCTGTGCGGAGTGTCAGTCTGGCTCCCAGCTGAAAGCGTGCTAAGCAACTGCGTAGCGCGGCTATTCGATGGTCCGAGAGACGCGCTCCGCTTGACCGAGAGCAAATTTCCAGCCCGAGGAAGGAGAAACTCTGACTCGGAACTAGAGAACTCTTTATGTAGTTCACGGAAAACCCGAGGGCTTGAAGGTGGGAAAGTACCCGTGCAGTGTGAGCTTGTGCCTGTGTTCGGGAACTCGCTACTAGAGCCCAGTCGTCTAGGTAAGCGAGGATCTGGATGCCCTCCTCCCTGAGGGGGGCTAATGGGGCTTCCACACATTTCGAAAAGGTGCGGGGAGCTAGAGCTAACCCAAAAGGCAGAACCATGTACTCGTAGGCCTTCCCTTCGAAGGCAAAGGGCAGGAACCGCCTGTGACCGGGATGGATTCCCACATGGAAATAAGTATCTGTGAGATTGATCGTAGTAAACCAATCTCCAGGACTGACTGTATCCAGTAGCTGTTTGAGTGTTAGCATTTTGAACCTGTAGGTGCGCAGATACTTGTTTAACACACGCTGATCCAAAATAGGGCGAATTCCGCCTCCCTTTTTCGGGACAACAAAGTAGCGGCTGTACCAACCTTTGTTTGTGTCCTCGAGAAGGACCGCTCGAATAGCTCCTTTCAACAGTAGAGTCTTAATTTCCTCCCATAACATGACCGCAGCATCGGTATTTACACATGTCTGCACAACAGAGGTAAATACGGGTGGTTTTACCAGGAACTGCAGTCGGTAACCCATGGCAACCGTGCGATCAACCAAGGGGTACACTGCGCATGCTCGCCAGAGGTGAAGTTTCGCCGCGAGGCAACCGCTCAGTGCCCTGGTGGGGGAGCTGCTGCCCTCTAGCGGAATGGGAGGCTTTCTGAACATCATGTTTGTCACTGGAGGAAAGCTGCTGTTCACCAGCAGAGTGGGAGAACAGCAGCTTTTCCCACTCCCACAGAGGCCGATTGCAGACAGGATTTGATGTGAAAATTAAGCTGTCGTTCACCAGCGGAGCGGGTTGATGCAGCTTTATGGGGCCAATTTGAGAAGCTTTGTTGAGACACATTGCATCCACACATTGTCGAGTGCAAACAGCAGTCTTTATTAAATTTGTGTGCATGTTTTTGTAAACAGTACAACTCTCGCCCCCTGGGGACGGTAAACAAAGTCCCTTTGGACTGTGGGGTTGAACTGAACTGAACCGGTCTGTTTCAACCATAGAAAACTGGGGTTTTGTGGTCTCTGCGAGAGAGGGCTCCATCGGAGGGAGGTTAACCAATCCCGCCATTTCTGCGCCATCGAGGTCCAAAAACTGACCGTAACCCGGGACCGTGGTGTGGGTGGATAGCGGCTTGGCCCAGGATGCCGTGAGCTCAGCCACAAAATCCGGGTACAGTGACAGAAAGTTCTTTACCTCTGCTGGTTCCGAGAGGAGGTAAAATCCAGAAAAGCGGGACCTCTTTTGTGCAGGTGGAGGAGCGGGCCAGTCCACTTCTAGCCTCCCTGCTGCCCGCCAGCAGAGCGGGAGAAAAAAAGTGTAAACTCGAAGCTCGGAGGCTGAAGTAGCGGCTGGAGCTGAACACTCCACCGCTGAGAGGACGTCCTTGTCCTCGAGTAAGTCGTGACCGTCGGGGCAAATGTCCAAAATGTCTCCTTCATCCTCTGCCAGAGGAGGAAACTGAGAAGCCTCTAGGTCTGGTCCGGTTAAATTGTCCGCCATCTCCATCTGATCTGTCCAGCTAGTAGCGGGGATTTCGATCACTAGGCTGTCCACGTCAGAGCCGGGCGAAGCCGGGGCCGAACGGGAAAGCATGGGGTCCTGCTGCGAAACTGCAGCGTCTCCCAGGAGACGTTGTAGGAGATTTACGCGCCGTTCGAGCGTGGGACGACGGAGTCGGCAACAGAACTTGCATGCCTCCGGGTCCACAAGCGCTCTCCTGGCGTGGAGAATTCCCAGTCAAACCGGGCAAGCTTCGTGTAGGTCCTTCTCGTGAAGAGAGAATCCACAGCCCTGGGGACAGGGGTGCGAAGCGGCTTTCCGTGAAGCGATGTCCGACACGGTGCTCATTGTGAGACGCACAGCGGAGAAGCTGAAAAGCCAAAAATGATAGCGCTCGGTGGGCGGGAATGCTAGCCAGAAGGCAGTAGAGTCCAGTCAGTGAGCGGTTAAGCTATCTTTCAGTAGCGCAGCAAGTTGTCAGATGTGTTCTCAGCGAGGTGAAGAGCGTAAGAACTGAGTAATGACAGTGACGCTGGCGCTTTTAAGTGGAGGACGGGGCCTCCACGCAGCGTCACTATCATTTGCCTTACAGGCATGATTAAATGTGTCTTCAGCCAGGCCACATGAGGGCGTGATGTCCCATAGCACCTTCGTTGTACAGAGTGAATCGACAGAAAGGGAACAGTCCTTTGTCTTTATGTCTGTTTTATTTATTTTTTATTTTGTATGTTTTTATCTTATCTGTTGACTCATAAGGGATTCATTTATACTAGAAACCACTGCAAATGTATTGAAAAAAAAATGACTGGATGAGAGCTTCCGGTCCCTAAATGAACTGATGCCAGTTTATCTGATTTGCTGCAATTAAATGCCCATCAGTGCTCTCTGAAGGCTTGTTGCTGCTTTTGGGCCCAACTTCCTGAAGTTGAGGTGGAATTGAGAGTTTTCAGTAGTGGCACAGAGGCTTTGGAATGGCCTTTGCCTTCCTTGGTGTGTGTTGGTTTTTAAGTCTAGGGTAAACAAACCCCCTACCCCACCCCCTGCGCACCCTCACGGACATCGGCAGAACGCCCACTCCCCCGACTCCGCCTCGGTCGGTCGTTTACCCCAAAGTGCCGTTCAAAAGAGTGAGTCTTTTGAACAGCACTTTGGGGTAAACGACCAACTAATGAGCGGCTCCCTTCAGCCATAAGTCCCATCACTTGTTTCCCTGGGTCCTCCACTCATTACACACTTGCATATTTAGCAACAGAACAATGGTGTGAGAGGTCTGCGGCTCAATAATGTCAGAAAACAGCTGGCTGCTACCACTTCAACTTTAAGACAAACTACCAGAGTTCCAAAAAGAAAAACACTCTTTGAAGTCACGGACAGCAAAAGACATTTGGACCTCGAAAACTGTGACTGGTGTTTAGTGCTGTCTTATTTCATCTGGTATTGCGGGTTTGCAGCTTCGGCAGAATTAGGGAATCTTCCTTGAGAAGCTTCTGCTGAAGCCGCAAACCTGGAGGAGTGAGTGTTCCGTGAATGTGTTTACGTTCAAAACCTAGCTTGTTTGCAGATTTGTTATAACAGCTTTAATTCATTCACAATCACCCAAAGGGTCACTAGCCTATGGGTGGCACTTTGGACCTGCCTGCTCTAGAAGGAGGATCAGTGGTTTGATGATTTGTGAACTAACTCACATTACATCACATCAAGTGCTTACTACAGGTTAAAAGCTTGTTGTTTCAATTTATTCTTGAACTGACCATGGATGAGATGTTTATAGTTAGTAAGAATCTGGACCACGTGTTTAGTTTAGTATCTTCATGTTTCAGGAGAATAAAACTCACATGCTGACCAAAGCTCAGGGCTTGGTCATCACATGGCATTCAGGAGGGGAGGGAGGAGCTGCAGCATCCGGGGGGGGGGATACAGGCTCTGGTATTTCCTGTCGTCGTCCAATCGCATCGTTTTGTGTATTTCTGAACTAAACTCAACGGGCTTGTGGGTGGGGCCTCGGGGGGAGAAGGAAGTGCGGCGGGCAGGGCGGAGATTTCCAACACATCCTGTTTCACACACACTGGAAACGTGGCCGGTAGTTAGAGAGAGCGAGAGGGAGGGGTGAGAGAGTGCGAGAGCCTTCAGAGACGTCCTGTCGTCAGCCACATAAGTTATCAAAGCTATTAAGCTAGCTACCGGTGTTTGTGAAGGTAAACAACCGACGCTTGACTCAGAAAGTAGTTTAAGTATTGTTGCGTGACTGAAGGGTTTTCAGACGTTTATCACTAATGAAAATGGCCAGCAGCTCGGACAAGACTCCCTCCTTCGAGATGACTTGGGGCAGCTCCACCAGCAGCGGCTACTGCAGCGAGGATGACTCTGACTCGGAGTTCGAGCAGTACTTCACCGCCCGGACTTCTTTCTTTCCCAAAAGCCGCAAGGCTAACGTCCCTGATAAAAGAAAGCAGGTGAGACAGAAAAAGGTGCAAAACAGAAAAGATAAAAACACTTTAAAGTTAAATTGAAAGTTTTGTGTTAAAAGGAAGTGAGATCAACGACGGCTAACGGAACTGAACTCTCGCGATGTTTTAGTTTTGGGTGTTTTCCCTATTGCTGTTAGTTTGTGGCAAAAACAATGTATTTATCCAAACTTTTGTGTTCATGTGTGCAGCTTGGTGTGTGGAGGATCATTTGTTAGGCTCAAGGCACCCCGGTAGACACTGATTCTTGCCAAACAAGTTCCTTGTTACAGGGTGGAGTTCCCCTTTTTACAGTTTAAGGAAGGCACTCCTAAATTATGCTAAATAATAATGTATTCTGCTGTATAAGAAGAACAGAATGCAGATTAAGTGGAAGCTTGCACACACGCGGGAGGTTTCTTTTCCATTGTTCCATGAGATCAAGGATCAAACCCAAACCTTTTAGTTCTGTGACGCATTTTTGTTTCTCAAATTTCCAGCCCCACGCCCACCCTTCACCGGATTGTCTCGCAGGATTTTTTTTACACTAATTTCTCTATCACAAATGACTCACGACATGTTTTACTGTTATTCACCATTGCCTTATCTTTTAGTCACACATACACCCGCAGTGTCAGCTTTCTTTACTGAGAAGCACATGTCGTTTACTGTAAACACACCAGTTTGTTCTGTTTCTTGCAGAAGCTGTTTTAATTTCATGCTGTTGGCACATCCTTGAAATGACTTCCTTTGCAGGCGTGTAGAGGCATATATTGCTTTGCAATGCATACACTTCCCGTATTGTGTGGTAAAATGTCAATTCTTAACACACCTTTTGATTTATTGACTGCAGCATGTTAACTCTCCACTTGAGATTTAGATTTATTGATCATCCTCCACTAGAAGGGGCTGTGAAACGGTGCTAGTTCTAACAGGGTTTCGTTTAATGATATGGTTCTTTTTAAAACAACACATTAATGAATCAGCGGGTTAGTAATAAACAGCACTGGATATAGAATAGAATAAACTAGACCCACAGTGCGGAAATCCACGTTACAGCAGCACAAACACTTAAGAGAATAATTTGAAGAAAAATAATAACAAATGTAGATATAGATGTTTTGATGAAGCTCCTCTAATAGTGTGTACTTTTAAAAGTACAATTGAAGAGGTAGAAACAGGAAAAGGCCCAGTTAGAACCATCTGTAATTTGCCAGAGGCCAAATGTGCATGACTGAATCATGACTGTAGAATTGTGGTTCTGTAGGCAGCTGACTTCACAGGATGTGCCTGTAAAACAAGGGATAGCTTTGTATCTCCTGTTTAGTGGGAGTCTGAACTGGTGGGGGTGGGGGTGTGTGTTATTTTTATATGAATACAGAGCCTAGGAATGTAGTGCCGTTGGTAGCAGTCATTACAAACAGTTGCTAGCAGCATAAACTCCACCCTCATTCCCTACTCCCCCATCCTTCCTCTTCCTCCCTTAAGCCTGTCTACAGAGGGACCAGAGCTGCTAAACTGGATTGGACAGGGCTGACATCATCATGTTTCCCCTTGCTGCATTATCAGGAAGTTGAGTCTGATGCAACTGGTGCTCTATGTAAAAAAAAAAAAAAAAAAAAAGATTCTCATGGAAATATCTTTTAAAGCAGCCACCAGTTTCATGTCATGCAGCAGAAACTCAGCTAAACATTTTACACAATGTTTCATTATTGGGCTGCATGGTGGCGCAGTGTTCAGCACTGTTGCCTCGTAGCACGAAGGTTGCAGGTTCGAAACTCGGCTGCAGCCTTTCTGCGTGGAGTTCCGTGTTCTCCCCATGCATGCTTGGGTTTCCTCCGGGTACTCCGGTTTCCCCCACAGATCACAACATGCCCTATCGGTTATAAATTGTAAGTCGCTTTGGATAAAAGCGTCTGCTAAATGAATAAACATAAACATTAAAAATTTTCATTAGTTTTTTGATGAAGTACATTTGTTTTGTGAATTATAAAATAATATCGTGTTTAAAATGTGATTTGATGAATGCTGCCACCTGGTGTTTGAACGCTGTAACTTCCCTGTTCCATCCAGGATGAGCAGACGGAATCTGGAAAGCAGGAACTGACGGCCGTAGAGGTTGTGCATAAGGTGAAGGAGTACAACGCTCAGGTCAACAGTAATCTATTTATGAATGTGGTGAGTTGTGATTATTCACTACACACTTGCTGCCTTTTCTTTTTCCTCTTCAGGTGTAACTTTTTTTGTTTGTTTTTAAACAGAACAAAGATGGGTCCTACACTGGCTTTGTGAAGGTGCAGTTCAAGTTGGCACGACCCGTGTCCGTTCCGGCTCCAAAGAAAGGAGGTCAAGATGTGGGAGGCAGGCGGTCCGGTGGGGTGAAGCGCCGCACCTCATTCTACCTCCCCAAGGACGCATCCAAGCATTTGCACATAAGTTCGCGTACTACCTCTCGTGAGGTCATTGAGGCTTTGTTGAAGAAGTTCACTGTGGTGGACAATCCCGGCAAGTTTGCACTGTTTGAGCGTAGCGAGCGTCACGAACAAGGTAATATTCCTCATGCAAAAGTTTATCTGCTTCTTCAAATGGCTTTTTATTGATTGAATTATTATTTTTTCCCCTCAGTTTACATCCGTAAGCTCTCGGATGACGAGCGTCCCCTCCGCCTGCGTCTCTGTGCTGGACCCAATGAGAAAGTTCTCAGTTTTGTGTTAAAAGAAAACGAAACTGGTGAAGTCAACGTAAGTCGAGATGATCCCATCCAAACATAGAACCCCGTAAGCATTACGCCCTTAACAAACTCCTCGTCCATCCTCTTTTACAGTGGCATGCCTTCTCTATGCCGGAGCTGAAGAACTTCCTGCTCATTTTGCAGCGTGAAGAAGAGGAACACGTCAAGCAGATTGTGCAGCGGTACACTTTGGCTCGCGCTAAGATGCTGGAGGCTCTATCTGGCTCTACGCCTGGCTGAAACCCTCCACGCACTCGGGATTCAACAAATAGCATCCTGGCCGTATTACCGGCCAAGGCTGCATGTAAAGATCCTGGAAAATGCAACCAAAACAAGGAAACACCTCTTGGATGAACGAGAGAGTGAGATTGGGCGCAAGACTGAGAGAAAGAGCTAGCGCGTATGTGCGTGTGAAATTATGCGAGAGATGAGAAGTGCCTTACACCTGGAGAGTCTGATGTGCCTGAGAGAGTGAGTGGAGAGGAATGGAGGCTGGCAGATGAGACTGGTCGTCACGCCGGTACCTAATGGATACCATCTGATTATCCTGTTCCTCAGCTGTTTTACTTTCACTTAAATCGATTTTAACTGGAAGGTTTATGAATTTGAATCCGTGACACCAATATAACAGAGCAGGTATTTAAAAACAAATTTGATGTTTAAAAGAAAACTACTTTCTGTTGAGAATGATTTAAGTGTCTGATTTGAAGCTGATGGGTATTTGGATATTCACATGACCCAGGATCAGTCTGCCATGTCCAACACCCCCGATGGGTGCAACTCTTTACACTTATTTACTTTGAGTATGACTGATGAATGAACGTTTGTGCACACCAATGACTGTTGAGAGCTGTGCCATAAGCCACTGTGGTTGACTGAAGTCTTGAATGAATATAGCCATACTTGTGTTTTAACTGGAAGCTGCTCATCATTCCTTATATCTTTGTTTTTCTTGGCCAACTAAATGTTTGTCTTCGTTTGTCCTTTTAAACTTCACTTTTCCTGCCTCACATTTAAGTGTTGCAGTCTTAAGAATGTTGTGGCAAATGTGCACTGTTTAATAAAATAGTTCACAAGGTGTTTTTTATTTTAATTTCAGATGGTGCACATTGACCCCTACATACGCTTCTGGTACATGAACAAGTCTACATGCTGGTGTAAGATTATATGAACCCAATTTCTGCAAGTGTGATTTATTAACCCAGTTTAGTTTTATACTTTTTTTACAGGTGCTGCAAAAAATGCAAGTCTAATATATTTAGTTGTGAAAATAGATCTTGTGGCTGTTGACCAAAAAATGACAATGTTGAGATATTTTAGATTAAAAAAATATATATATATACCGTATATATATATATATATATGCAGTGTATATACACACAGTGAGGAACAAACAAAATAGATTTCAGGAAGTGACATTGTATGATTTTTAAATTATTTGTATTGCATAGCTGCATAAATATTTAAACACCTGAAAAAATTTGTGTTGTACAGAAACCAGTGTTTGCAATCACAGAGGCCAAAAGTTTCCTGTCATTCTTGATCAGCTTTGCACACACTGCAACAGGTATTTTGGCCCACTCCACCACAGATCTCTAAATCTGTCAGGTTTGGGGCTATCACTGAAGAGTTTCAGCTTTCCAAATATTTTCTATTTGATTTGGGTCTGGAGGCTGGCTAGACCACTCCATAATCTTGATAAGCTTCTTATGGAGCCACTTAATGGTCATCCTGGCTGTGTGCTTCAGATCATTGTCATGTTGGAAGACCCAGCCACAACCTATCCTCAATGCTCTGAGGGAAGAAATTGTTTCACTACGTCTTTACGGTGCTGTCGTCCTGTCTCCTTGGCAGAAAAGTACCCCCAAATCATGATGCTTCCATCCCCATGTTTCACATAGGGATGGTGTTCTTGGGATACAACTCATCCTTCTTTTCCCTCCAAACATGGCGAGTGGAGTTAAGACAAACATTCCATTTTGGTGTCATCTGACCACATGGCTTTCTCCCATGCCTCCTCTGGATCATCCAGATGTGTCATTGGCAAACTTCAGACGGGCCTGGACACGTGATGACTTGAGCAGAAGAACCTTCCATGTGATGCATGGTTTTAAACCATGACAGTATAGTGGTCTACAAACAGTGACCTTCAAACCTGTGGTTCCAGCTCTCCTCATGTCATTGACCAGCTCCTCCTGTGTAGTTCTGGGCTGATTCCTTACCGTTCTTATCATCAGTGATACCCCACCAGGTGTCTTAACAAGCTCATTCAGTTGCTACTAATTATAATCATAGGTGGAGTAGAGGTGGACTTTAGGCAGAGTAACAGGTCTTTGAGTGCGATAATTCTTGCTGATTATGTTCAAATGCTTATGTGCAATACAAATAAAATTTATATTCATACAATATATTTATTCATACAATGTGATTTTATGAAAAGTTTTAAAAGGCTATATCTCAGTGGGGATGCACCTACAATGTGAATTTCCGACCCCTCTACGAGATATATATATATATATATATATATATATATATATATATATATATATATATATATATATATATATTTATATATATATAATCACGTTTTTTTCTCCCAAGTTTCTGCGAGGTCAGCTGATCGCTCTTCACCTCGTCATGAACCAAAACACAGCCTGCTGTAGAGCTAGCTAGGCAGCTGCAGCCACGAGTTATGACTGCATATGTCAGTTTGTCATTATGTAACCAGGTGAGACATTTCAGGATGTTTGGGGAAATTTGAGAGGGGACCCTTCGCATGTGTGTGGTTGTGTCCAAGCGTGCTGCAGGTTATAGTTTATTATTGCTAACCTGCGTCAGCGGTCGAAGCTAACAGGCTAACTGTCGTAATTAAGCAGGTACCTCTAGGTGACCGGATGTGATAAAGGGATGCTAATATGGAATTTAGATGTTATACATAATGCAGACAACCATATGTTATGGTTATAAGTATACACAATGATTTGTGAAATGTTCTGAATCAAATTACTTATATTTAGAAGGGTCTTGTGTAGCCTCGCTGGTTAGCATTCGGGAACGCTAGCGTAGTCACAACACAGAAAACTACAATCTCCAGTCTTTTCTATATTAAATAGTTTGTATTTGTGAATTGGGCTTGGTTACTGTAGCTGCGTCTTCTCAGTGTAAAACCTCCTGCTACAAGTTTAAATTAGCTTCTGTTTTAGCATCACTTATTTGCATGGCGTGAGCAAAATGTAGCAGGAGGGCCAGAGGCGCTACTCAATGTCCTGATGTGAAACTTCAAATTAATCCCCCAACCTCATGAGTGTGTTCTGAAAAGACAGAATAAATATCTTGAAAGTTTAAATCCAGCTGATTCCTATTTATATAAGCTAGAAGGCTAGAAATTGAGTCATCTGACACGTTTGTGTGTGCACCTGCACCAGTGTGGTGCTGATATGGTTGCCATGGTTACTCAGCATCACCTTGCTGTCCAAATATTGTTCTGCAAAATAGGTCAACCATCCACATATTAGTAAGCAAAATTAGCTCAATGATGTCATGCAATTTGAACACAGCAAATCATTTTCTGACTGGTTTATTATATAATACATGCAACTGACATAAGTAATAACCTCATATTTCACTTGACTGCCTGATTTCTCCTTTGCTCCAAGCAGTGCAACCATTTTTCAAACTTATCCCTGAACAACCAGCAGTTTTCTTTTTGCTGGTTTTATTTTACTGTAACCAGCAGCTTCAAACCCAACAATTATCTGACAAGAGCTGTGTTATTTTGGTGCATGCTCTTGCTTTTATTTCAGGTTCTGGCCTCAATAAGAAATTTTGAGCCTCTGGCAACTGAGCAGAGTGAAAGCTTCAACTGGAGATTAATTATGCCTCATGTGTAAAAATGGGAGGAAGCGGATCCAAAGTCAAAGGCGTCTGGCCTTTCTCAGGCAGCGGAGGCAATTCTGGACATGATGGAAATGAGCAGTCTGTGGCCCGTCTGAAAAGTGCAGCACCATTTGTTTTCACAAGGAGGAGGTAAACAACGGTTAATATGAGAGCTCTTTAGGTGGCCACCCATATTATAGGGACTTCCTAAAAATGACTTGTTTCTGCAGTTCCTTGTATTACGATGAGGACGGCGACCTGGCCCACGAGTTCTACGAGGAGACAGTGGTGACAAAAAATGGCAGGAAGAAGTCCAAGCTGAGGAGGATCCAGAAGAATCTGATTCCTCAGGTTAGCTGTTTCTTCTCACGTGGGACGTTTTGTCATAACCATCTCAACATGAGTTTTTTTTTTTCCCCTTTCTTTTTCAGGGGATCGTGAAGCTCGATCACCCCTGTATTCATGTGGATTTTCCCATCATCCTCTGTGAGGTGTGAGGCTGCACAGGACTGATGGTCTGCAGCCAGAGCAGAGACCCGTTACAGCGGGACCGTGGTCGAGACAGAGCAGATGGTCCTGGAGAAGAAAAGGAACGCTCATACCTTTTAAGCTGTAGTCATGGGGTGCAATGTTTGCAGCATCTCACATTTTGACATTCACTACAGTAGTGCTGGTACACGTGATGTTCCCACTAACCAGCTGGTGTGTGAGCAGTCTACATCACGGATGTGAAAAGGCTTTAATGGATGATATCTGTGAGATGTAGAGTTTTTTTTACATATGTGGATACTATGTTTGGGTGAAAGAGAGATTATAGGAATACTTGTGTGACATTTAATCTACACACGTTCGGTAACGTCATGTCTGAGTCTGTTGTAGCTACTGGAACTCAGACCTGCACTAGTGAACATGACATTCTGTAAATAACCTCAGAGTTCTTAGTTGGAAATACTTGAATAAATGTTTTACTGAGCAGCGACACGACTCGCCTTTTTATTCCTGCTGTCATCAAGTTGTTGCGTTTGGTTTCTTAAAGCCTTTCCACAGGAGTTATATTGCTGAGCGTGCACTGGGGCTACTTTGTTGTTGTACAAAGTTTCTTCGCTTCAATTATGGCGGTTCATTCCACATACTTTTACATATTTAAACATTCTTCAGCTGACATAGCTAACTAAAACTTACTTAGTGTGTGATTTTTACCAAGCAAACAAATGTCTATGGTACGTGTTTAGTAAGGTTTTGAAGGGCCCACAACTGCAGTGCATACAACATGAAATGGGGTGGACCCTCAAGCACTGATGCTGGCTGTCAATCGTGTTTCCCTGACTACTCCAGATCAGGACCAAAATTTGAGTCAGAAAAAAGACTAAAATGAAAGTGAGAAATCTTTAAAATGAACAAAAAAGTTTTTTTTAAACGTAAAATCTGAAACTGAAATTAAATGAAAATATAAAAATCTAATAAAAAAACTAAATTAAATTTATTTTCAATTGTTTCTCTTATCTTTTAATGTTCTTTTTTTCAAATAGTTACTGCACCTTTCCACCGGATGCGTAACACATAAGTACTGCTTCACATAGAATCCATTATAATCTATGGGGGTGATTCAAACTAGCCGCATGCAGAAATTTTCAGGTGCATCTCAATTGCGGCTTCTGGCACTCGTCAATTTCCGCAATTAACACAAGGCTAGACAGGAAATCACATATGGTTTCAGTGTAAAAATTCAGATAACTTTCAAAATAAAAGACTATTTCAGCGACGCAATTTCACATTAATGTCGCGAAACAAGATTTCTGAAAATCTGATCAAACTTGTCTGATTTTAAACAGTTTAAAATCCATTTTTGAACATGCAGTTTTTTACCACTAGATGACAGCAGAGTCCCCATGACTAAAACATGATTTTCTGCATTGATCCTTTAAAAATTCTTTGTTGTTTTAAACGGACATAGAAGCCATTAAACAACACTAGTGAAATTCTGAAGCTGTGATTCATGTTGTTTAACCAGCTGGCAATGCATCAAGCTCTACTGGTAAGGTAAAAAACTAATGTATATAAATACACACCCAAGTGTGTGCACCAAGTTCCCACAATAAATGGGAAGGGCTTCCTTCTCTGCTGTCTGTAATTCTGTGGAATGCGGTTGGGTGAGTTTTTGGGCCAGAGGTCATTCTCTTTGATGTGCTTCCTCTCCGCTGCTCTTTGAAGTCCTGCTGAAAGTTCAGCCTGTATTAAAAAGGATGAACCTCACGAATAGGCTCTGTTCCGATCACTGGCATGTGTTCTTTGATGTATGCAATGCAATTCAATTCAAGTTCAATGTGTCTAAAGAGGGAAAGGTTGTCCATGTGATCATGGATAAGGGAGACAGTGGTCATGAATTATCTGCAGCCCTGAAAAAAAAACATGCAGCATAAGAAGAGATCATCCATGAGCTTTAAAGTTTTCCAGTAAATCAGCAGCGAGCTCTGCAGCCTGTTTAGGTTCCTTGATTGATAGGACCACCAAATGAATAAATGTGAGAGATGATGTGTTTGCATGTGTCTGTGTGTGTGCAGGTGTGTGTGAGGGTTAGCAGCAGATCCCCTGATGGATTCCAATGAAATTCTCACAGTTGATTTGTTTCTCAGTGGTCAACATAGCTAATCGACATTAGCACACACAACCATGACTGTAAGTCATGGGCATTTATGGATATGAAGAACTATAACTCTTTGGTTACGTTAGAGGTTAAGATTTAGAAAAAAAAACATTTTTAGAAACTTTGCTGAGAAAGGCCACTTTTTACTAGAAAAACTGCTGTTATGTATTTTAAAACGAAATATCCAATACGCTTTTCAAATAGTATTTTTTGGACAGCATTTTATATGAATTAGAAAAAAATGTACCGGCAATTTGCTCTTTAAATGTGCAGAAGTTAGCAAGCAGTGACATTTAATCATTATGGGCATTCTATATGACAGAAAAACCACAACACACCTTTGTTTTGTTTTAGATATTCAAGAATATTTTACTGAATGGCTGGCGTCCGGTGAGTAGAAAATGGCAACTACAGATTTCTGATCGAGTGTCAAAACTACCTTAGCTCCGGACAGGTCGGGAAACTTTTTAATCCAGCAGGTTGGCCATGTTGTAAGTGTCTGCATGGCAGGCAGAGGGTGCTGCTGCAGCCACACCGCAGCACTAAGGTGAAGGAGACTGGCAAGCAGGGTCTGATAAGCATGTCCTGCTTGGACCACGGTATCTCACATGAGATTTTCTTCCAAATCTAGAGTTTTCTGCTGTATGTAGAACAGCTAATGACTGCACACGTCCTTCCAGCATTCACAAAAGGAACGACTTCCAATTCTTTCTGCTTATTTTCAAAAGCCCGCTTGGCACACAACTCCTACGCCTGCCTGACTGTGAACTGTCATCGCAGTAACGACGGCGGCTTGACTTCACATATTTTGCCAAATTGGTGTATACGAAGACTACATCCCTCTTTGGCATTTTAGAAAGGAGAAACACTGAATACCTCCAGCCAGCTGAGAAGGAAATCTGTTTCAATGTAACCTTCCTTTCAAAGTGGCTTAGGCATTAGACTGTTTTGTGATTATTTTACTGTAAAATTCTTGCCTATATCACCATTTAATACATGGTTGATTTGTTTGATTAACTTTAAATGTGTGGAACACTGATAAAACATTTAAAAAATATTTTTTCTCATTATAATTGGTCAGTTTTTCATGCAGGCTGAACATGAAAATAGTCTCCTACACCATTTTCCTGCATTCACATTCATGGACTCATGGTGGGGAAGGCTGTTGTTGGTTTTGCATCCAGAAAACAGCAGAGAACGCCTCGGCTAGTAAAAGCTAACCATTAGCATTAGCAACTCTATCACACAGCTGAACTCCTCCAGGCTTGTGTTATTTGTGGAGATAAATCATCAGCGTTGCAGAACAGAGTCAGTGGTAGAGTTGCTTTGCTGTTAGCCAGTCAGAGGCTAGATGTCCAAACATCAGGAAACAAGACTCCAAATCCTGTAATCTGATGCTCAGCGGAGATGTGGCTTACTTCTAGTTCCTGGAAATGGTGCACCAGTGTTTTTTGCCCCCCAACCCTAACCTCCAAATTCCACTACCTCCGCTCCGGTCCGGTCTGCCGCCGCCTTCCGCAGCCGCTCGCTTCCGAACTCAATTTTTACTGGTACCCGCTCTACAATGGCTCCGCTCCGGTGCGGAGACCTGAGGGGGGCAAACAAGCATGCGCGGGATTTTCGAGATCTTGCGATACAGTCCGAGCAATAAACGCGGAAGTTAGATCCAAACACCCGTTGTGTGGAAGAAGCATCGAAATGAACTGTTTAATCTGCCCATCATTTGTGTTGAGAGATCAGCAGTGTTTGGATCAACAAAGGGTAACTACTTTGATAGTAGAAACTGTATTTATGGCTTACTTTTGTGCATTTAAACTTCAGCCGCCATTGATAGTTGTTAAAAGTTGTTAAACCTGTGCATATGAAACAAAAAACGCTTTTTGTTTATCGATTTATTGTGAAAAACGGAAGTCGTGCTTGCTCCTTTTCCTGTTGGGCGGTTGTGATTTCTGTCCATTTACTGCGGAGGTGCTCCGGCGTCCGGCGAAAATAGGATCGATTCTATTTTTGCCGGACGCCGGAACAGAGGGCGGCGCACGGCGCCGCACTGCCGGAGCACGACCGCAGTAGTGGAATTGCTCTGATTGACTACAACGGGACCGATTTTGCTCCGGCGTTCGTGTCGGAGCGGAGCGGAGGTAGTGGAATTTGGGGGTAAGTAGGTCTTACAAGGCATTCATTAAAACAGTGTTCCACACCTTTAAATGTTTGATTTTAACACTGAGCAGTGCACAAAATTAGAATCAACAGTTAGTTAAATGTATAGTTCATAAACTAATTCAGGTTCAGAAATGTTGTGCAACCACTGCTGTTATCAGTGACATTTTAGCATTTGAATAGAGCCTAAAACATCTAGATATCAGCCATGAAAATAGGCCCACAGATCGGCATCAGCAAGAGAAAAACCCACATCGGTCAATCTTAGTTCAAACTGAATTCCCATAAAGGTCAAAACTAAATCTCCCAGGGAAAGTAACCAGGACTGATTCATAAAAGTGTTTGGAAGGCATGATCTGCTTCCAGTTCCCCAGCCATTGTTTTCACTTCCTGACGATCACTCATTCCTGCTGATGCAAAGTTCAGGACGTAGAAGTCAAAGGGAAGCAGAGCCATTCCTCTGCTCCTTTCCTTTCCTCCCTCATCCCTGGCACGGGTCACTTGCACTCTAGATTTTCCTTAACCTCTGAAGAAGAGGGAGAAACTGATGACATGGCGAGGTGAGTCAGCAAAGCTCAGAGGATAAACAGTGGAACGGGCTTTGACACAGGAAAACACCATTATCCTGAGCCAAAGTCGCCCCAGTAATGCTCTCAAAAATCCTTCAGCTCCCATGAATCTGCATGGAAAAGTTCAGAGTCTGTTCTTTTCACGGAAACGGCATTCTATCAATGCAGACAGAAGCACATTTATGCTCGGCCTTTTGACTTCTTCCAGTCAACAAAGATGTGGTTGTTGCTTTAACACTGACCATGTATGGCGTCTTCTCTCCTCTCTTCTCTCCCATATCTGCTGAACTTGGCAACCAGACAGCATGTGGTACTTGGCTACTTCAGTGAGTCATTGCCAGAGGCTGTCATCGCATCGCCTGCAGGCACGGTGACATCTGCATACCAGATGCCTCGTGTGCCAACCGTTTGAAGTGCGCTCTGAGCATTCGTGGAAATTAAACACTAAAATCTTTCACTTAAGTGGCGAGAGAACTGTAAAAGAGACTTGAACGAAACAAAAAACTTGTTTTTCACAGCTGAATGGAGCAAATTGTAAAAAGAAGCTACCACTTCAGTTTTTGAAACAGAAAACATCATCGTCTCAGTTTTCCCATGTGAAAAATCTCTTGTTTCTGTCCACTTTCTAATAGTTTTTACACCTCAGATTCACAGTATCATTGAAGAGCAGCACAGCTTCTACTCTACTGCATTTATCTGCCTAAAGAAATTGCTTGTAGTCTGTGATTTCCATCTGTGATTTCACTAAAAATGGATTGTTAGGATCAATATCTGACCAGCTCAGTGGCCTAGCGGTATGAGTGTCCGCTCTGAGACTGGGAAATTGTAGGTTCAAATCCAAGGTCGGGTCATACCAAAGACTTTAAAAAAGGGACCCAATGCCTCCCCGCTTGACACTCAGCATTAGAGGCTTTGATTGGAGGGGGTTAAACTACCAAATCTGCAGCTCAATGCTCCCCATAGGGATGGGTCAAATGCAGAGAACACATTTCACGGCACATCAGTGTGTGACAACTAATGGGAGGTATTTATGTCACCTGCTTGCCTTTAAAGACAGATTTTCTAAACCATATTCATGTTGTGTTTAGAAATAATGAAGTTGCAGCTGTTTTAGTCACATCTGTAAAATAAGACTATGTGAAATCTTGTGATGTTGCAAGAGGTTGCAGGATATTTAATATTCTGAGCTGAGATTACTTTAAAGTGTTCCTGAAAGCTTAATTAAAATCTGTCCAGGGGTTCATTAGATATGTTGCTTATGCTACACACGCACACACACACACACACACACACACACACACACACACACACACACACACACACACACACACACACACACACACACACACACACACACACACACACACACACACACACACACACACACGTCTTGTAAAGTGGTTAGATGTTTTGAATTGCAAAGCGACTACACTGATATTGAAGCAATGAAAGCTGCTTCACCACATCCCAGAGAGATGCTGCGGAGCACATGTTCAGCAGTCCTGCTTTCTGCACATTTATCTTTGAGCTTTAATTGTTTGTGGTGAGGTAAAGGCTTTGGAAACCAATCAACTGTGTGTGTAGCAATGAGGATCACACAATCTGTCTGACCAATTAAATTGTAGGTTTTCATTTATTAGAAGATATGTGCAAAAACATTTAAGATGAACACGTTTATATTATAGCATTTTGGTTCCAAAAATTCATGGAAAGTTTTAATATTTCTTTGGAAAGTCTTGTTTGGACTTTGGCAGTTTTATTTTTCTTTGCCAGTCCAGAATTTGTATCTCACACATATTTTTTTATTTTGAAGAATGAATGCAAGTAAAATATAAATGAAACTTGGCACACTTAAACTTGGTTTCTTCCCCATAGTGCAAAAAAATTATTTTGGATATCAAAGGCTTTTGTTGTATTTGCCCATTTTTAAATCCATATGCTGTCTCGGTCTGGGACAAGAACTGGGCAGAAAAAGCGGGATTCATTGTTGGGTCTAAAAGTTTGGAAAAAGCAGCCAAAGTCCAGAGACTTTGAAAACCTTTCACAAAGAACTATTAACAATATCACTGAAAAATGCTACCATTTATAAATAATACACGGCATTACTTAAAATGCATCAGTTTAATAGTTCGGATATTATTTATAATTTCCACCTGACAGAATAGGTCCAACTGTCCACAGTGTCTGGTTTCTCCAGCTGGTCTTTTTGGACGGATCCATTCCGGTAAGAAACGTGGGGGTGTTACCTTAAACCTAAAAAGACTTAAACATAAGTAAGCCACGTCTCAGCTTTTTAAAGTTTAAGACTTTTTAAACTTGTGTTTTTAAACACATTCGACTTGCTGAGGGAGAGTTCACGATATCCGGTTGGATTCGTCTACCCTCTGCTGAAATGGAACATCCCGAAAAGCGTTCCAGGCTTTGGCGTGAACAAACCGCGGCGCCGCGGGGGGTAAGTTCACTTCTCCCCGCTGTGGTGACCGTGGGAAGACCGGGAGCTCAGCGGACACGGTACAATACCGTTACTCATGACTTTGGAAGCTCGTCTCACCGCAGCTGAGGAGAACAGTTTTGATAAAACACTAAAAGGCGCCTCAAGTTGCTGCTGCTTTATTATTCTTTTGTCGGGAATGCTTCAGTCTGCTGATAAAGGTAGGTTCATCCATCGGAACTCAAACTGGAAGCGCTAAAGCGCGTCTTTACTCCAAGATGTGTTAATTTCGCTAAAATTAAATCGCGAAATGTTAATTATTCATATCCAGTGTTTGAAACCTGTTAGATAACCTTTGTTAACTATGTTGAGAGAATAAAACAGATAAGGTGCACCTGATTTTGTTTACATTTTAAATGATTTAACAAAGATTATTACAAATCTTTAAAAGAATCAAAAGAAAAAAAATCCAAAAACTTTTGAGCTCACTTAAATGTGTCTAAATAAATCTTTCAATAAGTTATTCATCTTCAGAGGATTTTTTTGAGAGTCCTACTTAGTTATTATAGAGGTAATAATTATCTTAATTTCTGTTTCCTGTTTTAGAGCAGAAAGGGACAGTCTTTTCTGTCAGTCCACATCAGAAGACATGTCTTATTGGACCCTGTCCGGCTGGAGGGTCCTGCTCCTGTTCACTCTGCTGTGGGACTGCTCCTGTGCCTCGGGTGTGAATCCCACGAGATGGCCTCTGTTCTCCCAAAAACCTCTGCTCCTGGCCTGGAATGTCCCGACTCAGGAATGTGGCCCATGGCATGGCGTATCTTTTCAGCTGGACCAGTTCCAGATTGTGGCCACTCCGAATGAGGCTTTTGTCAAGCAGAATTTGACCATGTTCTACAAAGACCGCCTGGGTCTTTATCCGTACTTTGAGCCAGATGAAACCCCGGTCCACGGGGGGCTGCCTCAGATCGCCAGCCTCACAAAGCATCTTAATCAAATGCAGCAAAGCATTGAGAAGTACATACCCAACGCAGAGGCGGCTGGTTTAGCTGTAATCGACTGGGAGGAGTGGCGTCCCCTCTGGATACGTAACTGGGGACCCAAGTCTGTCTATCGCAGACATTCTGCTGAGTTGATGCGTCAGAAGAATCCAACCTGGACAGACGAACAAGTGTCCAAAATGGCTCAGCAGGAGTTTGAGTTGTCTGCCAAGAAGTTCATGCTTGACACGATCAGACACGCCAAACACCTCAGGCCCAACCAGCTCTGGGGCTTTTACCTGTTCCCCGACTGCTACAACCACGACTACCAGCGCTCCCTGGTGAGCTACACGGGCCGGTGTCCTGATGCCGAGGTGGCCCGGAACGAGCAGCTGAAGTGGTTGTGGACAGAAAGCACAGCCCTCTTTCCCTCCATCTATCTGGGAACCGTGTTGCGTTCCTCAGCTTCTGGAAAGCGGTTTGTGCGGAACCGCGTGAAGGAAGGGATGCGCCTCGCCTCATCAGGCGGAGGGTTGGCACGTCCTGTCTTTGTCTACACCCGACCCACCTACACCGACTCTCTGGAGCAGCTCACAGAGGTGACGCTTGGCTACTTCCTGTGACACATTTGGTTCCTTTTCGCTGCAACTTTAGTTTTTGTCTGAATTTTGAATCACAGCATCAACAGTTTTATTCATCTCCTCTTTGCTGTGATGGCTGTTTGGGAGCTGCTTAGTTTTCCTTATCAGCACCTAGCGTTCCCTTCCTGTTCTGGTAGCTGTCAGGATCTCTAACCACCACCCATCATTTATGTAGGGTGGGCAGGATGGGTGTTGGGCAAGCTGTGATCTAGCTAATAATCAGACATCAGGGGGAACAAACAGCTAAGAGGGGGTGTTTGACCCTGTTTTACAGTCTATTTTCCTTCTGTTTTTAGCTGTAAATGTAACAACAGGAATTATCTTTTCCAGACGGACCTCGTGTCCACCATCGGAGAGAGCGTTGCTCTGGGAGCAGCTGGGATCATCCTGTGGGGAGACGCGACATACAACAAAGTAACTCCCACACATTCTGCTTTACCACAGATATTACACACCAGGAGTTTTGACATTCTGCTCTTTAGTGTCACATGTTCAGGCATTTGAGTCTTCAGTTCACTTCAAACTGTAGATCGCTTGTTTTCTCCAGTCAAAAACAGAAGAAGTCTGTCTCAGGAACATTTTAGGTCTCATTTAACAAAGCAGATACACTCAAAAATAGGTGTCATGTGTGTTTTTCTGCAGGACTTGACAGTTTCTTCCTAGCTTATTGTCCTAGACTTTTTTAGTTTGTCACGTTTTGGTCATAAGTTGTGCTGTTAATTGAAATGTCTGCGTGAGAATAGTTTAAAAACATACATCTCTATATGTTCTCATTCGGCACTAAAGAGACTTTTAAGTCAAGTCCAGGGATTCGTCTGTTTCCTGTGCGGTGTGTGGGGCGGAACCATGATGCAGATAATGAGTCATGAGCCGCGGAACAACTAGAACATTGGTTTAAATTCAGGGTTTTTTCACCCGAAAGGGAAGAATTGGCGAATTTCAAATGTTTTTAGCAAACAGTAATGTTGATTAGTAAAATTAGCCATTATTCCTGATGAAATAATGGCTGTTTGTTAGATAAGTAGACCAAAAACCTGTTGCATGTTGTTTTCTCTATACAGGATTTTTTTTAATTGCACCAATTTTGTTTTGAACAAAATACAAAAACTAACTTTTCAGCAGAGATTTGTCAGCTTGGTTATACTTCTAAATATTGTAGGGTTTGAGAAATTTAGTGCTTTAAGAGCTCAATATATATTACCTCTACTTATGACCAGTGATGGGAATAACGCCGATTAAAATAACGGCGTTCTTTTTTTTGGGTAACGGAATAATCTAATTAATTACTTTTCCCACTGTTGCAATGCCGTTACCGTTACTGGGGCTGGAAGGTTGTGCGTTACTATGTGCTTGTCGAACGTTGAGCAACAGTGTGAGGCTTACTGACCGCCACACTTCAGCGTTCAGTGTTCTCACCGTCACTGCCTGCTGTAGACACAACAGAGCAGTGATGGGAATAACGCCGTTTAAAATAACCGCGTTACTAAAAAAATTTTTTTTTCAGCAACAAGCAAACTAATTAATTACAGTCTTCTTTTATCAAAACGTTGTTTCTGTTACTGATAAGGAAATGCGTGCGTTAAGCAGCGCGGTGTGTTGAAGCTGTCATCAGCTGATCAGGAGCTAAAGAGGCAGATGTTTTCATCCAAGCGCATCACGGCCCGTGAAGAACAAGGAAGACGTGATGAATGCTCTACGGCTGCAGGGGTGGATCTGCAGCCGGCCCGTGCCCTTCTTAGCGTGACAGCGGGACGTCCCGAAGGTCCGCTCACCTGTTCACCGCTCAGACGTCCTGATCTTCTATCTTCCTAGATCATCCGGCTGTAACCTGTTTCTGATCATGTCTTTAGTCCCGCTGTAACGCTGATGCATCAGTCTCAGACGTCATGGAGCTCAGGTGTTATTAGAACTACCTGTGTGTGTTCACCACCCAGCTTCAGCTCTTCTGTGGTTGGGTCTGACCCACGTTAGTAAATGTAAGTCCTCCATCAGGCTTGTGCCTCTTCTAGTGTCATTTTAAAGGATTTTATTTATTTATTTAACCATTACTAGATTACCAGCAACAGAAATGCTGCTAAAAACACACAATTATGTGAAGCTGGAAAAATTAAAACACTGTGCAAAATTACATTTATTTCTGTAATTTAACTAGACTGAGAGACCATTTAAAGGCTCAGGAACCTTTACAGGTGTTTCTATTTGAAATAAAAAATTTTAGCTGATTGGGGTCTTGTTAAATATCACACAGTGACCTTAGTCTAGATTAGTGTAATGTTCCTGTTAGTAGTTCCTCCTGTTAAGTGCTTATTTATTTAAATTATGCAGGTTTATAAAAACATTTTGACATACATTTTATTATGTTCCAGTCATTACTCATTTATATTTCACTATTGTAGTAATGTATAGTAAATTAACTAAGTTCAATTAAGAGGGGAACCCATTTTTCTTGCATTCTTCAATGAAAAAAGTAACTAAGTAGTTATTTTTCTTGATATCTAGGGCTGCCATGAGTTAGTAACTGAGTTACTTTTTTGACAAAGTAATTAGTAACTATAATTACTTTTTAAAAGTAACGTTCCCAACACTGCTTATGACCAATAACATAGCATTCATTTCAAACTTCAACCATTGAGCACAGATTAATGAAAACATTTCATTGTACTATAATTATTGTAAGTTACAATAAACAAATGTTTATTTAATGATTATCTAGCTTATAAGTTTTAGAAGTGGGGTGTGGGGGGTTAGATTATTGATTTTGTGTGTGTGCACAAGCATCTATAAGTCTGAAAATGTGTCCTTCATTAAACATTTTATCATTTCAATGTCTCCAAAATGTACTTGTGCCATTTCCAAAGTTTGCTTAAATTTACGCACATTTTTTAACAGTTTTTCTTTATAATCACAATGTTTGCATGTAAAGTCACTTACTCAGTTTTCAGGCCCCATTTTGTGCATAAGAATGCATTATAAATGAGGCCTCTGCTCATTCAGTGGGGTCAACCCGTCCTTTTATTATAGGGCTTTATTAGTTGGGCCTTGTTTGACCATTTATTGAGGCTCCTGGGTCATTTAGACTATTAATTAGCAAAACTTTTGTAACTTAGTTATAATTCAATGTCAAAAAATGTATATCATTGACCCAAGTGCTTTATAATTAAATTTAACAAGTTAAAAGGAAAATCATAAGATCAAACATAAAATACAGAAATATAAAAACAACAATTAAACATGCATAAAAATAGAAAATACACATTTTTGCTCTAGGGGCGTGACACAGTGGTTAGAGCTGTTGCCTTGCAGTGAGAAGGTCCCGGGCTCCCTTCCCGGGCTGGGATCTTTCTGCATGGAGTTTGCATGTTCTCCCTGTGCATGCGTGGGTTCTCTCCGGCTTCCTCCCCCAGTCCAAAAACATGACTGTTAGGTTAACTGGTCTGTCTAAATTGTCCTTAGGTGTGAGTGTGTGTGTTTGCCCTGTGTGTCTCTGTGTTGCCCTGTGATGGACTGGCTCTCTGTCCAGGGTGTACCCCGCCTGATTGCCCATTGACCGCTGGAGATAGGTACCAGCATTTGTGCACTAGTCAAAAGAGACTCGATGATCACGGATCTCAACCAACACAAAAACATTATTATTACACAGTATTTGGAATTTGATAAAAGTGTGAATAACTTTTTCCTGATCTTTCGGAGAGAAATGTAGCTTCACTTTAATGAGTTATGCTGGAAAAACACAAATTAATTTCAGCAATAATCTGTTTATTCAGCTTCAGAGACTAGCTCAGCCAGATCTCTGACATCATGTCTACTATATTACATTGTTTCATTAAATTCAATTTCTAATCTGAATTACTTGAAAAATCTGATTCTGGAAGCAAAAAAATATAATTAGTGTTTATCCGTGGTGTGTTCACACAAATGTAAAAATGGGATTTCTGAGTTGTTGATCACAGATTAAAGTAAACCAGTCATTCTGAATAGAGCAGATTCTAGTCATTAGGTGTTTTTTTTTAAATTTTTTAACTCATTCACTGCCAGCGTTTTTGAGCACCTAAAAAATGAAATTGACAATTTGAGTCATCGATTGTGAATGAGTTAAATGCATATTTATTTTTGTAAATGCACAATTATAACAAAAAACAAACAAATCTTTCACTTGATGAATTTTGCATTAGTCAGAATAATAGTTAGCCTAGAAATCTGAACACAGTAGCAGTAGTAAGATGATTTTGCTCTGCATATCAGTCTAGCCACACTTCACTGGAACCTCTGCAGCTTGACCAGTCTGGTGACAAGCTAATCACAGTTACAGTTTAATCTATTGGTATGGTGGGCCAATCACAGCGCTCTATCGGTATGGTGGGCCAATCACAGTGCTCTATTGGTATGGTGGGCCAATCACAGCACTCTATTGGTTTGGTGGGCCAATCATAGCGCTCTATCGGTTTGGTGGGCCAATCAAAGCGTTCTATCGGTTTGGTGGGCCAATCACAGCGCTCTATCGGTTTGGTGGGCCAATCACAGCGCTCTATCGGTTTGGTGGGCCAATCACAGTGCTCTATCGGTTTGGTGGGCGGGATGATGCGATGGAGTGGAACAACCAAGGTGGCGCCAGCTTGTTTGAAACAGCTTTGGTGTCAACTTTAGACTATTTAAATTTGTGCTTTTCTGTGAGTCAAGAGCAGATAGAGGTACTTAGTTTGTTTAGAAAAGGGATCTATTTATGTTTTCTTCAATGTGTATGACGGACTGTCCTGTTGACTGATATCTGTAGCGGTGAGTATGTCACGTTGTCCGTTGCCCAATAGCATGCGGAGACAGTTTGAAAGACAACTGTAGACTCCACCCCAAGACTGAGCTCTCTAGTGATCGTAGCCAGACTATATATTAACACATATGGGATGGCTTGCCAGGCTAAATAGTAGTGACAGATTGAAAAAAATGTTTTAATAATTTATTGAGCCTGATGTTTTATTAAAGTGAAAGATCTAACGAAACAAGCCAGACTGGAAACACGGTGGTTGGTAATGTTAGATCTCAGCAAAGTAACACTTAAAAAAAACATGTTTTTTCTCCTCCAGACCACCTGCTCCGACCTGAATGTTTATCTTCGGAGCACACTGAGTCAGTACCTCCTCAACGTCTCCACGGCAGCAGAGCTATGCAGCCAGACCTTGTGTGGCTCTCACGGCCGCTGTTTGCGCAGAAATCCAGACAGTGAAGTTTACTTACACCTCAACTCCATCACCCACGACTTTAAGAGGCAAGGCGACAAGCTGACGGTTGTCGGAGAGCTTGGAGAAGAAGACCGAGTGCGTTTTCAGACGGACTTTCAGTGCCAGTGCTACAGCGGCTTTCTGGGTGAACTCTGTGACGAGAAGGACCCTCTGCACCAAAGAGGGGCGGCTGCTCGGTCCGACGCCTCACAGCTGTGGTGTGCTGTCTTACTCACTGTCTTTGTGCTAAACTATTAAAAACACCACATAACAGCAAAAATGTCAAAACACAAGATGAGGAAAATTTGTAATTTATGGAAAGGGAGTTATTTTTTTCTAATTTCTAAAATTGAAAAAGGAAAGGGTGAAAGTTTATTATAAAACTGGAAAGTGATATTTGTTTATACTTGTTTTTAAACAACAGAGAGCTCGCTGGAAATGACACTGTTTACATTTGGCTCTCAGTTTACCCCTCGGTCTTTTTTCCAAAGCGTCAGATTCCACATTTTCCCTCAGAGACGATGCACTTAAATCAACTTAGAGCACATTATATCTGAAGTGCCTGATTTGTGTTTTTCTTGTCTGGTGGTTTTTATGGAAAAAAACTGCAGTATTACTATTTATTTGAATGTAAGTTTATATGTTCTTACGTGTTTTAAATCTTGACTACTACAACAGCCTCATGTTTCAACAGGTAGAAGCACAATTTAATATAAAACAACACATTTTCTGTGTGAAACTAACTTTGAATACATGCTTATTATAAATAAACACACTTCTCTGAGCTTGTGTGTTTTGATCAGCAATTATCTTGCTATTTGGGGTAAATATAGGTGAGCTTTTGTTGTTCTCGAATAAGTAAAAGTCCAGTTTTAGGGGGAAACATCTGTGACTCATGTTTAATTGGGGACTCGGGGCCTGCTGTGCTGGAGGAGGCCCTACAGCAGCAGCTTTTTACCCCCTTCCCATGTAATTACAGGGTGTTGTTAGCTAAGAGTTATTTTTTGCTGCTGTAATGAGTCGAGCAAAGCTTACATACAAATTTGGACGTGGAAGAGTTCATTTTGGCTTCTCTTGATGGTCACTTGCAGGAGAATGTTTCTGCCTGTCCAAATCTTTTCACAAAACCTTTATGTTCAGATGTGTTTACATGTTTGCATTAAAGCTATATTGGAGAAAAGATTAACTCCATTTATATACAAGTGTACCAAGTAGCTGGAGAGTCATTATTTATGTAATTATCAAAATCATGGATTAGACTTAAGAAATTTCCTGCTTCTCCCTCCTGACCTAAAGTGGAATTACATCTGTCGTAAACAACCCTGTCACAGCCAGCTGCATCTATCGCCAACAATGAGCTAACGCTAGCATGAGTCAACTGATACTAAATAAGCCACAAAGTAAAAAGATTCACACTGTCGGACGAAAAAATATTATTTACCGAACCAAAAGCAACAAGGCTAGATCATCATCTCACTGTGGCTTCATAGTAGGGCTGGACGATAATTCAATAGTTCAATATATCTATCGATAAGACATGAGGTGCGATAGCTAAAAAACTGGTCGATAACACTTCGATAACAAAGTTTCCTTTTTTCATTATAACCTATCAGGTAGCAGCATACTAGACTCACTACTTACTCCTAACCAATCAAAACCACAGACTTGGCATGCTACGTCACCAGGCCCTCCCCACTCAAACCAAAAGAGGGCGAGAGGCAGCCGCAGCAAGATATCTAGGGCTGCCATGATTATTCGACCTGTCACGACAACGCCAACAAATAAAATAGACCTATTTTATAAACAATTTTTAAAATCTCACCTGCTGCAGAACGTTCGGCTTTTGCTTCCTGCCTCTCTACTCAGCCACCGCTTTAGCTCCGAGGCGCATGCGCAGTGGTGGCCATCCAGCTCAGCCTTCATCATCGAAGAAAGTGTCGAGTCGCAACATATCTGAAAAGTTTGGGAGCATTATACTAATTCAAAAGAAAGCCACGTAGTGCAAACTCTGCAAAGCGAAACTCTCCTTTCACAGGAGCACATCGGCGATGCACGAGCATCTTAAGAGGAAGAACAGAGTCGCCTCGGTAAGTTTACCTCTTGTTAGCTGCTAACATCAACAGAGTTACTTGTATTTATAGCTGCAGCAACACCAGTAGAGATGGTGATGATGTTTCCTTTAGAACACGTTTGTGTGTCACGTATTTTTGCTATAATTACAAACGCTAATGATTTATCTCATCCCGCTTCGTTACAGTGGAGTTTACAGACATATATATGACAACAACCATCTACCAGGCTGGTCCCACTTCACCACCATGATGGAAAAGAAGAGTTACACAACTTTTAAGGTGTGTGTGTGTGTGTGTGTGTGTGTGTGTGTGTGTGTGTCAGTTTCTCTCATGATACAAATAAAACAGTAGAATAAAATACATTTATGATCAAATAAAACGGTTGCTGACTGAACAAAGAAACTAATATTTTTAAAGCATTACACATTTTCTTTGTGTTAAAACTTAACCTACTTTATTTGATTTAACAGAATTATTAATCTGCTAAATAAATTAACTTCAATATATTTTATCTTTACGCTAAAGCAGACCCCCAGAGCTGTCGATGGTCCCTGACTGCTGACGTGTGGACCAGCCGTGCTACAGAGGCGTACCTCGGTGTGTCCTGCTATTTCCTGAGTGAAGATTGGAAGATGAAGCGCTTCAACCTTGTCACCATGCCTCTCGTGAACACAAGTCATGTTTGGTTTTAGGTGCCTACCTCCATGTGGTTGTAGCATTTGTATCAACAGGTTACAAGTTAATTAAAGTTGTTTGATAAGCTATCATCTTGTCTTTATTATGAGATGGCCCATAGCTGATCACACATCAGACTAGAAGCTAATGATGGTATATTAGAGCATCCTGGTGCAATAAGCTAAACTTCTTTAAAGGACACGATTGGTTGACTACTAAAATAATCGTTTGTGGCAGCCCTAAGAATGTTGCAGTGAGAAGAGGCAGAGAAAAAAATCAAAATACCAAAAATAAAAAGGCCAGGGGTGCACGCAAAATATTTTTCTACAATTTTAAAAATATTTTTCAATAATTATCAATATCGATCAATATAAAACATTTTTTATCAATATACTTTTTTTCTGTATCGTCCAGCCCTACTTCATAGCCTCCTTTAGCTCCCTCAAATGAGTGTAGGTCATGCCGATGTTCACTCTGGTTTTAGCTCTGTGGTTCACCTCTTCATTTTACTTCCAGATTCTGCCAGGACGCCAACAAAAAAAAAAGCAAAATTCTTTCTTCTTCTTGTGATTTTATTAATGGTTGGCAAATGTAAAACAGGTAACTGCTTTTAGCTGCCAACTCTCCATGCACCGAGCGTGAGACAGACACATCTGACCCTCTTCACATGCTCTCGTGCCACACCTTCATTTTCTCATGCTGAACAATCCCCCCTCCACCGCTCACGTGTGGAAAAGTTCTAAATTTGGCAGCCCTGTAACATCACTGTAAAGCACTATTGCCCCTAAAGCAGGTAGAGAGCTCCCACGTTCCTACCCATGCCACAACATTTTTAAGTGCAGTTTCTGTTCAGTTCTTCATCAGTAATCACTGAAACCAGTTTGAAAGCAATAGCTTAAAGGTGTGGGACACTTATGGAATCAATATATTTGCAGTGGCCTCTAGTAGGAATAAATGCCTTGTACATTGGGAAAAAGAGCACTGGTGTACCAGTTTCAGAAACTAGAAAATACATCAGAGGAGAGCTTCAGACTAGGATTTGGAGTCTTATTTCCTGATATTTGGACATCTCGCTTTATATTGGATGACAGCAACACGACTCTGCCACTGACTTGCAACGCTAATGTTTTATCTCCACAAATAACAAGCCTGGAGGACCTTCTGCTGTGTGGTGGAGTTGCTAATGCTAACTGTTAGCTTCCACTAGCCGAGATGTTCTTTGCTGTTTCCTGGATGTTAAACCAACAACAGCCTTCCCCATCATGAATCAAGATGGGTGAGCTTGTGAATGTTAAGTGACAATGTGATGTAGATCTGTCAGGATTTTCAAATCAATTTTTTATCAGAAGCTAACACAGGAGATAGGTGTGATAGACTATTTTCACGCTCAGCCTGCATGAAAAACTCAGAGCGCCCAATTATAATCAGGAATAATCATTTAAAAATGGGGTTCCAGTGTTCCACATCTGTAAAGTGGTAAAAACTCTTTAGTGTTGTTTTAATAATAAAAAGTCGCATAATCTGCTAAACCAGGAGGGATATTTTTAGCCATTTTGAAATGTGTTTTTGCTACAAAAAAATTACTGTTTCACATGTTTCTGGTTGGTCTCTGAAGAAAAACATTTTGTTGTTGTGGAATTTTAATGGAGAATCTTTCCTGGATTTAATAAACAAAGTTTTAAATTTTATTGCTATTTGAATGAGGAATACAGTTACACAAACCCACGAGTGCCTAACAGAGAACATGCAGCACACCCCCTCCCTTTCAAAGTCTGCTAACTATTGAGTCAGAGAGCCAGACACCCGTGTCTCTACAACTGGGTGTTCCAACTACTTCTTAAATCTCGTGAAGAGGTGAGAAACATACTGTTCAAACGAATCTCATTACTTTGGACACGGAGGAAACTACCTGGTGAAACAGAACGTTCTTTCAGCTACAGCACTAAACAGAAGCTATGGCAAAAATTCCCAGCAGTGGTGAAAAAAAATCTTGGTGGTGCTATGTGTGAAAAGATTTCCCTTCTTAGTCTAATATAAAGTATTCAAAGAAACGGTTAGAAAATAACTACAATCCCAAGTCATTTATTTCTCTTCAAATCAGCAATTTTACAGATAAGGTCAATCATCCCATTTACTGATTAATTTGACTAATAATACTCAAATAATCAGACTTGCCTACCGTGTGAGCAACTGTTGTCTTCAATGTCCATTCTTGTTCTTATTTACATTTTATTTTGACAGTTTGGTTTCCAGCTCGAGTTTTCAGTCTCTGTATCTCGGTCGACCATTCAACGCAATGCAGTTTATTTTTCTAGCGCCAAATAACAAGAGTCGTCTCAAGGCACTTCACAAAGTAAACGTTGCAATACAGTTCAGTTAATTTAGAAAATCAGTAAAGTTTCCTAAATAAGGGTCATCTGTTCTACGTGCAATACTCAGTTCCACCAGTAGGTGGCACTAACATGACAAAGAATCTCAATTAGATATCCTAAAAACATTAGAATAATATAATGATTTCAGCTCAATCCATAGAGATTAACAGTGTGTGTGTGTGTGTGTGTGTGTGTGTGTGTGTGTGTGTGTGTGTGTGTGTGTGATCAATATGTATACTGGACAATTCGTTTCCATAGGCTCCAATTAAAAGTTTTTGTGCCAAAATGGGAGGTGGCCACCACCGCCATTTTGACCGTGTCACAGGTTCCGTCAAACCTAGACAATTCCAAAAAGGGAAAAGAGGTGGAGCTGAGGGTGGAGCTGTAAGGCTGGGATCAAATGACGACACCAATCGAACTGAAGCGATGTAGCTACAAGCTAACCCAAAGCTAATGCGGAGGTGGAAGCTAAGCTAACGGAGGTAGCTACCTAGCTACAACCGGAGTTAACTATGTACAACAGCTTCTGAGTCAGAGATACGCCGGGCTGACCGCTGGATAAAACCAGGTGGAACATAGAGGTCTCCCGAGAGCTTCACAAGCCGGCAGCCGCGCAGCAGACAGGCACCACTGCGATCAGAGATGCGCCGAGCTGCCGCTGAGGGGAGGGGAACAGTGCTTAATTTGAGCCGGATCTTGCCAGATCAAGATCTGGGAACTGTCTTATTTTGAAAGGACCATTCCGGCAAAGTCTGCTAGGATCCGGTGTCGGTACAGGATCTGCTCGGGTGCAGGATCGGCTCGGGGTCCTTCGACTGCCGATGACGTCACATTTCTGCAAATCTACTCGGCTTTCACACATACGTTTTGGAAAGACATCAGCAATTGTGTTAATAAATTCTTGTTTGATAACACCTAAATGTTTTCTTTATAATTGTAATTTATTAATAAAACACCATATTATCTTTGTTTGTAAAGAATGTGAAACAGCATAAAACCAACATCGGACAGACAAAAAATAGAACAGTTCTTTTATGTGAAGCCGTATCTGTTTGTATTAATGTGGAGTTCGTCTGTATATTTCCTTGGTTGTTATCTAAATACATTCTTTGACTCAAAATATTGCTTGATTTTATTTTACCCCATTTCATCAACGTCAAGAGCTTTTGAGGGTCACCGTTTATCATTTGCTTATAGACTATTTTACATTTCCTTTAGACATTCAAACATATTTTCTCCGAAAAGTGTTGATTTTTGGACTACAGGACTACAACCGCTAAGACTACTACCGCAAATTTGTTCTGATCAATCAAAATCATAACGTGATAACGTCACTTCCGTAAGCTTCATGATCAGCCAGTCAACTACTTTGATGTCATCGGCAGTCGAAGGACCCCGAGCCGATCCTGCACCGACACCGGCAACTCACGCGACCAACTTGTGCTATACGCAGGGTTCAAATTAAGGGTGAGCTAAAGGGATCCCGGCTCACCCCAAAGGATGACAGGCTCCCCTGGAAGCCTTCAGTTTACACACCCAGGGGCAGCCCGAAAACGATTCTGGTTCTACTTATATTACATTATCTATGTGGACTCTCCGGGGATTATTTAGAGCTGAGAGGCGAGCTCTTACGCGCTCCAGACAGATGCGTCCTGATCACGGCTACAGTAACATTCTCAAAGTGTCGCCACCTCATTTAACACGCAATCGTTTATGTCGGCTCATATCCTTTCATGCTTTCTGTCTTTTATTTGTGCCGGATGTGTTTTGCTGCTGCGGAGCGGAGCGCATCACCTATTTCGTCCTCCGTGGATTTCCCCTCAGTAGTGCAGCCGGCGCGCAGCACACATTCCGCTATATTTGCGGTCGGTAGATCTTTTTGAACTGTAGTTCAAAGGTAACTCATAAGGTGAATATATATGAAGCCAGGTAGCAGTTTTGCTTTAGGATTGAGAGGAGACGCAGGAAGATAAACAGACAGGACAGAAAAAATAGTCAAATAAAAACAAGTTCATTTTGTACCTGGTGGTTGCAACAAACGGACACCATTGAAAATAATCAGAAATGAGAAACAGAAAATGAAATTACTCTTTCAATGTTTAAAGCAGCAGGAACTCTGAGAGGCTGCAGGCGCATCAGGGAGTTTGCGCCGCTAAGCAGGGGAACAGTAAAGATGCAAAAATTACTGTTGTTGAAAGAAATGTGTGCTAACTTTGAAAATGTGGGCACAATATTTAATTGTCAAAAACTCCTGAAAATCAACCAGGACGCCCCCCCCCCCCCCACCCCCCCCCCACCCCCCCCCGTCCTGCAACAGCTTCACTGGCTTCCTGTTAGACGACACATAGATTTCAAAAGCCTTCTCCTCACATTTAAAACTATCCATGAACTTTCTCCCCCGTACCTTTTTGACCTCATTCACATTATTCGTTCCCTCAGATAATCCTCTATCACTCTCTCTGTCCCACCTTTCCGTCTCTGGAATTCTCCCCCTCAAGCCATCTGTAACTCTGACTCGCAGTCCTCCTTTAAATCTAGACTCAAAACCCACCTGTTTCAGACTGCATACTGCTAGTGTCACCTTTTCCATCTTCCCTGATTTTATTATCTAGTTTGTATTTTTAGGTTTCTGTGTGTGATTTTTGCTGTTTTTAACTTGGTTTATTTGTTGTTAATTTATTGCTGTAAAGTGTCCTTGTGTCCCTTGAAAGGCACTTTTAAATAAAATGCATTATTTATTATTATTAAACCATCGTTTTGCGTTATCTAGCCATTTAAACAGAATGATTAATAAATCCTGCCTGAGCCATGGATGCAACAAAAACGGTCAGTAGGATGGTCATTATTTATTTCTTTTACATAGAAACACATTTCGAGATGGACAAAACACTGAGATAATTTGGGACCTGCTCAGTATGACTAGATCAAGTTTCCTCTGGCTTTTGGACTTTTTTCCTGTGACTTTAATGCTGCCCCTCAGGATTTGCATGTCTTTTCTCATTTGTTGGTTGAATCCTTTTGCTCACGTTGGATTGGTTCACATTTTGTTCTCACTTCCTCTTCCCGTCCCTGCTGTAGTCAGATCATGAGACTTTTGGTGTGATCAAACCCTAAACCAGAACCTCCCTCTGCAGCTGTCACCTCGGTAAATCAGCATCTTTTACAGTAAGTTAGATCTTTTTGAGCCATTTTAATGTTTTTTTACTGGTCCATCTACTGGTTGTCAGGTAGATCATGGAGCATTAAGAGACAAAGAGAAAGTTATTGGTGTGATATGCAGAATATAAAAAATGCAAATGATTTTGTTCTGGTAGCGTTTTATATTCCAGCTGAAGCTAAAAACAATTTATTTTAGTCATCTCTAGAAAATTTGCAGCGCCGTAAACGCTGATAGGTTCCTGTTTGTGTAAAGATGATGTCCGCTCCTGCCAAGGCACTTCTGCTGCTCATCCTGCATCTGATCAGCCTCGTGTCTGGGCTGCGGGTCACCACACCTTTCTCCCAGGTGCCGTTCCTCACCGTGTGGAACGCTCCCACAGAGAGCTGCTTCCGTCTGTATGGAGTGGACCTGGACCTGGGGATGTTCAGCATCATCCAGAACCAGAATCAAACCTTTATGGGTGGAAACATCACTATCTTTTACTCTGATAAGCTCGGTTTGTACCCCAGATACATGGACCAAAAGGTGGCCGTTAACGGAGGGGTTCCACAGAACAGCAGCCTGGAGGAGCATCTCAGCGTCACCCGTAAAAACATCAGCACTCTTATTCCTGGAAAAGATTTCCAGGGCCTGGCTGTTGTGGACTGGGAGAGTTGGAGACCTGTGTGGAAGAGAAATTGGGACACTAAACAGGTGTACTGGGAGGGCTCGAGAGCACTGGTGAAGGCCAAGCACCCAGACTGGAGTCCTGCTCAGGTTGAAGCTGCTGCTCAGGCGGAGTTCGAGGACGCTGGGAGGAAATTCATGGCAGAAACATTAAAACTGGGGCAGGAGATGAGGCCAGATGGTTTGTGGGGGTTTTATGGTTTTCCCAACTGCTACAACTATTACAACAACAAAACATCCAACTACACTGGGGAGTGTCCAGCTGTGGAGCTGAAGAGGAACGATCAGCTGAGGTGGCTGTGGAACGCCTCCTCCGCTCTCTACCCCGACATCTACCTCGGCCTGGAGCTCCACAGCCTCGGCAGGGAAGTTCTCCTCTACGTTCATCACCGGATCCTGGAGGCCATGAGGGCAGCAGATCAGATGACACCCTCAGAGCCGCTGGTCATTTCCTATGCCCGCATTGTCTACACTTACTCTCTGAACTTCCTTTCTCAGGTAGGAACCATGTTTGTACGGCCGGATACTTTATGCTGTTTTTGTGATCACATCTCCTCGTTCCTCCCTGCAGGAACATCTGGTCTACACAATCGGGGAGAGTGCCGCTCTAGGATCTGCAGGGGTGGTGCTCTGGGGGGACAGCACATACTCCAAATCCAAGGTTTGTGGAAAACATTGACAATGACAACCCTACCAAAAAAAAAACTGTGAGCTTTCTAGGCAGTGTGTTTGTTTTCCAGGCCACTTGCAACGCCATCAAATCCTACATCGATGAGATTTTGGGTCCTTACCTGGTCAACGTGACGTCAGCTGCATGTCTCTGTAGCCAGACCTTGTGCTCCTCTAGGGGACGGTGCCACAGAAAGAACCTGAAGTCCAGGTCCTACCTCCACCTCGACCCTGCTCAGTGGAAGGTGGTGTCTGAGAAAACACCAGGGGGAGAGATGGATTACAAGGTTTTAGGACAGATGGACAGTAGGATGGTCCTGCTGATGAAATCCGAGTTTCAGTGTAGGTGCTTTCCTGGGTGGGGGGGCGAGGACTGCTCCATATCAACTCGTGGATGATGACTCATAAAACGAAACAGTAAATCTGGGGACATGGCAGCCTGTCATCTCCTGTGAACAAAAACATCTTCCCTAACTAGGAGCTGATTTAGGGAATTTTATGTGCTATTTTTTGACCATTCATAGGTCATTTCTCCATCTTTTTACGTAATTATGAATCTTTTTTATAAATGCCAGATGAGAATCGTCCACTGGCCTCATGGGCAAATGGAAAAGTAAAAGTTCTCATTTCTCATCAAGGGAAAAATGCAACAAAACATGAAAGGGGTCCGAATTTCCTTCAGTACAAGCCCTGCAGAAAAGATCTCCAAAAAAACAAAACACACGATTCATTCTTTCACAGTGTTTCTAAATTACAGACATCTAAATTAGATGTGCAGTTTCACTCCTAATGTTCATCGCATGCAGAGTCGTTCAGCGAAAAGCTTCTTAATTTCTTAAAATATTTTATTTTATTTTTTATTGGAAAGCATCAAATAAGTCAAAAATCACTTTAGTCTACTATTTATTACTTTAACCTTTTCTCCTTTTATTACTCTGTAATTTCCATTAGAGGAGGAATGTTGACCTCTGGGATGAGAGTAGTTGTCTGACTGCTTGTGGGTTTACGGCCAGCAGGTGGTGCTGTGGCACAACTAACCAGAAGGCAAACATCAAGGCCACAGCTGTGAAAGGGTTTAGTGCATAAAAGAACAAAACTGACTGTTAGAAGTCTAAATGTTCTTTATATCCTTCTCTGCTGCAGAATGAATCAGAGCTAAAAGGAGAGGTGCTGACTGTGACTCAGTTTTCGGTAACACTTTAGGGAACACAAATTAACCATTACTTAGCTGCCAATTAATATGCATTTTAGTGAACTAGTAAGCCTGAATTAGTCATTATAAAGCTATTATTAGGTGCTTATTACCAATGCTGTAATTCTAATATGAACATGCCATAAATTAAGAGTTTTATCAAATAAGCCATTCATAATGGTTTGTTAACAGAAAGTAAACGGTTTGTTGCTGATTAACGCACATGCTAATTAGCTCAAATTAATATGTGGCTTTTAAAGAAGTAATTGAAGGGGAATAGTTATTATGCATTAATACCTAAAAATATTATGTTCTAGTATTATGTAGATAAATACCAAACTCCACATGTTAAAAGAGCCTAAACAACAATTAATTAACTGCTTGTAAGCAAGAATATGTTCCCCATTCTAAAGTCAGATTTAGTTTAGTATTAATTAATCACTTAAAGACAAGAATATGTTCCCCTTGAATTACTTTGTTAAAAGCTACATATTGATTCGAGCTAATTAGCATGTGCGTTAATCAGCGACAAACCATTTACTTTCTGTCTCTTGTTGGCTCGTTGTTCCCATGTCCTGCGCGTGTTCATTATTAAAAGACTTTACCTGTCCCAGGTTGTCTGCGTGCCTGATTCCTCCCCAACGTTTGGATCCTTACATCCGCTCCACTTACTAGCACGTCGTGACAGAACGAGCCAACCTACAGAAGGACCCAGCGGGGAGGTTATCCCTTGAGAGGACCTGCTCCAGTTTCTCGCCATGGACAACGGGCCGGCTCCTCTTCCTCCGGCATCGCCTCACCGCGGACGCCGCCACCGAGCCCGAGCCGGGGGGGGGGGGGGGGGGGGGGGGGGGGGGGGGGGGGGGGGGGGGGGGGGGGGGGGGGGGGGGGGGGGGGGGGGGGGGGGGGGGGGGGGGGGGGGGGGGGGGGGGGGAGGAGAGAGATCGGCGTTGGGAGGATGCCGGGTTCCACGTCACCCCTTGTCCCAGGACGGAGCCGCGAGCTCGCAGCTGCCCCTGCTCAGCGCGCCAGCTTGGAACCGCCCCCAGTCAGACCAGCAGTCTCGTCTCCGGTCAAATCAGCGCCTCCGTCTTCTGCAGGCGGAGGAACCACGCCTACAGCCCAGCTGACAGCTCGCCGGTCTCCAGGCGGAGCTTGGCCAGATCCGTCAGCTCCTCAGCCTCCAGGAGTTCCAGCTGGACACTCTGTCCTCCCCGTATCTCCAGGAGAAGGTTTCTGTCCAGCCAGCGGCCCCGCCTCCGGTCCAGTCAGCAGCTCTCTCGTCTCCAGGCCAAAGGACCGAGCTCGCAGCCCACCCAACAGAGCTCGCCGGTCTCCGAGCTGAGCTGGTCCGACTCCGTCAGATCCTCAGTCTCGAGGAGTTCCAACTGGACAAGCTATCCTCCCTGCTTTTCCAGTTACCGGTTCCACCAGGTCCCGCGCTACCAATCCAGTCAGCGCCAGGTCCCGTGCCACCAGTCCAGTCAGTGCCAGTTCCAGCGGTGGTCCAGGACGCTCCGCCCCCAGGCCAGCCTGTCCAGTGGTCAGCGCCCAGTCCGGCGGTACCAGCCAAGGAAGCGGCCCCTCCTGCAGTGGCTCCGCCTCCACTCCAGACGTTGATGATTCCGGTCCAGAAGTCGACAGTTCCGGTCCAGTATTCGGTGGTTCCGGCCCAGAAGTCGGCGGTCCTGAAGTCGGCGATTCCAGCCCAGAAGCCGGCGGTCCAGAGGCCGGCGGTCCAGAGGCCGGGGGTCCAGAGGCCGGCGGTCCAGAAGCCAGCGGTCCAGAAGACAATGCCCCCGGACCAGAAGTCGACGCCTCCGGACCAGAAGTGGACAGCCCCAGACCAGAAGTTGACGGTCCAGAAATAGACGATCCAGAAGTCAACGGTTCCGGTCCAGAAGTCGACGGTTCCGGTCCAGAAATCAGCGGTTCCGGCCCAGAAGTCGGTGGTCCAGAGGCCGGCGGTCCCGAAGCCGACTCCCCCGGACCAGAAGTCGACGCCCCCAGACCAGAAGTTGACGCCTCCGGACCAGGAGTCGATGGAGGTCGACGCCTCTTCCAATCCTGTGGTCGACGCCTCTTCCAGTCCGGTGGTAGACGCCTCTTCCAGTCCGGTGGTCGATGCCTCTTCCAGTCCTGTGGTCGACGCCTCTTCCAGTCCTGTAGTCGACGCCTCCTCGTGTTCTGAAGTCAACGCCTCACCCACTCCAGAGGTTGACGCCTCATCCACTCCAGAGGTCGACGCCTCATCCACTCCAGAGGTCGACGCTCTCTCCAGTCCAGAGGTCAATGCTCTCCCCAGTCCAAAGGTCGACGCTCTCCCCAGTCCAGAGGTCGACGCTCTCCCCAGTCCAGAGGTCGACGCTCTCCCCAGTCCAGAGGTCGACGCTCTCCCCAGTCCAGAGGTCGACGCTCTCCCCAGCCCAGAGGTCGACGCGCTCCCCAGCCCAGAGGTCGACGCGCTCCCCAGTCGAGAGGTCGACTCTCTCTCCAGTCCAGAGGTCGACGCTCTCTCCAGTCCAGAGGTCGACGCTCTTTCCAGTCCAGAGGTCGACTCTCTCTCCAGTCCAGAGGTCGACGCTCTCTCCAGTCCAGAGGTCGACGCTCTCTCCAGTCCAGAGGTCGACGCTCTTTCCAGTCCAGAGGTTGACACTCTTTCCAGTCCAGAGATCGACGCTCCTTCCAGTCCAGAGGTTGACGCTCCTTCGTGTCCAGAGGTCAATGCTCCCTCAGGTCCAGAGGTCGACGTTCCCTCCGGTCCAATGGTCGACGCCGTCTCCGGTCCAATGGTCGACGCCGTCTCCAGTCCAGTGGTCGACGCCGTCTCCAGTGCAGTGGTCGACGCCGTCTCCAGTTCCGTGGTTGACGCCGCCTCCAGTCCAGTGGTCGACGCCGCCTCCAGTCCAGTGGTCGACGCCGCCTCCAGTCCAGTGGTCGACGCTGCCTCCAGTCCAGTGGTCGACGCCGCCTCCAGTCCCGTGGTCGACGCCGTCTCCAGTCCAGTGGCCGCCGCCTCCAGCCCAGAGGCCGACGTCGCTGCCTCCAGCCCAGAGGCCGACGTCGCCGCCTCCAGCCCAGAGGCCGACGCCGCCACCTCCAGCCCAGGGGCCGACGACGCCGCCTCCAGCCCAGAGGCAGACGCCGCCGCCTCCAGCCCTGAGATCGTCGCCGCCGCCTCCAGTCCTGAGGTCGTCGCCTCCTCCAGAAGACGAAGAAGTGTCCTCCGGCGTCTCTGCCTCCGGTCACCGCCGGTCCTGCCCTCACCAGACGCAGGCCCCCAAGAGCCCGTCGTCGCCGCCTCCTCTGCCACAGACGCAGCCCCCCAGGAGCCCGTCGTCGCCGCCTCCTCTGCCACAGACGCAGGCCCCCAGGAGCCCGTCATCGCCGGCCTCCTCTGCCACAGACGCAGGCCCCCAGGAGCCCGTCATTGCCACCTCCTCTGTCACAGACGCAGGCCCCCAAGAGCCCGTCGTCGCCACCTCCTCTGCCACAGACGCGGGCCCCCAGGAGCCCGTCGTCGGCGCCTCCTCTGCCACCGACGCAGGCCCCCAAGAGCCCGTCGTCTCCGGCTCCTCTGCCACAGACGCAGGCCCCCAGGAGCCCGTCGTCGCCGCCTCCTCTGCCACAGACGCAGGCCCCCAAGAGCCTGTCGTCACCTCCTCTGCCCCAGACGCAGGCCCCCGGACTCTACTGGTCCCTGCCTCCTCTCCATCTGCCCCTCGGTCCCTCTTGGCCCTCCCTCCGGCTCCCCCTCCTCCCACCCTGCTCTGTGTTCCTGTGGGCGTCTGGAGTCCGCCCTTTGGGGGGGGGGGGGGGGGGGGGGGGGGGTGTACTGTCACACCCTGTCCTGTCTCCCCATTTTGTTCAACCTGCGTCTCTGGTAATTGCTCCCACCTGCCTCTCGTTTTCCAATCACCCAAGCTCCCACCCCTCTTGTATTTAAACCCCTCCAGTTCTGTGTCTCTTGTTGGCTCGTTGTTCCCATGTCCTGCGTGTGTTTATTATTAAAAGACTTTACCTGTCCCAGGTTGTCTGCCTGCCTGATTCCTCCCCAGCGTTTGGATCCTTACATCCGCTCCACTCACCAGCGCGTTGTGACACCTTACAGCCCCACCCTCAGCTCCACCTCTCTTCCCTCTTTTGGAATTGTCTGGGCTTGACGGAACCTGTGACACGGTCAAAATGGCGGTGGTGGCCACCTCCCATTTTTCCTCAAAAACGTTCTATTGAAGTCTATGGAAACCCATTGTCCATATATATATATATATATATATATATATATATATATGTCGATGGTATCACTTAACAATCATGGACTCACTCATCTTCGCTCGTGATGGGGAAGGCTATTGTTGGTTTAATGCCAGGAAACATCAGAGATCGTCTCGGCCTAGCAGAAGCCAACCGTTAGCATTAGCAACTCAACCACACTGCAGAACTCCTTCAGGCTTGTTATTTGTGGAGATGAAACATCAACGTTGTAAGTCAGTGGCTAGTTGTGTTGCTGGTATCCAATCTGAAGCAAGATGCCAAAGTATCAAGAAATATAACTCAAAATCCTGCTGCCACTCTGCAGCAGCAAACTTGTCGGTGCTGATCCAAGAAATTACGGGATTTTTTTGCTCTGAGTACGGCTTGCAAGTCTCACTAGAGACCACTGCAAACGTATTGATTAAACAAGTGTTCAGTACCATTGAAGCACCAACTTGCTCTGAACACTCAGCAGAAATCGCAGTCCATTTTATTATAATTATTATTATTGCAGTTTCCTTTCTTCCTAACCCTAACCCTGAACACAAATGTCGTGATGTTGTCTGAGCCGCTTGTTCAGGTCTGAAACTGGACCATGACAAGTCCTAACTCTAATTTTACAACAAATGAGAAGACAGTGAGTTAAACTCTTTCTGAAATGTTGTCACAAACTTGAAAAATGCCTGTGTGCTTTTACAGAGACCATTTTGATCTGTTTATCTGCTCAGAGTGGTTTTCTCCTCTTCTCCCATCTCTGCCAGGTCAGGCAGGCCATTTTATTCATCTCTGCATTTCTTCATTTTGGCGTCTCGCTCTGTCACTCTTCCATGGTCACGTCTCCCCTTTTCTCCGCTGCTCGGTCTAGAGATCGTCTTGCTCGCTCCGGGTTTAATAACTGCTTTGTCACGCTCTGTCTCAGTGTCCTTCAGACGAGTCGACTCTCTGATCAGGTTTCTTAAAGATCTCGGCTCATTTCTTGTTTACATGATTTTTGTGTGTAAGGGTAATGAAAAGTGGTTGTGTTTTGCATTGATCAGACCGCTGCATGCAGGATGTTTGCTTTCAAAGTGTGAAAGAAACCTGTGTGCATGTCAACAAGTCACATGTTTGACCCTTTTTGAGCATTTCCAGTCAGAATCTCTCCATTCGTGCCGGCATACAAAGCTATCTGGGGATTATGTTTGCTGATGATGCAGATGAAATCACACTCCCCATTTGAAATCCAAAAAAGCTTGCCTATTGTTGTAGAACCACAAAGTTTAGAAAAATGCACATTGTTATTTATTGCACCAGGTGTCTAAACAAAAACAACGTTTTTTTGTTTTGTACAATAATTTGTTAAAATTTCTTATCAATTCTCCAGATTGGGATTTTGGCCCATGATAGTGCTAATTCAACATTACAGCTTTTTAGTGCCTCGGTGTGCTTAACATGTCTAAAGTCATTGAGAGAAAGGGGAATCCTCTCTATGGGTTGAGGTTTGGTTTGCTAGTGAGTGATGGTAGGATGGGGCAAAAGATGGTCGCCTCCCTCTAGAGGAGTGAACCCCAACTGACGGCCCACGGGC